AGATACATATATCTCGCGATTGGATCAGTTTCCACTTTACGAATACGCGTCGAGAAACTGGGGCTATCATGTTCAACGACAATGTGGTATGACAGAAGAGAAATTGATCCTTGAGCTCTTTGACGACACACCCAAAACAGCTGCGTGTTCTCAGACATTGACGATAGGTCATCATTACTCATGGGCCTCTAAGACAAGAAACCAAACACCAACACAAATTACGCGAATGCATCTGGCAGCTTACTGGGGACTGAGCAACGTATTGAAACTTCTGATTGACAATGACAATACAGTTGATGTCGAAGATGCGTCCAAAAGAACACCGTTGTCTTGGGCGTCGAAGAACGGCCATGAACATGCGATAGGAGTGCTCCTTGAAAATGGAGCCAACATCGAATACAAAGACAAGTATGAACAGACTCCATTGTTTCACGCGGTGCATAATGGACAGGAAGGTGTCACCAATGTATTATTAAAATACGGCGCAAATCCCCGATTAAAGGACGACAACGGTCAGAATCTATTGTCACGCGCTGCTGAATATGGTCGTACATCAATTGTCCACAAGTTGCTGAGAGCCAAGTTTGACGATAGTTATCTCAATTCCAAGGACAATAGCGGACAAACAGCATTAGCTCGAGCAGTACAAAGCGGGCAGGACGAAGTGGTCAAGCTTCTCCTTGAACAAGGGGCCGATCCAAACACCACAGACAAACAAGGCCTTACCCCATTATTCAGAGCATTGTCAATATGTAGATGCAGATTGTTCACCACCACCAATTCTGATGGGTTGAAAATGAGCCTTAATGGTCGATGGAAAAGTTTAATGTCGCTTGTGATCAAAGACAACCGTCACACTCGTTTGATGCTATACTTGATAGCTCACGGTGCAGATATCCAATCCAAAGATGACAAAGGCCAAACTCCCCTTGCACGAGCTGCGCAGGGTGGTCTGACACCTGTGGTGAGACTTTTGCTTCGCAAAAGGGCAGATGCAAACCTCCTAGACAATCACGGACACATGCCTCTCATGTGGGCTGCATTAGAAGGTCATGTAGAAGTGACAAAATTGCTTCTTTCTGGAATCGTTGATATATATTCAAACGCACAGAGTGTCTTCGGTCGAACTGCCCTGATGAGCGCTGCGTCCGCAGGGCATAGAGCGGTTGTCGAGTTCCTGCTGAATACGCCAGATATTGATCTCAATGTGAAGGATAAATATGGCCGTACGGCCCTCTTCGAAGCGCAAAAAAGGGGCTACACCAAAATATCCTATCTTCTGTTAAGCAAGGTTAATGGTAGTGGATGCGTGGACCCTGTCATTACTGCTAATGAGGATCTCCCCGACGCGAAATGCTCCAGGTCTTCTCGGTCAATCGCCTGTGATATCCTCAAGTCCTCTCAACCCTACTGTGACATATGTCAGGTTCAGGTCCTGGATAACACGCGTGTATACCATTGCAAGATTTGCGAGAATGGGAACTTTGATATCTGTGGGTTTTGTAGAAGCTGTGGAGCGTCCTGTTTGGGGGATGATCATGAGTTGACGGAGCTGTGACTGCTGCCAGAGTATATGAGCAAAGAGCCACGATGATAGCGATGACGGGAAATTACTCGAAAGTCATGTAGAGTAATAAACACCCAAGGTTCAACAAGTGGGTGAGACTGTCAACAAATTAGAGTCCCCGATTGTCTGCTGTATATCCGATCTCGATAAAATCGACAACAGATATGCCCTGTCATAGGCTTTGATTGTACTGCACTAGATCTGGATGGGCGATCGTAGATGTTGATCGTCAATCACACTGCTGTGACTGCAACTTTCATTGCCATGGCGCTTTAGGGTCTCATGCATATAACTATTGAAATTGGGTGAGCTAGTCAATCTCAAAATTGTGACAATTCAATCCTGCAGAAAAGCTCTAGCAATTAATGGTGGGAATCCTCGGGGAATCGAGATCTTCTCCGAAGCTGAACTGATTGTCCCTGCATATGGGCCAGGGCTCGCAAGACCTCGGAGCTCATGCAGTATCCTGAAGAACTGGTAGCTAAATACTAAGTAGCTTCTTGGCTTTGTTGATGGCAACATGCTTCATTACGATATAAAAGCGAAGACTGCTCCCGTCCGTCAGGTTCTCACCAACTTCTCTAAGCATTCCTGTGAGAACACGATTCAGGTCTAGTTTCTCTTGCCCTTTTCACCTCCACCGTTGCGGGCGATGACGCCCCCCTCAAAGTGGTAATAATCAACCCTCTCTTCCTGTCATGGCTTCAGACGATGCTGACATCGCAACTAGCCACGCGCATTCACTAGCGATAGCTATTCCACCTACTATAGCAAGGACCGGAAGAATCTGACTTTGGATAGCCAGTGCTACCGGCTTAGAGGAGATTTGTGAGTCTAAGCGCATGTATCTCGTGAGAGTTCTGGAGTACTGACACCGAGCTAGTTATCATAACATCGGATCAATCTATATTCCCTGTCAGTCTCTTGCACCAGAAGGGAAGAAAAATATCTGTACCCTTTACAGGTAAGTAGTAACCGCCTTTCATTGCAAGCAGTTCAATAGATAGACGTTAACGACCTGGCCACAAAGACACTGCTTGTACAAGTGAGGAAAGCACGGTCACCTTCGACCACTCTCATTACGACATGTTCGACAACGGCGACTATTCCGAGAAAACCTACGTCGGCGGAATCGTGGGCAGCATCAAGTGCGAGGTCGTCGATGCCTCCACTACAGTTTCCAACACCAACGGGAGCCCGCCCACGCAGCATCAATCCCAATGCGTGGGCGAATCCTGCAACTCCGACAATGACTGCCACGGCGATTCGGCAGGCCTTCTCTACTGCCCCAAGCACGAATCGAACACCTGCCAGCTAGCCCATAATCTTGCCGAAGGCGCTAGCTGTAAAGATACCGTGCAGTGCAAGGAAGGATACTGCAGCGGGGTTCGTGACGTCTTTTTCGAATGAAAACCTAAGCGAACATATGGCGACCTGTGCGATTCTACCGCAGAGTGCAAGGAGAATTTAAAATGCCGCAACAATCCTTTCATTGGTGGTAACCATTGTGACATTTCTTGCTTGAACCTCGAGCAAAAGTGCACAGCTATTGGCTTGCCCTGCTATAGCAACTCGGCCTGTTGCTCGAATAATTGCAGATATAGTCCGAACGCAATCTTTTCAGGGCAATGCGAGGACTAAGAGTTGCGAGTGTCATTTCATATATTTTGTTTGAGAATATCCTGGCAAAGGCATTCTCGAGGGAACCATGATTCAATAACCATATATTTTGTATTCAGTGTCCTCTGTAGATAAGCAATGTTAATCACAATATTCCTTTCTTTATTGCTTCTATACCTGATCCTCACGGGTAACACCTGGCATGTTGGATCTTCTTGCGCTCAATGTATTTATTTCGGTGCGCCACGCTTCCCATATATCCAGAACACTCGACCAACATCACACACATTGATGTCGCAACGTACTGAGCTGGCCTCGATACCGGAAACATACGCCAGTGCCATAAGATGCACTAACACTTCGAGTATTTGTCATAGCCATCTTCCATCACCTCGCACTGGTAAACTCTTCAATATCGCGCAAAGACTAAGCAGCCAGAGCGGTAGTTACCCAACACTGGATATCAAGGCGCCAACCGAAAGCTTTTCTTCTACGAGTCATTAAGATGTTGGTCCTGGCAAACAGAGATATATATCTATCCAGGCGTTTATAAGCTCTGCAAAGTGAGTGCGGTTTCCTGCACCGGGTCGGACACCAATATTCTGTTCTGCATAAATGAAAAGCAAGTAAATTCCCATGCCTCCGTTTACTCTACCATAAGGCAAAAAAAGCAAGGCAAACCTCACTTCTACCCAACCCTCTAGCCGCCTATCCCCACTGCGTTATATCCGTGCCGTGCCAGTAGGTTCACAAAGTACATCAGGGTCTGGACCATGATATCACTCCAACTAATAATATCGCTTACTATGTAATATGTATGCCGTTCCGCACAAGCCATAAAGATTTCGGCAGGAATTTAACCCCCGTATCCCGCTTCTGCAGAAATCCGGCCGCTATCCTAACTAGGAAGGACGCTAGAAAAGTTCTAGTGGGATCCACTGTGGGTCTGTTTGTTTTCTACGAGTTTTCTGGAAGCTTTTCGGTGAGTGTACGGAGTACTTGTGTTTTGTTGCTATGCGCTAGGCACACCGTATGGTTATGATAGATGTCGGGGGTGTTTCCCGTCACTGTGCAGTGCAGTGTCGAGTCAGTTAGTTGTGACGACGGAATATTTCGAACTGTTCCGGTTGATCAAGAGGTCAGAGTACTCCGTACATATGTTACCAGCCACCCGAAGGGTCTTGCGCATCGTATTCCCGTAGAGCGGAGCGGTATTTCTTGACTCGAATGAGCCAGGAACGCGGATTGTCGAGTCAGTCGTTGGCCACCATTGTCGTCGTTGTACGAAGGACGGAGCCGGGCGTTGACTCGGGAATGAACACAAGGTCTGTGAGAAAGGAGTGTTCCAAGATCTGGGATTCATTTTGTTTCATTTCGGTATTGAGTGGCCAGGGACGATCAGGGGACCTGTCACATTGCAGTTGATAGAGCATAACATGATTTGCCTGCAACGGGTGAATATCCGGCCTACGAGTATTTACCATATGTGCAACATCAGCCACGATATCATACATCATAGGATTTTCCAGACGAAACTCTATCAACGCGCCAAACGGCCAAAAGTTAAAGCCCCATTACTCCATACCATATCTCCCCAGGCCCGAGGCACCCCAAGGGCTCGGAGAACTTAACTCGCCTTGTCGGTGCGAAAAGTTTAAGCGAATCATGTGTTTTTACGGACTCCATATGGTCCGACAGAAAGGATGCTGTGGTGTCATGAATCGCAATGATTTCATCGGGGATTATTAGCCTTGCGATAATCGATTGAGCCATGGTTCGCGATCGCTTGAGGTCATGAGATTGATATCTTGTTCCTTGATTGTTTGGTTCAGAGACGGGACTCGCTTCTGTACCAGTATGCATGCTAGACAACATCTACGGAGTACCCCTCCATACTCGTGCTCGTACTGCTAGTATCTTTGTCCAACGACCCCTTTCCGCAAGTCCATAATAGTACAGCTGCTATATCCCGCGCGAATATGTACCCATCGGAATATTCACCCACACCCGCACCTCAAACAGGTAAGCCGCCAGAAGATTCTAGTCCAGCCACCAAGTGGACCACGTTAAAACCTTCCAGGCCTTCTATGCGTCTTCCAGAAGCCTTCAGGGGGTTTTCCGTGTCCCTGGCTTGTCCTGCCCCGTGTGGAATCTGCCCCTCCGTGCTGCGGTGCGGCGCTGTGCTCCATATTACTTACTACATTACAGTTGCGCTAGGATTTAGCACGGGGAATAGCCTGGATCAGAGGGTACATGTTTTGTATTGTTCTCATGAAGATCAGCTTCGGTTGGCTCAGTGTCGTGATGATCAGATGACCGGGGGTGCCGTAGCGTAGCACAGGGTTATTTTACCTTGCGCTACTGTGGTAGTCATGTTAGTTAGAAGAGAAGGATGAAAGAAAGAAAAGCGATGAAGAAGCGGAGTGCCCGCCAATAGGCGATCAGTTTGATCCCTTTTTCTTGCTCGCTACTTTTTGCGTTTCGGGGGTTTTATGGATTTGGGGAGGATCTTCTGGTTAGGTGTGTTAATCTTTTCGCAGAGCACGGAGTACGGTGTACGGTGTACTCCGGAGTATTAACCGAAGGGAATCAATATGGGTAAAGACCATGCCGTACGATCTCCCGGATTGATGTGTGGTCGGTGAGAGATCTGGTGCTCAATGCCAAAGTCGGGGGACAGTTCGAAGCACGAGTTGGCTGAAGGCAGAATACAGAGTAGAGATGTTTACATTCCAGATATCGAGGTTCCTCTGTACTATCACAAAGTACCTGTACTCTGTGAGGACATCCGGCGCGTAACGATATTTCGGGCGACACAAAAATACACTAGTTGCGCGTAGTCCGGAATCATAGAAAAGACCAGAAAAGGGGCGCTGGGACCAGCGGTGGAAGTTTTCCAGAAGGATTATTCTTAGAAAGCCACTATTAAGGATTATTACGACTCTGTATTACCGGGTATCCATCATGTGGCTTTGCTGGTGTTGTGCGAGGCTCCTCTTACCTCTCTCTGACTAACTCTCTCCCCTTAATAGCTCGTCAGGATTATTATTTTGAAACATCTCCAATGCCCAATCACCATTATCGATTATTAGTCAGTGTCATACCAAAGTCTTTTTCCCCTGAGAAAAGAACAAAGAGATTAAAATGGGTGCCTCATGAAATCACGGCTGCATCATGTCTTTTCTCCTGCATAGAATAACTCTGCAGTCCGGGTTGATCTCAAGGCCAGCAACAGCAACAGCCAACAGGATCATCCAGGGAACGGGGCCGGATATTGTATTCGAGACACTTCCGGGACTAGTGCTCGACCTGACTCGTGATCCGTGCCTGATTTTCCTTCTAGGCGATTTCTAGGCGAGTAAATAAATCCATCCTAGCGGTGAGTGGGCGAGAGGGACGCTGCTGCCACGGCACATAGAGTGGAACCCCCTGTAGTCTTCCGAAAATGCTTCTGGAAGGCTTTCCGAAGGCTGCACTGTTCCGCACCCGGTCAGGGGGGTGCTGCAGGAGTCAATAATTAGTGTGTGGTAAGTGCCACGGAAAGTGGGGATTATCGGGTCCTTCTGGAAGGGCAGAAAAGGAGACGATGAGAGAGTAAGAAAAAAAAAAAAAAAAAAAAAAAAAAAAAAAACAGACATCATTCTCAGCCCCGTCTTCGTCATTGGGCATTTGGACGTGTACAAAGGTAGTATGCTTATGCGGCTTCTTTTATTCCCCGTCGTAAGCCCGCATTTTCCTACACTAAATTCCAGTTAGTCGCGAAACTAGCACCATCAAGTAAAGTCTTGGAAGATCCACTTACTCTGGTATCATTACCACTGTACCCGTATCACTGTATTATGTTTAATTGGTGTTTTGGTTCTTTTTCTTTCCGGATTCTGACCTCTACAAGGCTTCAATCAGCATGCGGTCCAACGTGAGATATGCAGCCGGCAAGCAAGTCAAATAACGGGGAGAATTGACCAGATCCTGGTCCGTCGAACGAAAGAAATCGGATGGGCGGAGGACGGTCAGGGATCACGGTCTTGCTTCATCTCCGGCGCTCTCGAAACCTTCTAGAAGCAGTAGAAGGAAATTAGCTTCGCACTGTCGTCCTTCGCTAATCTCCAGTCATATTTCGGAAGAGATAGTTGTTACGCCAGGCAACGGGCCAGGACAATCAGGTACCCATAGTCACCTTCCCAACTGGGCTTCTCTCTCCATAACCACCACTCCGTGATTCCTATTCTGTACACTATGAGCTCCTGTAACAGAGACATGCCATCTCCAGCACTGCCACACCGGGAAGATCCTTGTGGATCGTTTAGCAGGTGGTCGTAGCAGAATGATAATGAGAAACCACCGCGGGGGGGGGATAAGCAAATTGGAAGAGACCCTGGAGCTTGTACAATATGTCGCACGATGACCAGAGAGACATGTACTGTTGCTGCTCCGTGAACCAACGTGCCGTAAGAAGATGTCCATCCCTCCCCTTGACCAGGGGAAAGTGCAGCTTTCCAAACTCCCCGCGTAGCATAGCAGCAGAGTATGTACTCCGTATGAATCGAGCGGAAGAGTCCGTTGCGTCATGTCCGACTGGATGAAGGACACTACTGCTACCGTACAGAGCGCTAGACTCCGTAGTTTAGCAGATATTCAGATCAGCGTCAGGAGGATCCACAGACCGATTATTCTCGCACAGTCAAAAGAGAGACGGGGAAAACGACGTGGTGGAGCCGAACTAAAGAGAGAGTCGCTACATACTGCTAGTAGTACTATGGCATAGTGGTGGAAACTGTAAAATACCAGTACAGGAAATAATCTAGAAAATAATCAAATACATTAAACCTCGATCGTGGAGACTTTTTCCTTTCCTTTCTTCTTACATATTCTCTTGTTCTCTCTCTCTGTCCAACTGTTGTTTTTTCTTCCTTTTCTTCCCTCCGAATCCGATCCTTGGTTCACTCACCTGTCTCTCAGACCTTTTTCCATCACTCCATAATCACCTTTTTTTACTCTATTTACCACCACCCGGAGATCTCTCCCTCTGCGCGCTACTTTCCTAGCTATCAATCTTGTGGACTGTACGTTCTTTTTATCTATTTTCTGTTCCTGCGTCGACGTGGCAGGTGCATGCGCCTACAGCATCCTCTTGTCTCTGCCATCCCTTGAGACAGTGCGCATTCTGGCTCCTGCTCGAGGTTTCATGCATAGATCATATTGACAGCTTGCTGACCATCCTATCCGTGAAACAGATTCAATCATTTTCCACGCGAAGCCTCCGTTCCTTTACCGATTCGACCATCTCGTGCCTGAACCCGAAAAGATCCTGCGCATACCTGTCGCGACAAGCTCTTCGCCATTCCATTCCGAACACGCATATTCTGCAGCTATCCAGTTCTTAAAATTTCGAGTTCGCAAAGCAGCGCTTGTCGAGCTGTCAAGAGTCAGTTTTATTATTCGGATCCGAACGTTTTCTGAGCACAGCAGAGTAATTTTGGCCTGGTGCCGTTTGCTCTACGCCCCTTTTCTGTGGTGTGACTCTTTTTTTGTCTCTCACCCACCTGTTCGCGTCTTTCAGGATTATCTGGTCATCTTGACGGATATTCTCTGTCAGTGTTTGCAAAAAAAAAAAGGTGAGTTGACTCGTCTTGAACTGCGACTGCGATAGCTCCACCGCTTGTGCATCGGGCATCCAACTCCACTGTTGGCGCATCGGTCTGCTTTTTTTTTTTTTTTTTTAAATCCTTTTTCTCTTCCTAGAAAAACAATGCTAACCAGTACTTTTTCTTGTGCAGTCTTTTGTTTTCGCCCTATAACTAGCGGTCTCCGTCTTTGCTCGTGTCAGCAAAAAGTACCTGCGCTACCTCGTCGGATTCGCGTGTTCGATAACTTCACAGGGAAACGCTGTGGAGACAATCTTACACTTTACGTGTAAAAACAGACTATTTTTCTATTTGTTGTCCTTGGCCACCGCATCTCAGCTCACCGCTGGGCCAGGTCATGGACATCACGACTATTTTGAACAGAAAACAATCTGCTGCCCTGGTTGCTGCAGAAGGACCGTTCCAACAACAGTTCGTACCTTCACCCTTCGGTTCTCCCTCGTCGCCAAGAATGAAGCCGGAACCGGGCGTCTCGGACCCTGGTGACCACCAAGTCCTGGCATATCCTACCCATGCTCCGCTTGGCCAGATGAACCTGCACCAAGGCCTGCAATACGCTCCTCGCACGCAGCCGAGTACCAGCATGCCACTGATGCAGAATGCCTACTACCCCGGAGGATACGCAAGCACAAGTCCAATGCCGAATGGCATCGCTGCTGCACCTACAGGAAGAGCCGATCCACCACCGAAGACTTTTTACTGCTCGACTTGCAACAAGGGTTTTGCCCGGCGCAGTGATCTCGCGCGTCATGGTACGTCCTCTTCTCCGTACCTTTCCTTGCATCAACAGCTAACCTGTCATCAGAACGGATCCACACAGGCATTAGGCCTCACGCTTGTGACTGGCCGGGTTGCGGAAAGCAGTTCATCCAGCGTTCAGCTCTTACTGTGCATTCTCGTGTCCACACTGGAGAGAAGCCTCATATGTGCGAGCGATGTGGCAAGGTATGTCTAGTCCCTCGTCTACACCGATTGGAATATTCTAACAAAATTTTTCATACAGCCTTTTAGTGATTCGTCGTCACTCGCAAGACATCGCAGAATCCACTCCGGAAAGCGCCCCTACAAGTGTCCGTATGCGAACTGCCAAAAGACCTTCACCCGCCGTACCACCTTGACCCGCCATCAGAACCACCACACTGGAACAATCGAGGAGGCTGCTGCAGAGACAGAAGCCAACCTGAGACAGAACAAGGACAGGGCAAGGATGCCAGGTGACATGTTTTCGGATCATGGCTCTGTTCACTCCACGCCGTCCCCCGCGCACCACCCCATCTCCCCGGCCGGTGATCTCCCACCGTTGCATATGCCCCGTTCTGTCAGCGATTACTACGGAAGCGGATCTATCCCCCCTCACATGCGAGGAGACTTTTCGCAACCCAGCCCCCGCGCGTCTCCGACTGCCACATCACCATCGCTGTCAAGCTACGGCAGCGCGCCACCTATCCGTCCCTCCATGACATCACATCCCACTGGCTACGGCCCCCCTCAGCCTCTGGAGCCGCCTGCCAACAACGACCACCGACCAAACAGTGTCAGCGGAAGCCCGCACATGACCAGTCTGGGCTGGGCATCTCCGTCGCATAGTATCCCGTCTCCCGGCTCTGTAAACGATTTCTACCCAGAGCCCAGTGCCCCAGCATACCACACCTCCATGCCTCCTCACATGTACTTCCCCAATTCCACAATTCGCCGGCCCGCCAGCACAGAGCCTGAGAATTATGAAATGAAGCCGAGGCTTGGCGAGACTGCGTGGTCTACTGCGGTTTAGTTCAATTCTTTGAAAAACTAACCGCATTGGCCTGTATTATCTATTTACTTGGTTCTTTCCTTTGTTAGCAAGCATATTTCTCGAATCTTCCCCATCTCATGAGTTTCTTGCACTTTCCCCTCTGTACTAGCATTGGTTCCCCGTGTCTATCCAGCATATCAAGGATAGACAAGTGGGAAAGGAGTCCGGGCTAAGCTTCTTATTTTGCATACGGGTGTTGTGTTTTTATTTCTGTTTCCGTTTTTGCTTTACTTCTCCTTTGTCGCCCCGTCATTTCCCCCCGATACTCATACTCATATTCATACTCATTCACTCCCTTGATGCGATGCGAGACATGACCAGAATGAAGCATATAACATACATACATACATAAACATAGATAGAAGGTGGGAATGGGGTTCTGGTTTTTGGATACGGTTTGCTTGGCTTGGTCGTCAGGGGTTCTGGTCTGATCTTGGTCTGGTGTTGCTGTGTTTTGTTTTTATCATATTATAGACTTGCTTTTTCTGTTGGTTATTGCTTTTTGTTTTTATGTTATCGTTATCTATACCTAATACTTGTTTTTTTTTCTGATCTTTTGCTTTCGTTGTTGCTGCTCTATATTAATACCACGTCTTGTACATTCATGGACCCCCTGTATGATAGACAGAATTGATAGAATTAGACACATTGATGCCATCTGCTGTCTTGTTATCTGTACTCGATAAAATCATAGAAGACTTATTGTAGTACATGCTAGTCAACAATCAACCAGTCAAGTTAATCTATGTACATATTACCCCGATACTAAAGACAAACACCAGTAACTACCCTTGAACACCACTAACATGGACCCGCAAACTACAGTGTATGAAACAATCAGACCTAATAATTCACTCCCAACCCACTAGAATTCATAGACTCCGGAATCGCAGGACAATTACACACGCCCGCACCTGACGAACCCGACCCCGACCCTAATCCCAGAGCACGCGCGAAAACCGTAGCAGCGGACGATGACGACGAGGATGAAATCATACCAAAACGCAGAAATACTTCTGATGTTGTGACGAGGATGGAGATTACGATTAGGACGATAATGATCCAGGTTTGATCTATTTCGTTAGCTTCCTTCTTTCTCTTTGGCATATGGAACGGGGGATAAAAATGTATGGGAGAGGGGGGGGGGCATACGAGAAGTCCTAGTATCAGCAATTGAATCGGACAGAATCTCCGCCAAATCCAAAAACACGCGACAGCGTTCATTAAGTACCTGAATCCGCGGTTTGATTTCCAGATACTCCCGAACAGCAATGTACAGCGGGTATAGTGTTGGTTCGCTTTCCCAGAAGAAGTTGGGTACGTCAAGCATATTCGAAGACAAGTTGACTTCGACTCGGCTCTTGAATAGGCGTCCTAGGATTCTAAAGACTTCTTCTCGTTTTAAGCCTAATTTTCCGGTGACGGCCAGACGGCGGGGGACGTCTTTGGCTTCTGCCATTTGTCGCGCCATGACTTCTTCGAAGAAACAGAGTTTGGTACTCTGTGCTATGCCGTGACTGATTGCTAATTTGATCATGTGGTCGCCGTTCCGTAGGGTGATCATATCGTTGTACACGCGCGGCCGCGAGATCTCAGTCGAGTATTCGAAGTGGAACTCTTCCGTCTCGAAGTCTTCTTCTTGTAAGGGCATGGTGGCTAGTGGGATCGGACTGCCTGTTACGGAGGACGTGGCGAAGGCGAGATCGGCTAGGATGTCTTTTTCTTGATTCTCTGTTAGGTTCCAGAAGACGACCACGCCGTAGCTGAAGACGAACATTTCTGCTACGTCGTATGCAAGACGGGCGGCGGCGGCGGACATGGAGGGGGTGCTTGTTGTTCTTGTTTCTGTTGGTCTGTCTTGGATATCGCTCGGATGGTGATGTTCATGACTGGTGCTACCCGGTGCACTCGAAGGCCGCTCTAGTGTATCCGTTCCTTCATCCATCCGGTGATTCTCTTGGTTGGCGTTATGGATCATTCTGTCAACACTATCGGGAGTTTCCTGCTCATGTTGATGCAAACCATCCTCCATATGGTGCATCCGACGACCCCCAACCGAATGCTCTTCTGCCTCCATATTAAACTCGTCATGGTAATCCCGCAGCTCGTTCCGCTCAATTTCCTCATCAAGCAGAGACTTGCCTCCGGGCTTCTTCACCATCGGACTACTCCGCAGTCGATACCCATCATTACCCGGCAACAGCGGCAAATGGTACGCCGTGTACAGACAGTCATCGTACAGCTTCGTCCGTCCCCCATGCTGCTCCTTGACAAACGACGCCAACGAACTCATCTTATACGCCTGCGCGGTACAATATGCCGTAACACGCGCAAGCTTTTCCGCACGACGAGCCTTGGGCAACCGCTCCGCATAGCTCTTCGCCCGTTCAGGCGCAACCTTGCGACGACGCAGTGCTTCCTCCTCAGCCAGCAACGGCGCAATATCATTATCCACCCCAAAATCACCACCCAGTTTCTTTTGCGTCACCAATTGCTGCCGTATCCGCTCCGGATCCCAGCCCTTATCTTTCGCAAGTCGTCCGACCAATTCCTCATCCACCGCTTCGTCATCGACTTCTTCTTCTTCTTCTTCTTCTTCTTCTTCTTCTGCTTCTTCTTCATCGACATCTCCCTCCTCTTCCACTTGCGATGTTTCTGGAAGAAGGACCAGTTTCTCACTAAGTTTCGTACTACGCGGAGGGAGACGCGGTTGCGCCGCGAGTCGACCGACCGTCCCCGACGAACTTGCCGTTCCGCCATGGATTCCTGCACTGCCTGAGCTTCCGATCAATCCTCCAGCAGCAGATGCAAGGCGCGAACGGGGACGAGCGCGCGTGTTTGGGGGTGGATGGCGCTGTTGCATGGAGGGGACATCGGAGGCATATTGGAGGACATTATCGACGGTGATGAATCGCGTTGATGGGGAGCGACGACGACGCTGTGGATTTGGTGGGTGTTGTTCGCGCGAGTCGGTAACCTAATCCAAGCACATGATTAGCCATACTGCATAGAGTCATTGTATGTAAATGGATAAGAAAATCACATACCAACACCGTAGGGCTTCTCTGGCCGACCCGGCCGCGAGGACGAGAAGACGACATGGGTTTTGACGTCAAGTCTACCGGAATACCCTTCGACCAAGAAAAAACAAATTATAATACAACCCGTCAATAAAAAGCCCGATTGCCTTGATTGCTTCGCCCCTCAACTAAAATCCCAGTCCAAATGCCAACCGCTTATAACGGGCTCGTCGAATAGGAAATCGTCCGGGACGCAACGGAATCGAATCAAACACCGCTTGTTCTTTCCCCCCTTGTTCAATTGTCGCTGCAGAAAGAAGCAACGACGGCCAATCAATATGAGATGATGCGGCTGAGTATCAGTGATGCCGCCATAGACGTGGTGGTGGTTCCTCGCATCAAGTTGCTGGTCTGGTCTGGATGTGCTACGCTTCCCAGATAGATTAGGTAAGCACATGGCTTACCGCCTTGGTTACCGCCGCCAAAATAACGGCACTAAGCCTGCTGCGGTCTAGTGTCATAACGAGGAATGACGTCGCCTAGCCGTCGGACGTAAAGCCGCGGCGTAAGGGCTGGGTAATGATACAATACGCGTATGTAATGGTAGTGACGGCGCTATTTCCCAACCCGGACACTCGGGAGCCACGTGCACAGGCCGTACTAGTCCCAAAATGGCTTAACGGGTCGTATCTGGGTTAATCTGGGGTAATACTCCGTAACAGTACGAGCATATTCTAAGCACCTTCAAGTCAGAATTTATCGTAAATGCAATTAGATTCAGTAATAATATATCGGGTTTCTATGTCCTAGCAGTAATGACAGATGCTAGATGTCTATGCAAATAATTATGCAAATGCTCTGCTGTAGCACGAGGGGGGTCAATATGCAAAAGAATAATCCGAATAAACCAAAAAGATTAAAAACTCAATAAAAGGGTGGAAACAAAGAACGCCCGGAGTACCTAGATCTGTTGCTTCCTCGTGCTGTAATGCAATCCAAAGAATAGGCTGAAAACATAAAGATGGTATGATATGAATGCAATAACTCAGAACATGGATCATGTCCCGTCCACGATGAAAATAAAGGGTGCATGAAAATCAGTAACGGCATTGTTATCTTCGTAGCTCTTCCCGGAGCCGTCGATCCTCGTCCCAAATTTCTTTCTTGGTTCGTTGAAGAGCTGCGTGCTGTCGTTGTAAATTATCCAGGTCCGCCCGCGGAGGGTCTGGATGTCTTGCCATCGCCTCATACAAGGTACGGTATTTGGCATAACGTTGCTTGAATCTTTGCGACTTCTCCCGCAGCTGTCGGCGAAGCAGCTCATAGCTCATGGGCGGCGAGGCGCTACCTGTACTGCCGCTGGAAGTGCTTGGGGCTCGCCGGCGTTTATGCTCCAAGCTCCCATTTGTCATGGTGTGGGATTGACGAATTGAAGGCCGTTCCGGCTCCGCCTTGCGCTTCAACGGATTTGTCACCGGCGTCGACTTGACAGCACCATTAGTCTGGGCGGCTTTGGGGGCGCTGGTGGCGGTAGCCTTGGGTTGTTGTTGCTGTTGTTGTTGTTTCGGTCGCGAGATCTGCGAAATCAGAGGCGAGGAAGAAGAGGAGGAGGTGCCGGAAGGTGGATGATTTTGACTGGAAGCACGACTATGGGTACGAATCTCGGATGCGTTGGTCGGAGGCGATGAGCCAAGCGGTGACGGCTTCCGGGGCGAGTTGGATGTCCGAGACGACGGCGGTTTCTTCAATGCGGTAGTCGGTTTAGCAGGAGGCTGGTGAGAGCTTGTTGTGGTATCAGGCTTAGGTGGGGGACGCTCCGACTTGTCGACTTTAGAAGGCGCCGGATGTTTGATTTCCGGAGCATGAGATACGTCTCGTTTGGCAGCGGGCTTCGGTTGTGGCTTCTCCGTGGTATCCGCCTTCTCCCGCGTCTTGTCGGTGGTCGCTGGGACATCTGGCATTTCTGTGTCTTCGTCCTCATCTGATTCGTGGACGTATTCTGCCGATTTGACCTTGGCGTCTGGTTTCGCGGCAGGCTTACGCTCAGCCTTCTTGGTGACACGGCCGGTCAACGTGCTGTTTGTAGTAGTCTTGCCTTTGGCGGGAGCCTTCTTGGCAGCTGCGGAGTCCTTCTCGCCTGTCCGTTTTTTCTGTGTAGTTGCAGTCTTCGCGCCGCTAGTACTGGCCCTGTCAGTCTCATGACCCGTCGTGTCACCATCCTTGTCGTCTGCGTTCTGTGCTTGGACACGGGACGTGGCAGGCTTCTTGATAGGCCCCGTCGACAAGTTCAGTCGTGACAGACACTTGCCTTTGCCTCGTTCTTCCTTGGGGAGCAACATCTGCCATTGTTTGTCGGTGCGAGAGATGCGCATCCGATCGAAGGCGGAGATGGCATTCTCAATGGCCTCCTGCCGGTCTTCCTGAGACGGGTAGGGGAAATTCCACACATCAAGATCCTTGTAGGCTTTGTCTTTGAGGTCGAATTTGTCCCGATTGAGTCGGTTCTCAATACCGTACTTCTGGGTCAAGGCCGTGCAGTCATCGAGGGAGGCGCGGGTTACGCGGGTGAGGAACTTGACGGAGACGGCGCGGACGGCGAGGAGGTGAATGAAGGGTACCTTGAGGGCATCGAGGCGAATTCGATCTTTATTCTGAGTCACGGGGGCGGAAGTAGGTGTGAGGGCAGGGATGGAGGCCGGGGAACGGGAGACGCCCAGGCCAGGACTAGCAGAAAGAGAACGATTGGCGGATGATGTTTTGAGGAGGCGGTCCTTTTCCCGCTCGACCTTGCTGGCAGGAGTGCATAAAAGACCAGAAGGTTTCCCCCGGAGAGACTTGACTTGATTGATGTCATCAATCATGTGCGTCTTCTTGGACTCTTTTCCTTGTTCATAGGCATTCAAGCTCAACTCGAGGTTGGCCAATGCCTGATCGGTGGCCGCAGTGGCCTCCCGGGCCTTCTGGACCTCCAACCTATGACTCAAAACACCAGTAAAATATGCGTTCTCTTTGTCGGAGGTGGATCCACAGGTGTAGATCTCGGATCGGTGAGCCTCGGGGGCGGAATGGAAATGCTGGGATTTGGAGCCGTAGTAGAGGGTCTGGTGTTTCCCGAAGCGTATTCGAGCCGATTTATTCTCGCGCAGCGACTGTATCAGCTCATCGACGGTGTTATGAGCCAGATTTAACCGCATAACATTCGTTGGTCTGGTTGTGGCGTCGGTACCGGGGACAGGTCTGCAGAGAGACAACCCGGCCTCGGGGACGTCTAGGGCCGACATGGCGAAGGAGGACAAGGGAAGGTAATCGTTTTCTCGCAGGAATTCGTCGGATGGTTGTTCCTGAAGCGGATACAAGAAGAGAGAATGAACAATCGAGGTAGGAGAGGAAGGGTTCGAGAACCGGGCGTAGGAACGGATGGCAGCGTGACCGCTGCAGGTTCACCGGGTGAATGCACGGGAGGAGCGAGGACCGTCTGCCATATAAAATCGGCGATCAAGCAATGACAATGAAGTTATGAGAATTGCATGCAAAATGGCAAGCAGAAGAATTTCGAGAGCCACCAAATCCCATTGCAGAACAGGGTCAACAAGTGGTGGACGAGAGCAGAGAAAGTAGTAGGGAGGGAGACATGCAGAACAATGGAAGAAAGAAAGAACAAAGAAGGAGAGAAAGAAGAGTAGTGAGAGAGAAAGAGGAGGAGAGGAGAGAAGATGGGAAAGAGAATGAGGGGAAGAGGAGAAAAGAAAGAAAAAAGAAAAGAGAGAAAGACGAGAATGAGAGAATGAGAGATGATGCCAAAAGGAACGGCGAGACTGAGAGCAAGGCGGCTTCAAAGCGGAGAGCCGTATGTATGGTATTACCGTACGTATCACAATACATACACTCTACTCTGTACAAGTATGTATGTACTTGTACTCTACCAATACACTACTACTATGTACTATGTTTCTATTCTACACTTCCTACTTCCTACAATCCTACTGATACAATAGATTGGCCACTGCATCATGCTGTTCTGGGCGCAGTAGTGGCGATGCAGCATCATCATCTCAGCATGTATGTACGGTTGTTCCTCAGCCCACTGTACCTAATACCTAATACCTACAAGTAATACTAGCTCAAGACCGTCGTCTGGGCTGTTGCATTCGTCCATGGGATGGTTGGCTCTGGTTCTGGGAGACCCCTGCCATCAATCTGACTTCATTTGTGCTCTACCGTATAATTCCCCTCTGCTCTGTACAATACAAACAATTAGAACGCCCAGTTTGATCTTATTTTCTTTCTTTCTCCCTTTCATTGATTCAGTAACCATTGGGTAATAATACCGTACAACACTGCGACGGACGCTAAACCACCTCCCCCGCTGGGCTGGCCAATAGGAACCAGAAATTAGAGTCTGGTGGGCCATCCGAGCCTTTTTCCGAGGTCTTGACACGCCATAATCGGGCAAAGATCGGCGCCTGGGTAAGAAATAATCCTTCTTGGCGTATTACCGTACATACTCTATTTAGGGGCGCAGTAGAGGCTGAGTCCTGTGTACTCTGTAGAGTATGGTCTATGTTTTGTAACTATGCATAGTTATGAGCGAGAGTTAGAAGAAACAAGGACATCAGTATAAATCCATACCTTGCAGAGGACGGTTGAAGCAAGATCAGCGTCAAATAGATCACCTTATCGTGGGCGGAAGATCATCCCGTTCTGTCCAGTTTCACAAGAGTTGCTATTGACGGAGTATTCCATACACTCTCAGATCAATCACATCAGCAGAGCTGAAGAGAGCATCAACTGTAATTGTACGTATATACAGAGTAGTTGTATGTATGAGGATCTCCCTGCCACTTTACACATCGAGTCCCGCGATTCAATTATTTACCGACTTTTAAGGTTACTGATCTCGAGGATGTACTCTGCATGTACTCGATCTAATTGTACTGTACGGAATATGCACACATGACCCATGTACTTTGTACTTATGGCTGGCTGAAATGCGCAAGGATTCCTGCCACTTTTATTCTACGCAGTTTTCATACAGTACCGTAGAAACAATCAAGAACATACCGACTTCCATGCTATATTAATCCAGACACTAGTCCGGCCTAGTTCCAAACTCCCTGCTGATCAGTACCTACTCGAAATATGTACATACTGGTAAAATGCCCAATTCAATCCATGCTGAGCCACGTACATACAAGTTAATAACCAACAATTTCTCACTAGCGTTACGGAGTATTGGATATCAAAACAGCCGCGCTACGCCTGGATTTGCACGCTCCACGGCTTAACCTTATGTCGGTTTTCTTTCGCGGGTACTGAGGGCTCGGTTATAATACTGGATACCGACCGTATGATCGGTATTCTACTTCGATCAAATGGAGGTCCACAGCGCCCGGGTAACAATGGTACACACACTATGGACTACTGTAGCTACAGGTCAAATACATGCAATCTCTCCAAAATAGTATTCTTGTGTGTTGGTCAGGCATGCATCCGGGAGGCATGAACAATAGGAATAAATACCCTGCATGGGCATGGCTGACAGAAGAATAACCGGCAGTCGGGAATCATTAACGAGGGGGGTCGGGAAATATCGCTCGTTGCTGCACATAATCACAAATGGCAGTGTCTTAAACGTCCTATATTAACGAGAAAACTTCAAGACAACACCCGACTTCTCGCGGGGACAATCTCCGTCTCTCAATGTGAGCTGCATCGGAATGGACCGCGGTGACCACTGTGCATATGTAGACATGCCCGCTGTTTCGCTTCTCAACCAACAGCTACTTGTACAAGGAGGAATGCTTTCGTGCTGAAAAACTGTCAACATTTTCCCTCATGTGACCGAAGCAATGTTTCAAAGTCCTCCAGCACATCAGTCAGTGATTCAATTGCCTCGATAGGCCAATCAACGTCTGCTGGTTTGGCATTTGAATCATGCAGGTCAAGTCGGGGCTGAAACCAATCACGATCATGTATCTTACAATATGTACTTTTTACCAAAACGTTACTTGATGGATAATAAAGTTGAGCTATAATGAGGGGCTTCACAAACATGCGTCTGGACGCTTCGGATACCCTCGAGTCAGTGATCATGAGACTTTTCACATTGATAGCCTGTCAAAAAATACTGTCCGGTAGAAGAGTTGACTTGATACAAACACAAAAAGCTTCTTGCAGTGTGATATCCGAATCATGCGTACGAGTATGTGTATCCTTTGGTTGGACTTCCGTAATCTTTGTCCGTACCGGCGAGTACTTGATAGATCCTAACCATATATTTGTATCATGGTATTATGTCTGAGTTTCATCAATTGTAAAACTAGTATAAAGCTTCAATGAGTTAACGACCTCGCAGAATCCTTCTATCAGGCGGAGTTCCGGCTCTGTCGCATTTGGTTGACCTACCACAAACAAAAAGGTTTATGCAAAGACTCCACAATATCGTCTTCGTGGAGGCTAGGGTTCCTCTGGCGTGAAAAATGTATCGCTTGTTCAACATGTCAGTGGTTTTTGTCCGTGCTAGCACGTGGACAAATGTCAGGGCTCCCATGAACGGGAAGTTGAGAAATAGGCTTACCAGGGTCCTGAGGAAGTTTCACAGCATGAGGTTAGATATGGCAATAACCGTCACCACCTTAAGATGTGATATCTGATTATTGCACAGCCCCAACTTTCGTACACGAAAGTAAAACTGCCCAGGAAGGCTATATTTGCCGGTAGGTCAAACCGGAAGAAGCGAGTGTCAGATTAAATTTGGGCCATAATATAGCGGTTCAGATGATGGAATGGAGTAGTGGCAGTCTTGCATGTTTTTCTAGTTGCTCTTAAATTGAAGCTGGTTGGCCAAGGATTGAATGATGATGCAAATTCGGAGCGCAACCATCCCTTTCAACAACCATCTTGGTTCCCGGATGGTCATCAGGAGTACTATTTAGCTCTTGGTCCAAAATGGCGCTGTATTGAGGAAGTTGACAGTATGTCAACCGGCATGGCTTTGGTCATGTTGCCCTCCCTGAGTACGTGGACCAGTGTTTAGACTATAGAGACCTGGATCACTATGTTGTTTCATTCAGATGCCATTCCTTTTGAGTGCTCATGGCTTTAGAAGATTGATGACAGCAGAAAAGCCTTAACACGGTAGAAATGTGTTAGCAGATGTAAGTACCCAGTGCCATTCACTATTTTACGCCATTTTATTATTATCGCACAATTCATCATGTAGGTACAAAGAGGGTTTGGTTGAGCTGTATTTCTTCTTGTCTCAATCGCGCATCATCCTCCGAGAAATGGATGCTAAGTTGAGTATCTAGGGCCTTTCTATACGATATTTCAAGAGACTTTAAGGATATGATTGTAGGAACAGCAAGTTGAGATAAGTAGTCTATCTGGCAAAAGAGTATCTTCTTTTCAAACCATGCTGGTATGTGACTGCTAAGGCGAATTCAGTCCAACTGACATCTTCTTCGACCGAAAGCCCACCAACGGAATCCGAGTCCTCATCAACAGACTACTACAAACCACACTAACACTGCTCAGCGCCATAGCCAAACTAGACCAGACCGGATCCAACCGCACATGACTCCCATTGCTGACAATAGGATAGAAAACGCCAGCAGCAACCGGTACAGCAACGCAGTTATACACCAACGCCCACCCGAAGTTAAACTTGATATGTCGGAACACAGCCCGGCTGAGATCAACCAGCGTCAACAGAGACCCAAGGCCGGAAGTAACCAGAACAAATTCAGCAGAGGAAATGGCAATATCGGAACCGGACCCGATAGCGATGCCCACGTCAGCTACCGTCAGCGCGGGGGAGTCGTTAATTCCATCACCTGCCATGGCGATGAGGGCGCGTTTGGAGGTTGTTCCTGTTCCGTGGAGGGTCTTTTGGAGGTATTGGATCTTGTCGGCTTTTTGCTCGGGTAGGACGCCGGCGATGATGTTCTCGGGTGGGATTCCGACGGTCTTGCCCACTGCGTGTGCTGTTGTTGGGTTGTCGCCGGAGATCATCCATGCTACGATTTTTCGATCTCGTAGGGCTTGGAGGATGTCGCTGGCTTCTGGTCGGATGCGATCGGCGACGGCTAGCACCAAGGCGAGTTCCCATGGCGCTGTACTCATGGTTGTTGGATTAGGACGGGTTTTCGCTGCAACGAGGACGACGGATTTCGCCTCGCACTTCCAGGAGTCCAGTGCCGCAGCATTGGTGGAGGAAATGGCTACGTCGTGATCATGCATCAAGGCCTCATTTCCCACAATCATGTCGAGATGTGACTCCGTACTGGCAGTGGCTAGAAACGAACCCTTCATCCCCTTTCCTGGTATTTCGTTCACAGCAGAAGCCCAAAGGGCAAGCGGGCTCATCGACGCAGCAAAAGAGACCATCGCTCGTGCAATGGGATGGCTACTGTTCTGCTCGAGCTCCAACAACGCCCCCCAAACATTGTCAATTTCTCCTTCATAGGGCGTCTGGTGATCAGTAACCGCTAGTTCCCCACCTTCAGTAATCGTCCCTGTCTTGTCAAAGACAATGCAGTCGAGATGACTCGCTTCTTGAAAAGCTTCACCACCGCCCTTGACCAAGATGCCATATTTAGCCGCGAGACCACCGCCAACAAACAGAGTGGTCGGGGCAGCGAGGCCGATACCACAGGGACAGGCCACCACAAAGACAGAGATTGCGAACTGTAGCGACCAAAACGGCCAGCCGCCAACGTTATTGTCCATCCAATCCTCGGGCAGCCTGCCAGATACACCGAGACTCAACCAGATGATCCAATCCAAGATGGCGATTAGGGTTATCATAGGTACAAAAAATCCAGTGATCGCATCTGCAACACGCTCGATGGGGGCTCTCCGGGTCTGTCCTTGGCGAACAGCGTCGATAATCTGGTCGAGAATCGAGTCCCCAGGCCGCCGGGTGAGTTTCATGGTGATAGGGTTCGCCTGGTTGGTCGTTCCCGAGAAAATGTCGTCGTCAGTTTTTTCTTTTTGGAAACGGGTTTCGACTCTCCAGTCAGGCTAGACTCGTCGAATCGAGACTCGCTCTCTACCATGATCCCATCATAAGGCGGAGAGGCCCCATTCGCGACCCGTACCACATCCCCAATCTCGAGCTGGTCAATCGGGACGGTAGCGTTACCGTTCCTTGCGTCGTGGTCGACAAAAACAGCTTCCGTGGGCCTCAGCTTGCTAAACAAGCTCGCCGCGTCACCAGCCTTGGCTTTACTGTACGCCTCGAGCAGGCGGCCAATCATCAGGAACATGGTCAAGAAGACGACGGCATCAAAAAACGACTTGTTCTGAGTCGAATGACCATCGTCGGCAGGTCGAGAGGCATTGATAGCCAGAAACGCAATCGAGAAATACGCGATCGAGGCTCCCAGAGACATGAGCATATCCATGCTTCCGAAACGGTAGAAACGGCGGAGGATTGGCGTCTGACTACCAGGTCGCCATAGCGCCTTGAGCTCCGTGAGCATGCGGCGGTGGAAGATATCCGTAGCAAAGAAGTAAACCGGCGTGGAGGTGAACAGCAGAGCCCACTCGCTTCGGGTAGCCTGGCCAAACCACATGGGCTCCTCGAGATAATTTCGGCCGGGATTGTCCTTGGAGACCAGAGACATGTACACGATGCCGATTATAAATGTCGGGATGGCAGATAGAGCGGCCAAGATTAGCCGACTCGCGATCTGCCACTGCTGTCGGCGATGCATCGCGTGTGAACGCTCTTCCAGTGTTGGTGGATGGTAAATGGACACTGTGAAAGCTTTGTCGACGTCGGCAATGGTTTGAAGGATATGCCGGATGGTGAAATGGGGAGCTTCCGGGATGTAGCTCACCGTGAGCTTAGAACTTGTCTCAGTTGGAGGGTCAGTCACCTCGACTCGATTTGAGTAGGTGGCCAGGGCCTCCAGGACCCTCTTCGGACAGTGTGCGCAGTGCATACCGTCTATCTGAATGGTAACCGATTGCCTGGGGCTTTCGCCGTCATAGTCCGAGGGAGCCATGTTATCGATGTCACTGAGCGTCGCAGAATAACCCAGACTCTGGATGATATTGACAATCTGTTCCAGATGGCCCTTTCCTTGGAACTCCACCGTCGCACTGTTGGATACAATGTTTACATGAACCTTAATGATCCAGTCATAATGGTTCAAAGCATCCGTCACATTGCCAACACAGGAGCTGCAAGACATGCCACCGATGGCGTACGATGCCCGCCACATATCCGCTGGAGCAACAGGAGGCTTGCTCGGTTTGGGGGGCTGGATCTCTTCCCTGTCAACCAGTTCCGCATTATATCCAGCGTCTCTGACAGTCTTGAGAGCTTCATCCACGCGAGCCCCATCCAGCAGGATAGCAGAAGCACTACTGGTTAACAGGTTGACATCTGCAGATCGGACCCAAGGCTTTTCCTGTATTGCACCGGTGATCTTGCTCACGCACGAGCTGCACGACATGCCGTTGATAGCCAGCGTGATTCAAGTCAGGGAACCAGTACGGTGATCAGTGTTGATGGATGTGAGGTCGACGTCACTAGAGTTAGCAGATATAGTGGTCTCTGAGATGTGTTTTTTGGACAGAGCCTCCACTTCAGTAGAGCTCGAGACGCCAGACGGTGGTGTTTCCTGTCGCAAAGCACATTCATCGCACTTTTGGATATGTAGCTTCTGTAAATCCGTTTTCGGAGGGTTTGATCGTGGAGCATCGTCAAGTTTCTCGTTCGAAGGCAGCACGCTGTCAATCTCAAAGGCGGCATCTGCGAGAGAACGGATAATCCGGGATGAACTGAGCGTATCGGGGTGGACGATCTTGATCTCGTGTAGCACAATCGAGGTTGATATGGAGAGCGGAGGCGGGTCAAGAGCGGAAAGGGTTTCTTCGATATTAACGACGCAGGACGGGCAATGCAGGTTGTTCACCAGGATCATCGTCTGCCTCGATCCAGGCGGGTGTTTCTGTGCATTTGGTGCCATGCTGTACCGGGATAGCTTTCAAGTGGAAGTCAGGTCAAGAAGACGAAGGTAGGTAGGCAAGTATATGAGATGAGACCAACAGAGAGGAACGTATGGAAAAGGAGGGTTTTATAGTTCTCTCAGTCAACCAAGGACTCTCTTCTAGCTTTTACGAGAAGCCTCCCTGGCATAAATAACGCTTCTTTTCTTCTTTCCCTTTCCTCTTTGCGCCATTCTATCACTTGCCACTTGACACATACCCGGGAACGGAATGCGATATTTGTGCGTTTTGTATCCCTGGGGGTATAGATTATGCAACATGCAACGGAGATTAGATTTTCTATTTCAGGTTAGTTTCCGCTGTGAATCCATGGATGTCACCCAGTCTAACCCTATGGAGAAATTATCGATATCAAAGCCCGAATCGGCGTTGCGCGGTTTTTGCCTCTTTTCTTCCCCGTTCTTCCTGTTGCTGCTTCTTTAGTCAGTGTGTGTTTATTATAAATCAGTAGAAAATAAGAGTTCGAAAACACACAGAAGCCGAATTTGCCAATCTTTACCAACATGTATCGAGCGTGTCGTTTGATTCGCCCCCAACTGGGTGCTCCTCCACGTCCTACCACTCTTCACTCACAGTTCTTCTCTTCCTCATCTCAAATCCAAGCTTGTTCCTCGCATAAGCATAAAGAGTCTTCCACGGCCCAAGATGTAAGCTGCCACGGCCAGAAAAGTGCAGCAACGTCACTTTGGCAACCCCAGTTTTGGGCCCATCGGTCCACGTGGAAACGGGCCGGTGTCAACACCTTACGCTGTCTGGTTGGTTGTACAGCTGGTAACTTTTCCGCTATGTGGCTGCTTCAGACAACGTATCCAGAGCTCGAGATGGGGGCCATCATGGTTACATCTAGTATTGCTCCCCTCGCTTCACTTGTATATGTGAATTAATGACTGATAATTGTTCAGTGGCATCCGGGATCACCACCTCGATCATCCTCGAAACGATCCTCCTCCGGTTAGGGGCCGATCGGCTCTCTTGGCCGACTGCCGCTCGTACTGCGATGGGGATGAGTATGGTGTCGATGCTGGCGATGGAGGTAGCAGAGAACGTGGTTGACTACCATCTCACTGGTGGTGTGGCGGACTTTGGAAATATGCAGTTTTGGCTGGCAGCTGCGGTGTCGATGGGAGCTGGGTATTTGGCTCCCTTGCCGTATAATTATCTGCGGTTGCGGAAGTATGGGAAGGCTTGCCACTGAGTTCTCGGGGCATCAATGTTCTTATAGAAGACCATCGGTTTACCGAAGTATATACGAATGGACCAGACAAGTGGTTTCTGGAACTGTCATAGGAGAGCTAGTGGATTTGAGATTCCATTAGCCAATAGGTTAATTCAACGTTGGGATCGGGGATGTTTGGTATGTGCCAAATGAATATACTGCTCCCCGCATTGGATTATCCGTGGATCTTCACATCGCGTCCATCAGAATTTCTGGGCTTTGATCCGAGAGGCCGAATCTCTGGTGGACACCTACCGTTGTGGTTCTGTTGCATAATAGCCTCGGTCGTAAAGGCACATCTGAACCTCGGTTGCGGAGACATAAATGAAGCTCGCCGAATGCTAGCATAGAGCAGCCATCTTTCATTTTCGCATATCCTTTTGCAGTGTGCGGCTCAGCCAAAAATATGGAAAATCAGAAAAAACCTTCATCGTCCACGGACGGATTCTTTCAAATCCTACCCGACGTGCCCCCTGCGTATACACGCGCCGATACTCAGCAGCAAGATTCCCATGCTGGATCAGACGACACGGTCTTTGCGAGAATCTTAGGGCTGTATCTTCCAAGGGAATCTGCTGAAGTGGGCACCTCTATTCACAAACTTGGTCGCCGCGCTCTCCATCCATCAACGCTACGTCTGGCCACCGATGCCGAGGTAAACCAGCCCGTTCTCCGGCCACTCACCACGTTCGGTGAAGAGAATCGTACCGATCCTCTGTGGACAGGCGAGGGCTGGAGAACACTCAAAGCGATCGGGCAAGAAGAGGGGTTGGTCACTGTGGCGTATGAAAAGGACAACAGTTCATGGAATCGGCGGGTTCATCAGTTCGCGCTCAATCATGTCTGGAGTAGTAGTGCGGCCATGACTGGCTGTCCTGCGTCGATGACAGATGGGGCAGCGAAGTTGCTGGCGGGGCATTTGGATGATCCAGACGGTGACCAACCCGAGCGCAGCGGGGTGCTCCGCGAGGCTTACCGGCGGCTGGTATCGCGAGACCCTAACGAGGCCTGGACTACTGGGCAGTGGATGACCGAGCGAACCGGCGGGAGCGATGTACGAGAGACAGAAACAGTTGCGCGACGGTTGACTGCGGAGGAAGTGTCCCAAGACGTGGAGACTGGACGAGACCTTGACACTCACGGTATGCCGTTGGGACCATGGCGTATCGATGGTTTCAAATGGTTCAGCAGTGCAACAGACTCGGACATGACTCTAATGCTAGCCCAAACGGACGAGGGGCTTAGTCTGTTCTATACTCCTACACGACGACGCTCCAGTAAGCAGAAAGACGCTGGAGAGCTAAATGGGATTCGAATTCAGCGCCTTAAGGATAAACTCGGTACCAAGTCTCTGCCCACAGCTGAGCTGGAACTGAAGGGCGTCCGGGGCTGGCTAATAGGCCAAAAAGGAAAAGGTGTGAAAGAAATTGCCACAGTTCTTAATATCACTCGACTGTATACCGCAGGCGGATCTGCTGCAGGTTGGGGTCGCGGTCTCGCAGTCTGCCGGGCGTATACTCGGGTCCGCAAAGTGCGAGGAGCCCTCCTTCAAGAAAATAGGCAGCACGTTCGATGGATGGCAAGCGAAACCATGAAGTATTGGGCGGCAATGCATCTCACATTTTTTGGTATTGCATTGCAAGGCACCGTGGAGCAGGACTGGGAATCGATGGTTCGCAACACAAAGGCCACCAACCTAATCCCACGGGATAGCACGAAGGCGGCAACCCTTCTTCGACTTGTCACCCCAGTTATGAAATCTGTGGTCAGTGTCAATGCAGTACACGGACTACGTTCCTGTATGGAGTGCCTTGGTGGGGTTGGCTATTGTGAAAACAACGAAGATGGCGGCTTGCTGAACATTGCGAAGATATTCCGTGATACCGCTGTCAATCCCATCTGGGAAGGAACGGTCAGTGTGATGGCGGAGGATATGGTTCGGGTCGTCACTGATAAACGTCTTGGAGGGGGAAAGGTAGTGGACACAGTTTTTGCGGATTGGGTGAAGGACATCCTCGCTACCTGCCAGTTCAAGTTCGGGGAGGAGTGCGTTGTTGTGCAGCAGAGGCTTGATGCTTTGCGGGCAATAACAAGTAGACTCGGCAAGGAGGAACTCCTGTGGCGTGGAAGGGAACTTCTTGAGCATGTGGCCGTTATTGTGTGCTCCTGTCTGCTCATGTATGATGCATCTTCTGATGGCGATGGCATTGCGATAGAGGTTGCCTCCAGGTGGACGCGTTCCAAAGCTCTTCAGGGTACCCGAATCTCTGCCAAAGGCACAGATTGGCATCGTGAATCTGCCATTGACAAGAGAATATTTCTAGGAGAGGCCACGCTTCTGTCTAAGATCTGAGAAGCGGTGGCTGCTAGCCTCGTTAGCAATTATTACCTCCAACTTCAGGACTAATTGTCTCTCATTCCCATAGATAGAGGATAGTAACTGGCGGTAAAGCGTAATTAAGAGAATGATGGATGATGGGAGGAAGGAATAAAGTGCATCATGTGACTGGTGTGGTCGGGTGCCTCCTTTCTTTCAACATTAACCCTCCCTCAACCTCAACCTATCCCATCCTCCAGGCCCTTCGAGTTCTCGCCCAATATGGCTGTTGATAAGGACGGTATCTGTGTATGTACATAGTTCCTTCTCTCAAAGGCCTCCTACCCTTCGATTCTGACACTCATACAGGCACCTTGGTTCTAGCCCCAATCTTCATCGAATGAAGACTGCTACAACCTTGAATATCCTAAGCCGCATCAAGTTGATCTGAATCTGTTACTTCAACATATGCTGCTTCAGAGTTGCTTTCTTGTGCCCTAGACCATTGATCCCAAACAACGTCTCTTTCCGCCGTGTTGCTCTTCGGCGATGGATCTATCTGAAATATATTGAGTGCCATTGATATTTTTTTTCCCCGACAACTGAGAGAGCCATGGATATACCTTATCGTTGTCTGATTGGCACCGATAAAATTGTTTCTGTGTTCCCCGTCCTCGAGCGTCCTTTATACGCGCTATGTTGTGTTTACAACTTGTCGGGGCGCTGTTGCGAAGACTTCCGTGCTCCGAAAAGCCGTCTGTTGGGCCCCAATCTAATGCGTCTGAGCAAGCAGAGGTTGAGAAACCGAAGTTAGTTTTTATCATGGGAGCCATTGGCTTCGGTCTCAACATAATAAGTATTCTGTTCTTGTATGGTAAATTCTCCCTGTGACTCCTGTGATTCAGTTCGACCTGGCTGACCACGGCGCAGATCATGATCATGGCCATGATTACAGTCACGATCACCACGGTGTGGAACATGAAGTTGCCCCTCCTGAGAACTCTGATTCGGTAGGATTGATCGATGAAAAGGTTGGTGTTTTTCTGTCTAGTTCCCCATTGCTTCGATGTCAGTAAAGAGGCTGACACCCGCCAGCACCTTCACCATAAACACCATGCGTCCACCACTAGCTCCCACGGTCCTAAGCGTGACCTAGCCATGATGGGTGTCTTGATACATGTACTTGGAGATACTGGAAATAACCTGGGGGTTATGGCCGCAGCATTGGTGATCTGGCTGGCTCACTACGGTGGAAGGTTTTATGCAGATCCAGCGGCGAGCATGGGAATCACATTGATGATTCTGGCCTCTTCTATTCCCTTAAGTAAGCATTATGCTTTCCCACGTCCACTAGTGCGAATCACTAATTACATTGTAGTCAAACAAGCTGGTCTCATTCTGTTGCAGAGTGCTCCAAGTGGAGTAGACCATGATGATGTGAAGCATGACCTAGAAAAGGTAAGCATCATCCTTCCTCATATGTTCCGTTTTTGTCTAAATTCAATACCTCTTCTGGCTATAGGTACCTGGGGTTATTGCCGTTCATGAACTCTATATCTGGCGGTTAAATCAAGCCAAGTCATTAGCATCCGTCCATGTCACATTGTCCGACGATGATATGTCCACATTCACCACAGTGGCTAAAACCATAAACGAGTGCTTCCATGCATACGGAATCCACACAGTCACCCTTCAACCCGAGGTTCCGACGAATTTGAAAAGTCTGTCCACCGTGGCCAGTGAATCTGCAATAGGTGAAACAAGCAGGCAGAGCCTCGCGAAGACCGCAAAACAATGCTAGGTTGTTTGTGGGAGCTTATGTCAAAACCTAATTTGTTGTAACTAAAAGAAGAGAAGTTATTTATATGAAGGTCATACATCCCATTATAATCAATCGATGTGTGAGGTAGTTACCCTAAGATATAGTCGTGGACTATGTGCGTGTGGATTGGAGATCCGGCTGTGCGCAAATGGAACTTCTTTGTAAAAATACAATTACGTCCGATACGCTACAAAATCCGAAATTGCGGACAAAAGATACAGCATCAACAAGTCGCCCATCGCTCACTTTGATATTCGTATACAGCTCCTGACCTGCTTAAAACAACCTCCAAAGTAGGGCTGCTGTCATGAATCCCTCGCAACATTTACAGAACTCCAGACGGAGCATCATGAAAGTGAACCGGCAGAGTAACGTCAGCTCTCGGAGGCATCGGGCCATTCTCTCATGTGCTACGTGCAGAAAGCGCAAGATTAAACGCGATCGTATCACGCCCTGTAGTCAGTGCGTGAGGTCCAAGATTGCCGAAACATGCCATTATCCTAAGGAATCCACGGCGTCGTCGTCCCCAGTTCCCGCAGCGCCGCGTGTGCCAGTGCAAGTACAACCGTCCGGGCAGTACATCGCTACACCACCTACGCCTACTGCGGAAGGAAGCTGCGAGGCACACGACCTTGCCCATTTAGAGAGCCATGACCAAATGTCCAATGGGATTTCGAGCTCTTCCAACTTCCCCAATACCTCGTTGTCATGGCCCTCATCAATCGATCCCATCCAATCACTCTCTCCTCTGTCTTTCCGTGGGAAAGATCAGAAGACCAGGTTCTTTGGGCGAAGTCACTGGGCAATGACGCTTAGCATGATAATATGCTATCTTCGTCTGCATGGATTCACTGGGTAGCTGACTCCAAATTCGGAAGTTCCCTGATCTAAACGCACACTTGCGCGACTATCACCGAGAGAAGCAAAACCCCACCAAATCACCGTTCGCAGGGTACCTTTCGCTAAAGCGGCTAAAGCACGATATGAGATTACATGAGAATCAGCAGACTCAGGTTGATCATGGTCCCCGGGGCGCGGATCTGGAGAGCTTGATATCCCCTCGTGCCCTTGCTGACTACCTTGTCGATCTCTATTTCTCTACCTTCGAGAACACACTTCGTATACTGCACTTTCCTTCATTTATGACCGAGTATAACGCATTTTGGATCTCCCGTGGAGAACGCTCTGGGTGCAAGTCTTGCAATGATGTCTTTGCTGCAAAGCTGCTGGCCTTGATGACCTGTACAAATTGCTTTGCTGATAGTGAAGCACTCGCGTCAACAGAGACTGGTTCAGATTCGTTACAAAGAAATGCCCAAATTTGGATTAGAGCAGTTATATTATGGGTAACATCTGCAACGAACTATGCCCAGCTCAATCTGGGCATGATCCAGGTCAAATGTTTACTGCTCATCGCGCGACAAGCTATTTCCTGGGAAGGCGATCTGACTGGGATGAGCTCTGGATTTCTCATGCGAGAAACTGTTATGATGGGTCTCCATAGAGATCCTGTCAACTTCCCCAATATAGCGCCATTTTGGGCAGAGATACGGAGAAGACTCTGGTTGACTATTGCTGAACTGGAGCTACATATTGCGCTTTATAGTGGTGTGCCAGTTGCAATATCCTGGGATGAGTTTGACTGTAATCCACCATCTAATGTGGAAGATGAGGATCTGTTGGTGGAGTCAACCAACCTACCGCCGTCCAAACCGATCAGTGTCCGTACCAGAACTTCTTTTCAAATCACGCTTGCTCAAACATTACAAGCAAGGCTCCGGATCGCCAAATCGACCAACAGTGTCAGATTCAGTGTGAGTTACGACGAGGTCCAACAACTGAGCGGAACGCTCACAACTGCACTTGCAGAAGCTCCAGCTGAATTACAAGCCAATGCTTCTGCAGATGAACATTCTGGCAGCCCCAACCAGGGCCTTATCTTCCGACGTTCACTATACCTCTTCCTCGTATATCGGTGTCTTCTTGCACTCCACAGGCCATTTTTCCTCAGTCTAGCGGAGAACCACAATGAGCAATATGTAGTCTCACGGCGCTTGTGTGTGCAAGCCAGCTTAGCTGTGTTATCTAATTGAAATTAGCGTTCAACGTCCTTCCGCAGCTCGGGGGTGGTGCTGATAACGAGGATACTATGACTTTAGATGATGCTTGCCCGCGCGCGGCTCGTCGCTGTCGGGATTTGCTACTTGCGGATGAGACGAATTTCGCAACTTCCGGCTCTGGGGCTGGTGGAGATGGAGATAATATGGGGTTACATGTTCCTGTGAGTTATTTTTATATGTTAATCAAGATATACAAGACACTAACACATTTGTTTCTCTTCGAGAACGGACGGGCTCAACGAATGAATACCCAACCATCACAACAAGCAGAGTCACTTGAGCAGAGCTCAATCCCAGCATTCGTGGAAGGTGCTGCAGGGGATTCTTTCGTAAGTCACCAAAACTGTACTCGGGCCATTTACACTGAACCACCCATGCTAACCACGCCCTATAATAGGAGCAACTGCTCTCTGACTGGGATATGTCGCTCGATCCGATGTCTCTATATCTGATTGATTCTTGGCCGATACCGCCGGATTCTTTCGATGAAGGGCTGACTGAGGCGGTCTTCCATGATAAACTAGTTGTGTATAATATTTAATAGAGCCACTCTTGTTATCTCAGTAACGTTGACTTTCTCATTGTAAGCAGTCCTAGATGGCAAATCCAGCACTATCAATCAATTACACACTAAACTACATACGGTAACTATTTATCTCCGACGATTTTACAAATAAGACGCGAAAACAACGCAATCTGGATTCTATGCCATACAGTCAGACGATAGAATATATATAGCAAGTAGCCATCCTAGCATTAAATAGCAAACCAGCCTTATCAGAAATCACATCATACTTTCGGAAATACTACACCATGTCCAACCACGAGTCCTTATACAAGTTCAACGTCCAAATGGGCTGCAGCGGGTGCGCCAATGCAATTCGTGATGCTCTCAAGAACCTCGAGGGTATGTTTTTCCCTCCCGTCCAGCACCACCGTTAATGTTTGGTTACTCACCATTATTCAAATTCAGTCATTCAACCATTACATCCATCACGAACATAACCAAACCATGCATCATAAATTGCTAATCTAACAGACAAGTGGGATATCAGTACAATGAGATCGATCAACTATGACCACCTCCTGCTCTTGACTTCGTTCAACTCATCACTTTTCATTTCGCGATCAAATTAAATTTAGCCAGTCACCTTGAAAATGGACTCGGCCAGGCGACGGACGTTGCCGGAAGTGATACCGGCAACGGAGATACGGCCGTCCTTGGTGGCGTAGACGGAGTGCTAACAGCCATTAGCTTGATTTCATATTTACTCGGGATGTGGTTAACGTACCTCCTTGGCGAGAGCATCCATCTGCTCGGGCTTGAGACCGGTGAACGCGAACATACCAATCTAATCAATCAGTTAGCGATGAACCAAAAAACAATTCAAACTGTGTACTCACCTGGCTAGTGATGTGCGACCAGTCGTGCTTGCTGCCGAGGTCCTCCAGGTTCTTCTTGAGAAGAGCACGCATCTCAATGATACGGTCAGCCATGCCCTTGACCTCACCCAGCCACTGCTGGTTCAAGGCAGAGTCGTTCATGATGGTCGAGGCAACACGGGCTCCGTGGACAGGGGGGTTCGAGTAGAAGGGACGGATGAGGATTTTGATCTGGGAGTCCACGCGCTTCTTCTCCTCGGCAGACTCGCAGACGAGGGAGAAAGCACCAACACGCTCACCGTAGAGACCCATGTTCTTGGCGAAACTCTGGCACAGAGCAATGTTGTGGCCCTCCTTCACAAAGTGACGAGGAGCGAAGGCATCCTGGTCAGCGTTTCCGCTGGCAAAACCCTGGTAGGCCATGTCGAAGAAGGCAAAGTGGCCCTTCTGCTTCATGACGTCGCTAATTTGGCGCCATTGGTCCTGAGTCGGGTCAACACCGGTAGGGTTGTGAGCGCAGGCGTGGAGCAGGATAATGCTGTTCTCGGGAGCGGCCTTGATGTCGGCAATCAGGCCCTCGAAGTCAAGACCGATAGTGTCCTTGTTGTAGTAGCGGTACTTCTCCACCTCGATGCCGGAGTCCTTGAAGACAGCGTTGTGGTTGGCCCAGCTGGGGGTGGGGAGGTAGATCTTCTTCGCGTGAGGGTAGAAGCGCTGCAAGAAAGCACCACCGATTCTCAGGGCACCAGTGCCGGAGATGGACTGGGTGATAACGAGACGGTCGTCCTTCAGGACGGCAGAGTCGGCACCGTAGGCGAGCTCCGCAGCAGCCTTGGTGAAGGAAGGAACACCAGTGATGCCGGCGTACTCCTTGTCGAAACGAGAGGCAACAACTTTGTCCTCAGCAGCGCGAACGGAGGGCAGAACGTAGGGTTTGCCTTGGTCGTCACCTGTTCAGAAAGAAAAAGATCAGCGTCCATCCAATGACTCACAGCTAGAGATCAATCAACGCGGAGAAAAACTCCGAAAGAGAAGACTGAAAGGAGCTCAAAAAAGAAGAGAGAAAAGCATACGGTAAGCACCAACACCCAGGTTAATTTTCTCCTTGAACGAGTCGGCCTTGAAGGCTTCGGTGATACCCAGGATAGCGTCCTACCACCCCTTCTGTTAGCAATTGCACCCCGAGCCAACAACCTCAATCACCATTGAATCAAGCATACCGGAGGACCCTGAGGAACGTTGGACCAAGCAGAGGCGAATCTGGCACCAACGAGGGTGGTGCGCATGTTGGCCTGGCGCGAGCCAGCGATGCGGGCAGCTCGGAGGGTGGACAGCATTGCGACGGCTAGCTAAGGCAAAGGTCACTAGAATGGGTCCTCTGGGGGTAAAAATAAAGAGAATGGGACGAGTGTAGACCCAAACGAAGAGAGATGAGGAGGTGGTTGTAAGAGAGGAAGAGGGGAGAAAAGAAGAGTTCGAGCTGTGCGGGTAAATAAGAAGCGATCCGCTGTCGGAGATGCAGCGATGTTGTTGTGTGGATTCTGGACTTTGTTTAGGCTCATGTGATGGAGAGCAGTTCCGACGGGATTTTCTTAATTTTTCGTAAAATTTTCCTACAATTGCTATTTTATATAATTCAAATTACCCGATTCTACGCATTGTCCATGTCATACTCACTGACACACATAAACAATCGTAAAACCCCAGATATTCAGTTATCAATCTCCAAATCATGTGACTCGCCTATCATGTGATGCCGCTTTCGGTGAACTGATCCAGACAAGATCCACTATGTTTTCTCCTCACGCGTTGGAGAACCTCACTCTTGCCTATTCGGGATAGTATAATCGACAGGGTGCGCCGGGGGAAATAAGGTACAGTAGTGTAAATCTCCACACGCCAAGTGGTTAATCTTCGCTTAGCCGTTGTCAGTCCGGAGTATCTTTTAACGCCCCGGAAAATTCATCATCCATTACCTATGCAATAGCCTCTACCTCTGGTATATAGACAAGAAATACTAGTAAGAAAGAAGATATCAACCCAATCGCACACCTGCTTGTCGGTTCTTCCGTGCAGTCGCCCCCATCGCATTGTTCATACCCGTATGCTGACTGCTGTCCAATGTACTCATTGCCTCGCGCTGCTTCTCTTCGTCAATCTTCTTCAACCGCTTCTCTGTCTTCATCTTGCCACTGCCCTTGCCGTGGAATTGGTGACTCAGGTGCTTGAAGGCTTCCTTCTGATTCATGAGACGACCATATTCGTCCACGTACTTGAGCTGTACGTCCGGCTTGTATTCGCGGTTGAACACATCGGCCATGTGGCGTGCGTCATGCTGGTCACGCTGCTTGTTCTCCCAGCGGGCATGTTCTTCCCGCTCGCGAGCAGACATGCGGTCGAGCTTGCCTGAGGTACGATCGCGCTCTCTTTGCTGGCGAGCACGCTTTTCAGCTTCGGTTTCGAGGTGTTGCTTTTCATGCAAGAAGCGCTGGCGCTCCCGGAAGAGTGCATTGTTCGAAGCACTGTCGGTCTGTTTCACGAGACCACGTTGCTTAAGCATAGACAATGTAGCTCCCAATCCTTGGTCTAATGTAGTTTCCTCTTCCAAACCAGTGCCACTGATCTCCTGCTGTGTCTGGGCCTCGTCCTGCTTGAAGCGCTCCTTGAGTTCCTCCTCGTCCTCGATGCCACTGTAAGTCAGGCCCATGTCTACATCGCCTTCTGGCTCGACATGAGGCTCTTCCGCGGGTGATGATGGCGCTTCTTCTGGTGCAGGTGTAGCAGTCTTATGGCTTTCGCGACGATCAGGAAGCGTAGGTCGCTGTAGGTTGGAGACAAATTCAGAAGTCTCGTCGATGACAAGACCGGGTTCCTCTTCGTTCTCTGCGTTTTCCACTTCCATCGGTGTCTGTGATTCTTCTTCCCGGAGCTGTCGCGCAAGGTCTTCTGGCTTGACCCTCTGACGCTTCTTGAAAGCAGCACGTCTCTGCCGTGTAAGGGATGCTTGTAGATCGTCATCATCAGCGAACGAAACATCTTCGCTTATCCGCTTTCGCGGAGCAGGGGCTGGCGCCGGTGTTCCATTGTTGTTGTTGTTGTTGTTGTTGTTGTTGTTGTTGTTGTTGTCAACTTCCATCGATGTCCCATCCGGGGCGTTGCCCGACTCGGCGGCCGGGAAGATATCCTCGTCATCTAACACAGCGCGCTGCTTGGTAGTCTTCGTCTTCTTCTTTTTTGGCTTCTTGATCTTGACCTCGCTGATGTCCATGTAATCCGATACAGGAGCCTGGGGCTCCAGATCTAGATCAAGGCTGATGGCATTCGTCTTCAACTTCTCGGAGACTTCCTGTCGCTGGGCATCGCGTTCTTCGGCAGTCGAACCGGCGGCATCAAGGGTGAAACGTTTCCGCTTCTTACCCTCAATCTCCTCATCGTATTGTGCTAGAATTCCGGCGTTTTCCGCGGTCGGATCGTAAACAGGTTTGCGCTTCTTCAACTCCAATTTCTCAGCCGTCTTTTCACTGTCCCTCAAAGCGAGATCCTCCAATTCATCTCCCTCGTCTTCCTGGTCGACCGCGGCATCCTTAAGGGTAAGAATATGCTCCTCCTCACCACCGAATTCACCAGCTTCATGTCCGACCTTCAGACCAGCCAGATCCGCCGAAGTGTATTCCGTCGCCGCAGCCCGCTCTCGTTCCTCGAGTTCTTCCTCGAGTTTACGTGCCCGCTCCTTCTCAATCTTCTTCTGCCGCTTCTTCGCCTGCTGCAACCATGTCTTTGTGTCCTCTGCACCGCCCGTTTCACCTAGCGTCGAACCCTCGAGCTTGGCATTTTTCTGTGCCTGCTCGCGCGCCCTTCTGATCGCTGCGTTCCTTTCCTCCCGTTTCTGCTTCGCCTCGGCTTCGTCTTGGAGTTTTTTCCAGTTCTCGCCGGCTTGCGCTTGACGGGATTCTAATGTGCTTGCTGGGTCTTCTTCGTCTGAAGATACGTCCGAATCGGAATCATCGTGCTCTTTGAAACTGGGACCGGCGGTGGCGTCGGCACCGGGGACGGGGAGGGGTTTGAGGCCGAGCGCGGCTCGGATTTTGTTGTTCTGTTCAACGGAGAGCGCGTCCGACATTTTGAAGAGCCGGAAATGAGACTGGTCAAGCGCTCAGAAGAAATGGAGGTTGGATGGGCAAGATGGTCTGATAAAAGCAGTTGAAGTTGGCCGCAGCGCATCAAGGCGCCAAGACCGGTTTGGATTACTTCAGCACGCCATCCCTGATACAGTAAAGCGCCGAACCACCGCGCTTAGCGGCTCCACCAACCTTAGCGCCGCAAAATAAAAGCCAAAATTTTTCATCCTCTCGCTCTTTTTCCTTTCTTCTTTAACACACACGGATCTGTGTCCAGCGATCCCGTTCACAGAGTAAATCCATGATTTTAATCCTTCACGGGTATCTGTGTTTCGGTTGATTACTGGGCAGTTCGACGTTATACGGAGCCATCTTTCCTGTGGATGGTTTTTTGGCAATCCGGTCGACAGATCTCAGATTAAATGCCAGCTTCAGGTGTTCACTCTGGTCTTGAGTTCCCTTTTGGTGAACTCGGCTGGAGAGCCTGGGTGCTGGCGGCGTCATATTCCTGATCCCTTCGCTGAAGCCGTTGGCTCGTGAAGTTGGGGAAAAACCATGACATGCCAACATACTTACCTTTCTTGTTATGATGATGTATGTAGAACACTTAGTGTTGTCTTGTAGTAGAAACTGGAGTCCATATTGAGATCCTACCAAGCTCTTGTGTTGCGTGCCTCTGTACAGTACAAGTACTTTGATTCGCGCTCAATAATGAACAAGACTATCGTACCAACATGATCTTATATGCCATGACTATCGTCATCATCACTCATCATCCTTCAACACTCCCTACGGAGCGTTTACAACAACTTCAAATGCCCCGTCACGTTATCAACCACGCTCTTCGGCCCCAAAACACCCAGCACCGTCCGACTCCCACTCGCAATCTGCGTCCGTCCAGCATCCTGGATCACACGTGCGCAGAGACCAAGGCTAATCGCCTGCGCCTGGAGCAGCTGCAACTCGTCCTCCCCTTTGATCTGTAGAGCGATCTTGGCTTGTCCTTCGCGTTCCCAGCGGCGCAGGATCGGGGATTCGGGGGCGTGCGTGAGGAAGTATTTGTAGCAGGCGAGGGTTGCGTGCGAGCATTGAGCGGCGATTTTACCTGTAGCGTTTGCCAGTGTTGTCAGTATCAAGTACTCAAACCTGAATAGTTAAAGGGGAAGACGTACCCTTGGTCATACCCAAATCCGTCCGGACAACAAGAACCAGCTTAACCTCTTCCTCGTTGTCGTCGAAATTGGCCAATTCGCCCTGCTCTTCATCCTCGCTGTCTTCCTCCTCTTCCTCGTCATCTTCGTAGTCTTCATCCGACGAATCCTTATGAACCTTCACATTGTAGCTATTCGGCCAGCCTTCTTTCTCACCCGAGAAGAGTCGGAGGGAAGACCCTTGGCCGACGAAGTAGCCTGTGACGCCGGCGAGGATGGCGGTTGCGATCACGTACGCGGTTGTGGAGGGAGGGAGACGTTCGAGTTCGGCCATTTTGTCTGGTTTTTGTCTTTTGTTCGGGTTCGTGAAGGGTAGGGATATGGGTAGAGGGGCGTAGAGCGTATGATAGATGTGAGAAGCTGCGATTTTTTCCTGTAGCTGCGGGAGCTGTTCTCCGCCGAATGTTCTTTGGCAGATCTGCGCCACTGCTAGAACTCAAACGTCGCTGATTTACATGCTCTAGGGCAATTTTTTGATGGGATTGATACGAGAATCAATGGAATGCGCCTTTTTTTTATTCAAATAATTAATATTATGCATTTTGCACCCCCCGCAACTACCCAAAAAACAAAAAATAGGCATGACCAAGCGTGTTATTGCTGTTCGTTATATACATCCCTAAAACTGTAAAGCAAAAAGCAACAAAACTTCACCCATTCAAATGCTCTTAGCTCGCTTGAGCGGGGGCAGGGGCAGGTGCCTGGTTTTGGTTTCCAAGTCGACGGCTCCTAGTGCGAAAAGTTAGCATCACGCACAGAGCAAGAAGTGACAAACTTACATCATAGACCGGCTGACGAAACTGATGAGGACCATGAAAAGCCATTGAGGGATCAAGCTGAAAGCGTAGATACCATAGCCCAGAGGAACGATGAGTCCGTTCTGAGAAACCCAACCGTCCGTCGGGTGCATGGCACCCTCGTAAGCGGGAATATCCTGGTAAGTCTTCTTGGAGTGGACCTCGTAGATGGTGTCGGCGGTAACGGTGGTCGAGTTCAGACGGACGATGTGAAGAGGAGTCTCAGGGCGTTCGGGTCCCTCCTGGGCCTGGGGGACCTGGAAGTGCCAAAGGCTAGGTGCGCCAGCGACCCAGGCAGAGCAGAGAACCTGGTTGGCTTCGCAGTCCAAGTAACCGAGATTGGGCGCGGTAGGGTCAGCGGAAAACAAGAGGACGGATTCCTAATAAACCAAAGAGTCAGCGATTTTTATTCCCGAAACGACGTCGCGCCCCTTAATTTTCGCGGTGTCACTCACGTTGAAAGCCTTGTTGGCGCGCTCACAACGGCCAAAGCAAGTTTTGTTTCCTCCAGTCACGAAGACAAGCCATTCCTGAGCTGCCCCCGATGGTTCAAGGGTGGCTTGCCAGTTCGTAAGGTTTACCGGGGTGACGGCCTTCTCCTGGACCTTCTGTTCGACCACCTTCTCAACGGGAACCACGGGAGTCGCGGTAGGGAGGTAATCCTTGGCCTTGTTAAACCAACCCTGCACACGATCTCCCAGAGGGACCTGCTCTTGCGCCGCAGCAAGCGCGGGGAGGATAGCGATGAACGGAGTGAAGCGCATGGTGCTAGTAAAAGCGACGCGTTCGGGTCAGCCACAGACCAACAATATTCTCCGGGGGGAAAGAAAGGGGGGAAACACATCGATTTCCATCGCTAAAGTGAATAAAAACAACACTTACCTGGGCTAAATTAAAGAAGCGCACTTTGGAGGGAGCTAGACAAGTTGAAAAGGGGCCAAAGTACGGACAGCAGATGCGGAGTGAGGGAGAGGTAGGACGAAGAGAATATGTATGTTTCTGTTGTCGACAGTTGACGACACTTGGCCGAAGCGCCGGCAAGGAGATTCGGGCACGTGTCCGGTGGGGATTGTTTACTCCTACTCAATCAGGTATGCGCTTATGCTCTGCAGCCTGGTTTTTATCGATAACGCTCTTTTCTTTCTCTTTTCTGGAACATGTGCTTTAATGATATTCAGGGTCCCGTTCAGTGTCTCCTCCATGGATGCCCTAGGCTGCTCATCGCGATTCCGGTGGCCATTCTTTATGAAACACTCTTTCAATTCCACGGCGCCAGCTTGTTGCCACAATTACCCAGTGATACGCTGCAGAGAATGAACAGGTGCAAGTTGAATGGTGAATTAATATTGACTGTCACCTATGTACAATTTCGTATACGGATCTATTGCATAGCCGTCAAAAATATATCTAGAATAATCGTACTCGATGAAGGCATGAGACCACTATTGCATATCTAAGTCGCTAGAAAGTACCCAAAACAACCAGCAAGTACTGTAATGAAAGGAAACAATTAAAAAAATATTTGAAGCAGAAGGAGCGAAAGAAAGAACAAATAAATTTCAAAAAAAAAAAAAAAAAAAAGGAAAAAAAATATCGCTATGGCCAATATGGGGATCGAACCCATGATCTCCCGTGTGTAAGACGGGCGCCTTAACCACTGGGCCAATCGACCGGAAGCCGGATTAGATTACCGCACAATTTAATATATAAAACATACAAATGGAATATCCGGGCATGGAACGAATAGAAATCAGACTGCCAGGGCCCTATTTGCGAAATCACGATGGGACGAATAACAAGAAAAATGTAAAGAAAGAAAAAGAAACATGCGTGCTGGTCATTGTGTCACATGCCCTTTTCCAATGAAGCGAAATATATACGTGAAGGTTCTAGGCGTTCGAGGACTGACTGCGAGAAAAAGAAAGTTGTCTTGCTTTCTAGGGTGAAATATGGTTGGCAATATGGAGCTCGATTTGCATCAATAGACCGAGGATCACACCTGTTATCGAAACCCTGTTCTTAACGCCAAATCCTTGAATCAATACGTACGACGGAGATATGCCGTGTTGTAACTTAACCTGGATCAAGATATATGGAAGGCACGACTGGAGAAGCTAGTCCCAGTATGTGATGTCCTAATCGGGGTGGGAGCTTCCCGTTTTGATAATGTCCAACATAGCTTCCCTGTACCTTCCTTTCGAGGAGTTCCTCCCCTCAAAGACCAAACCATCTGTTTCCTTTCTCTCCGTCTATCCAACTTTTCTCATCCAAATATCCCTTTGCCTATTAGCATCCATCTTTTAACTGGCATCGCTATTAGCATACGCATTTACCCAGCATCAGCAAGTTGCCCCTTCGAATTCTCTGCTACGAACGTCACGCCAAAATGTGGTTGACCTGGTTTCTGCCCGCCAGATGGCTGCAGGTTGTTCTCGTTGTTGCAGCGATGATAGAGACCAGCTTTGGTGCTGCTTTGAAGAAGAACGTCGTGGATGAAACCCGTGGTGGTGGGTTGCCTACTAGCTTGACGTGAACGTACAACTGACACTCTGAGCAGAGATCAAATCAACGAACAAGATTGCAACGAACGATACAGCCGCACGCAACGTAACTTCTGCCGGTGACTTCCCCGTCTGTACCTATCACAATGGCACACTCTCGCCCTTCTGCCTACCACACAACGGAGCGGATGTCATAGTGGATGCGACTTACTATGTTACTTGGAACGCCGACTTCTATCCGTTGAACGCTACGATCACGATCGAATTGCGATACCCCAATTCCACCGAAGGAGATTCGGCTTTCACTTCGGAACGAACGGATAACAGCTACGGATACATTCCCCTTCGCATGCGCAAAGAATGGCTCCAGGGCAAGCCACACAACGAATTGACCCTCTACATCATCGAGCTGGATTCAACCTCGGACCGGAGAGCTCGTGCTCGACAAGGACCGACTGTTGTGCTTCATCCAAAACCAAAGGAACATTACAAGCCCCCTCCTCCCCTGCCGTTCAACAGGCTAGCGCTGATCATCGGCTTGCCGGTCAGTGTAGGAGTGGTGGTTCTCATCGTGGCTGGCCTGTTCTTTGGTATGCGGAGAAGCAGACAGATTGGGGTCGCACATGCCAAGAGGTCTCGAGGCAAAGGCTATGGAATTGGAAAATCACGGAATGAGCGCCTGGGGCGAAGCAGACATTCGATGGACGACGATGCGGATGCTGCCCTGAAGAAGTATTCTGACGCTGACGAGGACATGTCGGAGATTGCAGACTCTGATCTATATCATGATCTGTACCGGTCTGGAAACTATGGGTTCGACTCGCGAGTTGCAAAGCTCAAGAGCTGGAGTAATTCGTAAATTTCCTAGGGCTCTTAGGTTTGATATGTTCGGAAAGAAGGATGTCGAGTATGGTTTGAACGGTTTTGATGATTTGGTGATATGATTAATGATCAGGTTGTCGTCGAGACGACTTAGCACTCTTTTTCTGTTTCCTGTTTTCGTTTAGTCTTTGTGATTGTATGCATTGCGAGAGAATATTCCTAGCGAATGAACCAGAGTCGTCTTCTCTTCTACATAGTATTCCGTACCTCCGCTGTGGTAGTTGACCAACAAGAGACGCGGGAAATGCCATTACCGTTCGGGCGGTGGGCGAGTTGTAAGCCATGACGTAGATTATGGGTGCAATATAGCGGGGTTACTGTGATTATCTGAGGAGAAAGGAAGAATAACCATGGGTGTCTGCCTGTTGATCGATTACCAATGTTTTGAAGGCGAGACTCGGGTTCGGCTACAGAATAATTGAGATTATGTTCCAGAATGGCCAAAGTGCTGCATTCGTCTCGCGGTGGACATTTTGGTCTATAAGCAACTCCGAGGCCGATGTCGGTCATCGTTTTCGGTTGTCCGAATGAGGGCTGACCATTATTAGTATACACGGTCTGTGATATGCCAATGAATGCCAGGTCTACATAGTAGTACGGGGCACTGCATACTGCCAAACTAGGATAGTATTTCAAAGAAAGAGAAAAAGAAGATCAAAGATGTACCGGGGTTGATGGCATCTCAAATAGCAATGCTTTTTCAGGTGAAGATCACGTGCATCACATGATTTTTTGAAATTGTTACTATTCAGAAGCACTTGTAGACAGAGTACCACTGGGGTAATAGCATTATTGCAATAATCTTGTAAATGCTCATGAATAAAAGTATGCCTGCTCAGTATAAACAATGACTCACTGAGCTGAAGCGCAGGATTGTCAACTCCCCACACGGCGCTGAAATTTTCGCATTTGCCGCACTCAGACCGCCCGCCTTTTTTAAACTCGACCCTCTTTTCCTTCTCGTCCGGCCGATGACTCTTCCTCGTTCCTAGCGAGTTGCGATTACCATTTCTATTATTTAAACTATTTCGAAGTCGTCGATTGTGATTCACTTCTTCGAACTTTTGTGTTGTTTCTTTTCTTTATCCTGAACGTTGATATCTCCCATCTATACTTGCCCTCCCCACTACACTTCTCTCTCCCACACAATGTGTCCCGGTGCAGACCAAGAGCCCAATGGGCATGCCAATGGTGCCACTGGTGTGGACCAGAATGTCAACGGTGGTATGCATAGATTCCCGTCCTCCGGGGGAGGGGGGTGTGGTCTTCGAGCTAACCGATGCGTTGAAAAAAATTAGATGCCTCTTCGCACCCCGGCTTCACCGGCGTCGAAACTCGTCAAAACCCTCACCCCTCCAGCGCTCGTAACCCCTACGGCCACAATGCCGCTGTTACCGACTTCCTGAGCAACGTCTCGCGGTTCCAGATCATTGAGAGTACCCTCCGTGAGGGTGAGCAGTTCGCCAACGCCTTCTTTGATACCGAGAAGAAGATTCAGATCGCCAAGGCTCTCGATGACTTCGGTGTTGACTACGTGAGTCTTCTACGAGATATGCGACGCGAGTGGTTTGCGATAGATTGAGCTGACCTGTTACTCTGTAGATCGAGCTTACCAGCCCTTGTGCTTCGGAGCAGTCGAGACTTGACTGCGAGGCTATTTGTAAACTCGGTTTGAAGGCCAAGGTATGCTCTTATAGTCTGGCATTGGATATCGTTTGAGACGCCTCTAACGGTAATGCAGGTTCTCACCCACATCCGTTGCCACATGGACGATGCTAGAATCGCCGTTGAGACTGGTGTTGACGGAGTGTAAGTGCTGGTACATTTATCTGTTTAGGAATATTGAGAACTAACAATGTCCAGTGACGTCGTCATTGGTACTTCTTCTTACCTCCGTGAGCACTCTCACGGCAAGGACATGACCTACATCAAGAATGCTGCCATCGAAGTTATCGAGTTCGTCAAGTCCAAGGGCATCGAGATTCGTTTCTCCTCTGAGGACTCGTTCCGTTCGGACCTCGTTGACCTCCTCTCCATCTACTCTGCTGTCGACAAGGTCGGTGTCAACCGTGTCGGTATTGCTGACACCGTTGGTTGCGCCTCTCCCCGCCAGGTCTACGAGCTTGTCCGTGTTCTGAGAGGTGTTGTCAGCTGTGACATTGAGACCCACTTCCACAACGACACTGGATGCGCTATCGCCAACGCCTACTGCGCCCTCGAGGCCGGTGCTACTCACATTGACACCTCGGTCCTCGGTATTGGTGAGCGTAACGGTATCACCCCTCTAGGTGGTCTGATGGCCCGTATGATGGTTGCCGACCGCGACTACGTCAAGAGCAAGTACAAGCTCGAGAAGCTCAAGGACATTGAGGACCTCGTTGCTGAGGCCGTTGAGGTCAACATTCCTTTCAACAACTATATCACCGGTTTCTGTGCTTTCACCCACAAGGCTGGTATCCACGCCAAGGCCATCCTGAACAACCCCAGCACCTACGAGATCATCAACCCTGCCGACTTCGGCATGTCCCGCTACGTTCACTTCGCTTCTCGCCTGACCGGCTGGAACGCCATCAAGTCGCGTGCCCAGCAGCTCAACATCGAGATGACCGACAACCAGTACAAGGAGTGCACCTTCAAGATCAAGGCCCTTGCTGACATCCGGCCCATCGCTGTCGATGATGCCGACAGCATCATCCGCGCTTACTACCGCAACATCAAGTCGGGAGAGAACAACCCCCTCCTCGACCTGACTGCTGAGGAGCAGGCTCAGCTTGTTGCCAAGGAGAAGGAGTTGGCCGAACAGGGCAACACCTCGTAAAGTGGTAAAGTCGACACCATTTCCTTTCTACATTGCATACCTTTTCATTTGTCATGTTCCATATACATCTGGTTTCATTTTTCTTTGCTTTTTTTTAATTTTTTTTTTATTTTTTGGTCATGTATTGCGCTCCCAGCGACTCTCCGTCTAGGGAGAGATGTGAATTTTGATGATTTGATGCTTTATATGTTCTGGGTATATTCCATTGTGTATTTAACGGGGGTGGGGAGTTATAAAAGTCTTCGAGATGGTCCTAAAAGAATGAGACAAGGGAATTCATAACGGAAAATGACGCGAGAGAGACTGGTGTTCAGAGAACTTATCTATCCTGTATATAGCAGGTTATGAGTGGCTATATTAGCATTTCAATTTTAGTTCTATCACGCTCATCTTGATTCATACGCGTAGAATCCCGGGGCTGGACCAATAATTATAGGTAGCCTCACAGAACGGTCATTTCTGCCTTTCCTGGACTATTCTCACCAAATCCAAGACTATTTGAAATACGCGATCGAGGTAAAAGGCAGAACAATTCATGCCTGCCACGAGATGTCACAGATTCTATCGGAAATAGGGTACCGATACAGGCCCGAAGAAACGACCAGAATCGCTCAAATAACATGCTACATACCCATGATCACCACCTAGTAGCTATACCTAAAAAGCGAATCCTGAATATCCGTAATATCCTCCCCATCCCGATACTCCCTACCAGCATACCGATGCCCACCCTTATCCCGTCGCTGATTCTCCCTCCAGCACAGAAACCAGTACAACCCCATCACAGCGACAAGAAGACACCAAGTCACAATGGCATTAACAACACCTTCAAAGTACCGAGGAGCTGCGTTTGATTTCCAGAGTTGAGGCGCTGCGATGCACCCAACGCAGTAGCCTATGAAGTAGAGTGTGTTGACGGTGGCGCGCTTGGTGTTGCCTTTTACGTTGGAGGCGCTGAGGCTTAGGAGGATGGCCATTATGTCGGATATGCAGGATGCCTGACATGTCAATTATCTTAGTTTTCGAGAGGGGGCTTATGCGTTACTCACCAGCCAGGAAGATACGATGAGTCCCCACCCAGCTGTGAGCGGGAGCTTTAGTAATAAGATGTTGCCGATTAGGGGAGGGATGGTTAGGAATATCACCACTAAGCATCTGTTGTTGGGGAGTAGAATGCAGCCCAGGATACCGATCCAAATGGCCACGATTTGTACTGCTCCGGAGGGTGAGATAAATAGCATAGTTTGGAACTTGTCATAGTTCAAGTTTTTGATGATCAGGGAGGCGAACTAGATGTCCACGGTTAGATATCTATGCAAATGTATATGGCAGAAAAGAAAGCCAACCGTAAGCACCGGCGACTGCATCGTCACCAGAATCCCAAACGCGAATACCAGCCAAGCCCTTATATCCATGGCAGATTCTTTGACTTGTGCAATTGAGAAATAAGTCTGGTCACCACCGTCTCGGTCCAGAGCCATTCGTGCCATGAGGACCTCTCGTTCTCTCTTTGTCAAGAACCATGCTGTTCCAGGGTTCGATGGGACGACCAAGTGGAACAGAACCCCGAATCCAGCTGTCAGTGCACCACAGATGAGAAATAAGACCCGCCATGGAGCTAATTGGAATGAGGATGTTTTGCCAATGCCGTACATCAGGAGACTACCGAGGACCTGCGCAAGTCCGTTCATTGTAACCCCATATCCTGCGGTAGTTAGTACATAGTTTCGACGCATAGAAGAGTAAATGTTGGCTCACCCCACCCGAGAAGCATGCTCTTTCTTCCTATACCACATACTAGTCAGTGTCACGAATGCCGGGGAGACGGCGCCTTCACTGAGGCCTAGCAGGAATCGCACAGCTGTGAATTCTGCGAAGTTGTGGGGGGCTGCGAGGCACATGCATATACCTCCCCATATCACACTGCGTACATATTGACTTGTTTTAGTGGGATGTTGAGGTGGGCGGAGGTTGTGTCTTACATTGTAGCACCGACTAGTCTGGCTAATGGTAATCGACTCATTAGGTAGATGAATGGGTACTCGGAGACCAATTGACCTGCATTGTATCAGTGGGGTGGTTGTTGGTGGTAACGCAACTATACCTAGATAGAACAAGGACGAGCACCACGAATATTCCGATCCTTGGAGGGAGAGATCTTCGATTAGGCCGAAAACAGAGGCATAACTCAGGCTTTGCTTATCCAGGTCTGCTACTGTCAGATGGGTCATCTATGGCTGGCGAGGATTGCTCACACTGGAAGAAAAATACTAGGCACATCTATATCAATCGGTCAATGGAACAGCGTTTATAAGAGGACTCCTCAGTCTTACCATTGGCAACACAAAACAATCAATCTTCTTTATCACACCCCGTTCTTCATCAAGAGAAAATGGTAAATGAACACTTTCATCCTGAATATTCACATTTGCAGTCTCATCCCCATATCTGAGATCAACCTCCTTCTCTTTTCGCAAATCCGCCATACTTCAATATACCAGGCGATAATATGCCGACAAGAAGTTTGGGACACATACGCACAGCTGAGCAGAGCTGAACGGGGGATCTACGTGTAAATACAATTCAGCCCTTGCGGAGAAATACTACGCATGGACTCGCTCCCTAGTTCCCTGGCCCGGCAGACGAACCGGTCTCGACCGGGGTTAGGGTCATGGGTTGATGATAAAGGACTTGTCGTCCGAGATAACTCTTGATAGGTCTGTTTCAATTGTATAGGATGCGGTCTGTGTGCCGCAACTGACCCAGACCGTATCATTTACTGGCCCTGACAAATTGCACACGTCGTGATCTCATTCTCCACCAAATAAGCTATTTATCCATAGTATTGTTCTGTTTGATTTATACGTGATCCATAGTGGGGAAACCGGAATCACTGAATCGATAACTATGTATACGATTATTGCATATTCTGTTAGTGTCCGCCTATTTCATATTTCACCTACCCAATCTATCATTGAAAAATGATCGTGAAGATACGTCGCCACCCGAGCTCGGGCCGGGCCCGTGAGGGGGTGGAGTTTTGGAGTCTGTAGATACCGAGGGGAAGATTGACTACTAATGCTGAAAGAGGGGCTTGGATAAGGTGACAGCTAGACCAATTGAGCAGTGGTGGGGATGTGATTCCTCGGGGCTTTTCTCTGATAATAAGGACGAATCGTGCTCTCAACTACAAGTTCCTACGGCTATAATTCTGGCCATCATGAGCAACAGTGCGAAGCCTTGGACCTCACAGGAGCCACATCCGGATATCACTTTTATCAATGCGAATGTCGTCGATGTCGAAGCTAGCAAGATCATTCCCAGTTGCACCGTTCGCGTCAAAGATGGCCTGATCGCAAATGTTACGACTGGGAATTCGTCGAACGTCCCTCAAGAATCAAAGGTCGTCGATTTGAAAAACAAGTACATCTGTCCTAGTCTGATAGACTGCCATGTACACCTTACAGCGACTCCCGGAAACGCTGCACTCAAGGACCTGTATGCAGCAAGCCCGAACGCCATCGCGTATCGCACTGCGTATGTTGCACGGGAAATGCTTCTGCGCGGATTCACCACCGCGCGCGACACTGGAGGCGCTGATGCCGCTCTTCGTGATGCTATCGCGGAGGGACTTATTCCTGGTCCTCGTCTCTTCATCGCGGGAAAAGCTCTCTCGCAGACCGGTGGGCACGGCGATTTCCGTGCCAGTTATCAGGGCAGTGAGCACAAATGCTGCGGTGGACACTCCCCATCCTTAGCTCGAGTGTGTGACGGGGTTCCCGAATGTTTAAGTGCCGTTCGCGATGAACTGCGCCAGGGAGCCGATTTTATCAAGATCATGTGTGGCGGCGGTGTTGCTACACCGACAGATGGCCTTGATATGCTACAGTTCACGGCGGAGGAGATTCGTGCCATCACCACGACAGCGGCGTATTCCAAGACATATGTCACGGCGCATGCTTACACGGTTGAATCCATCCGACACGCTGTTGACAACGGGGTTCGTGGGATTGAGCACGGAAACTTCATTGACCGCGAGACGGCTGAGTACTGCAAAGAACGAGGAGTCACCTTTACTCCTACATTGGTGACCTATAATGCCATGACACAGCCTGCTTTCTCCCACTTCCTCGATGAGTTCAGCCAACAAAAGAACCAAGTGGTTCTCAAGGGTGGTCTTGGTGCGTTGGAGATCCTCCGTGACGCTGGTGTGACCATGTGTTATGGGTCAGATTTGCTGGCGGGCTTGCATATTATGCAGAATGGGGAGTTCTCCATCCGGGCACAGGTGTTAAGCGCCGGAGAAGTTTTAAACTCGGCCACCGTCAACGCAGCCAAGTACATCGGGATGGAGGGCAAGTTGGGTTGCATCAAGACGGGGAGCATCGCAGACTTGCTGGTTCTTAATGCTAATCCGCTGGAGGATATTGCCATCTTAGATCGTATTCATGATAGTATGGTTGGGCTTCTGAAAGATGGAAGAGTGGTTACCCACAAGTTGGATGGATTGTCGGTTGATCGCATATACAATCCTTGTGGGGTTCAAGCATGAATATTACATTTCAGATGCAGCTAGAAAATACCTGTTCATAGTACACATCTACTGGCCTACGTGGTTGAGCATGATTTAGTTAACTAAATAACTAGTTACCCAATTCGGCGGTTACAACCGAGGCAGGCGCATCCCTCAAGTGTAAGTCGATCTCCTGCGAACTTCCGACTCTCCTCTTTCCCTACTCCCCATCACTCGCTTTTCCCTAGAAACTGATCCTACTCTAATCCTCGCATTTTTACTCTATTGTTCCTCTATCGATAGTACATTGCGATCGGTTAATACTTCGTGATGGCTTCGTCGGTTTTCCCGGTGGGCTTGCAGAATAGACTGCTGGGCTTCACCAGGATTGCCAACGTGCAGCTGTTGAACTTGGATCTGTATGAGACTTACTTTCCGTCTATCACTAGAAGACAATATTTTCCGTGGAATTCACTAACTCTGAGCCTGTACGCAGTATCCGGAACATCATCTTCATCCTTTTCGTTTTCCGATATGCCCGCAAGACGTTCTACTCGGTACGCGGCTACGGCATCTTTGGCAGCATCCGCAACGTCTACGCCGCAGTCCGTCTCTTCTGTTACTCGATTTTCCTTCGCTCTCCCGGTGTCAAAGGTCAGGTCGACAAGCAGGTCACCACGGCCATCGAAGGTCTGGAAAAGAAACTCGTTGCGAGCGGCCCCGACGTCACACGGTACCTAGCTTTGCCCAAGGAAGGATGGTCAGCCGAGCAGGTTCGCGCGGAACTCGATAAACTCGCAAGTTTGGAACATACACGCTGGGAAGATGGCCGTGTCAGTGGTGCTGTGTATCACGGTGGTGATGACCTGTTGAAGCTCCAGGCCGATGCCTTTGGTCAGTTTGGTGTCGCGAACCCGATTCATCCTGATGTGTTCCCTGGTGTTCGTAAGATGGAAGCTGAGGTTGTTTCTATGGTATGTGCATGGCTCGTTTGATTATCAGGAGAAGTGGCTATGACTCACATTTTGCTCCTTTAGGTCTTGTCGCTGTTCAATGCTCCCTCCGACGGTGCCGGTGTCACTACCAGCGGCGGCACGGAATCCATTATCATGGCTTGTTTGGCAGCTCGCCAAAAGGGATACACCGAACGGGGTATCAGAGAGCCTGAGATGTGAGTTCTCGTTTCTGATATGATTGAACCAGAAGGGGTTACTGACAACCACCAGGATTATCCCCGATACCGCTCACGCTGCGTTTATCAAGGCCTCTCATTACTTTGGAATCAAGCTCCACCGTGTTTCCTGCCCGGCTCCCGACTACAAGGTTGATATTGCTGCTGTTCGCCGGCTGATCAACCCGAACACCGTCTTGCTTGTTGGTTCTGCTCCTAACTTTCCTCATGGTGTTGTCGATGATATTCCTGCACTGTCTCGCCTCGCTACCTCGTACGAACTCCCGCTCCATGTGGACTGTTGCTTGGGCTCCTTTGTCATTGCGTTCCTGAAGAAGGCTGGCTTCCCGTCGCCTTACGAAGAAGAAGGAGGGTTTGACTTCCGTCAACCCGGTGTTACCAGCATCAGTGTGGATACCCACAAATACGGATTTGCGCCAAAGGGAAACTCTGTGCTATTGTACAAGAACCGCACCTATCGCAGCCACCAGTATTTCATCTATCCTGATTGGTCGGGTGGTGTCTATGCCTCTCCCTCCGTGGCGGGATCCCGACCCGGTGCTCTCATTGCGGGCTGCTGGGCTAGTTTGGTGAACGTTGGCGAGTCCGGATATATCAAAAGCTGCCTCGACATTGTCGGAGCCGCAAAGAAGTTTGAAACGACTATCAAGGAGCACCCAGTTTTGTCCCAAAACATCGAGGTCGTTGGTGATCCCATGGTTAGCGTCGTCGCCTTCCAAAGCAAGAACGGGGGCGTTGATATCTATGACGTTGCGGATGACTTGTCCTCCAAGGGATGGCATCTCAATGCTCTCCAGACGCCTGCGGCAATCCACGTGGCCTTCACTGTTCCCACGGCGTCTGCTGTCGACCAACTCATTACCGATGTGGTTGAGGTTGTCGAGAAAGAGCTGGAGAAGGCTGAGGAGCGGAAGAGACAAGGGAAGTCCTATGTCATCGAACGTGGGGACACTGCTGCCCTGTATGGAGTGGCTGGCAGTATGCCAGACAAGAGCATTGTCAACCGCCTTGCTGAAGGCTTCCTCGACACGTTGTACAAGGTCTAAACATGGTAGCATCTTGTCGAAAGAAACTGTATTTTTATTGTTTACTTCTTGTGTATAAGAATTTGTCCATAATGGGCCGAAGCTTCGTGCAAGAGGGTCCAGACTGAACACACACTCGCGGGCGTTAATGGCATGGATGCGGGCACTGCTTTAGTATATAGTATTACGTCTGCCAAAGTTCATTTGATATTTTTATGACATAAACCGTATTAACTTGAACATTCTTCGTACTAATAAAACATGCGCAAATGCAATATGTATAATACAGTGCCTGGTAAGAAATTCGTCGACAATGGGCGTGATCAAAATGCCCATGCCATCGTTCGAGTCTGAAGACAAACTCCAGCGTATCAGGTATCAAAAAAATCAAAAGCAGCAACACTCAAGTAGAGAAAGAAAGCAAGACCTTGCTGCCTCGTAGTTCTCTACTCTCTCGTCTGCTCCACAAACTCCGCATTCCCCTTCTTCTCAACATAATAACCCGGGTCCGGTTTCCGCTGCAGATGAACCTCCTGCTTCGTTAACCGCCTGTCGACCTCCTGCACCTCAACAAGCTCCTTGACCTTCATGACCTGACCTGCGACGGACTGCGAGACGGGGTGGAAGACGGTTGCCATGCGCTTTTTGAGGCCGAGGGCTTTGAGGACGTCTGTTGTTCGGCGGGGCATACCGATTGCGGAGCGGAGGAGGGTTATGCGGAAGAAGGTCATTTTGGTTGGTTTGGTTTATTGAGAGATTGGTATAGAGTGGTGGTGGTGGGTTGCGGGAGGTGGATTCTAAGGATTGGCTTTTGGGCTTGGTTTGAGAGGGATAATGCGAGATTGAGAGCCGATGTAGAGGTGCAGTTCCGGTGTCCTCTTTTCGTAAACTTGCTTGAATTCGAGGTCTCGTTATTCGGTGGAAGCGCAATGCGGGAGGATTCGAGGATTCGGATGGATTCAATGCTTGTTCTCTGGGCCGTAAAGAAACGTAATTCGATATCCACAAGAGATCTAAATGTTCGCAATTCCTTCGCCCGTCCAATGATCGTAACTCTTTATCGTGCCGGAGAACGGAGGATCTGTATGTGTATACCAATCTATCTCCAGCGGGAAAATTGTCAGTCGGTCAGGCAGGCGGAGAGTCACGTGGAGCTCCATTCTGCCGGCGTCTTTGCGGGAGGGACGCTCGACGTTGCAGGAATGAAAGTATGCAACTGACGAGGGAGTTCCTCGCTTTCTTTTGAAGGTATTTTGCTTGTTGTGTTGCGCTTCTCTGTGTGAATTGGACACCGTTGTGGTCAAAGTGGTGTATGTTTATAATGGAATTGGGGTTACTACTATCATCTGGTGTATACTGACGTCTGGTTCAAAGGTCGGAGAGCTTACGGTCGATCACCAGTGCCATTTGACATTGTTTAATTGAAAGATTGTGAGACTTACGGGGATATATGTCTGCCACCCGTGCGTGCTCACCAATTCGATAACCATACCTAACGTGACCCCTCCCTAAACCACCTGCCAAAATGGCGCAAGAAGCCGGGTCCGATGGAACGCTGGCCATGCCCCGGCTTGACGATATCCTACGGCACCCAGAAGACCTCGATAAAATCACCGGTCTAAAAGCAGAGTACTCGCGCAAGAAAGCCGCCGTCGACGCACACCTCCGCGAGGGTCTCCGTGACCAACTCGAAACGGTACAACGCAGCATCAACGCCCTAACAGAGGGCCAACGACAGGTCGTGAAAACAAAAGATGAACTGCAGGGGATAGACAAGCTGTGCGCGGAGTCGCAGACGAGCGTTGAGGACTTCTCGCAGATCGACAAGCTAGCTAAGATGCAGAGGCATTTCGAGGCTACGATGATGATTAAAAAGGGGTTGGAGAGTTTCAGCGCGGATCTTGCTGAGATTGAGAATCTGCTTACGGAGGATGATGATGATTTGGAGGATCAGCCGAATATGTTACGGGCGCATATGCTGATTTCGCGACTGAGGGATTTTCGTGATGAAGCGATGGATCAGATTCGCAAGGCGGGGGATGATAGTAATGAGGAGACCCTGATTGATTACTTTCAGGGGTTGGATTCGGTTATTGAGTGGTTTGATGATCATCTGGGAACTGCGTGCATGAATTTGATTCCGCTCGTGCAGTCGGATAACAACAGTATGGTAGTTCGACTGGCAGTGGTTGTCGCAAACGAAGAGAAGAACGATGAGACGGTGCGTGCGTTGCAAGAGGCACAGAAGGATCATAAGGATTTGGCAAACCGATTCAAGTCCATGAATATCGGCCCCAAGACGGTTCGCGGCTACAAGGAGAAGTTCACCCAGGCGATCGAGTTCTACGCGCAGAATCAATTTGAATCGACTAAGGAGGGCTTCCTCGATGATCCTGATAGTATGGAGAAAAGCTTCCGGTGGTACTTCAATGATCTTTTCACCGTCAAGCAGGGCATGCAGCAGCTCATGCCCAAGAAGTGGAAGATCTATCACACTTACACCAATATCTATCATCGGATGATGCACGATTTCCTGGTTGGTTTGATTGACGACCCGGAGTTACCAGCGGACAACCTGCTCGCGATCATTCATTGGTCTGAGAAGTACTACAAGAAAATGAAGAAGTTAGGCTGGGCACAGATGGAGCTACAACCCAACATTCTCGATGATCGTGAGCCTGAGCTTATTCGACAATGGCAGAACGTCATCATCAAGGCTGTCGGGGAATGGATGGACCGGATCCAGACGGCAGACACGAAGGGACTTGTCGAGCGGATCCCAGACTCCTTGGACACGAATATGGAAGGATACTTCCGGACCCGGACTCTCCCAGACATGTGGCGTATGCTTAACGAGCAGATCATGGCCGCCGGTGCTTCCTCGCGGACAGATCTCGTCGAGGGTATCATCGATTCCATGTTCCAGGTTCTCAAGGGCCGCCAGTCAGCCTGGCAGACGCTCATCGACGATGAATGTGCCAAGTACAAGGCTCCAGGCGGCGACCTGCTAGACGGTATACAGTTATTGCAGGACTGGCTTGTCGCCGTGGCTAACGACCAAATCGCCTGTATCGATGACAACGACGAAACAGGCCAACTGGGCTACCTGACTCGATTCAAGAACGACTTCGAGCCCTACGTGGATCCGAAATACATGGCCTCGCGCGCCATGGTAGAACTCGACGCCCTGCGCGACGGCTACGTCGATCTGAGTACCCACTGCCTCAACCAATTCGTGCAAGTGGTCTTCTCCGTCGACCTCCGCGGCACCATCCCTGAATTCTTCACGCAGAAATGGTATGGTGATTTCGCTATGAAGCGCATCACTTCCACCTTCGACGATTACATGGCCGACTACTCACCCGTTCTGCATCCCTCCCTGACCGACATTCTCGTCGAGGAATTATCCGACGAACTCCTCGTCCGCTACCTCTCCTCCGTCCGCAACAAGAGCGTCAAGTTCCGACCGTCACAAGACCCCTACACGGACAAGTTCAAGGACGACGTTCTTACCGTATTTGCCTTCTTCCAGAAGTACCCAGATTCCTTCGCTGCTACTATCAAGATGAAGTGGAGGCTTGTTGACTGGCTTGTGCGGTTGCTGGAGTCGGAGAAGGGACCGGCGCTTGTGGCTGTTTATGAGAACTTCAAGACAGAGTATTGGGATTTGCAGCTTACCTGGGTTGAAGCTGTGTTGAGGACTAGGGATGACTTTGAGAGGAGCATGGTTAGTGCTACGAAGGCGAAAGCTGCGGAGCTGTCTGTGGAGGTGGACATTGAGACGTTGATGAGTCGGGTGAGATGAAGTTGCTTCCCTTGGTATTATGTGAGGGTTATTCCATCAGCGAGGCGTTTGGGACTTTCTTTTCATTCTAGTTTTCACGTTCTAGCATTTAGATGTTTGTATATAGCTCTATATACCTCGTTAGTTATCCAATCCATCAATATGATATACATGCATCCCTTGCGACAGCTACTCCGTGACCTTTACACCACCATCCGAACTCCCATCACTATCATCATCCATTATGATCTCAGTACCGGTAACGGCCTCAGTAGCCGGTTGAATGCTGGGGTCCCAGCTCAAACTCCTCTCCGCAACAACCTTGTATTTCTCTCCTAGGCGGGCATTCAATCCGTCCTCATCGGGATTCGGCTTCTTTGCGCCCATCTCACAAATGCACACGGATTCCAGAGGGAACTCCTTTGCCCAGACAAATGGATACTTGACGGCGTCGCCTGACCCTGATGCATCAGATCTAGGTGATCCCTTCCTCTTCTTTTGTTCTGGGTCATCGTCTAGATCTCCTACGTTGCTAGCGCGTCGCAAGTTGTTTCTACCTTCTGCTGGCAATGATTCGTTGCCATGGGGTGTACTACCTGCAACAGTCACTGCCGCAGATCGGGGCGTCGTCCTATGACTATCGAGATAATAATCCCGATAGTGGTCAAGGATATCTCTGGCATCGAATGTATACCGGCTATTCTTCTTGCCCTTGGGGCCATCCTTGCCCTTGAAATCATCTTTGCGTTGCCGACCTTTAATGTATATCGTGTTCACGACAGTGGCGTGTAAGAGGAGTGGTCTGGGCTTGAACTTGGGTTTTTGGGGGATGTGGATTGGTTTGATAGGGGGTTTGGGAGGTTGGGATTGGGATAAGGCTGATTTTTCTTCTGCGAGGGTGACGGGTAATTCCTCAAGGAGAGAGGATGATGTAGTGTCGTTGACGCATAATGGTTTATTTGTTGCGGCGGTAGAGTCGTTCTCGTTGTCGACACTGCGCTCTTTCAACTTATTCCCCTCATCCTCTTGAGAAATCCCTTCCGCTGCCCCTCCATCGGGATTTTGTCCTGCCTGACGCTGAGGAGGCTCCTTATATTCCCCCTGCAAGAACCCAGCTTCGAGGAACTCATCCCGCAGCATCTCGCAAAAGGGGTACAACCGGGACGTAGGATCCACCGGTGTAGCATGCAGAACTGTAGCAGAGCGTGGTCGCGGAAGAGCATGTAATGATTCGAGAGAAACGTTGAATGGCCGAGGCATGGTCTGCGAGATTGTGGTAGCAGGACCAACAATCTCCTGCACAGAATCAAACTCGCTATCGCCACGAGATCCAGGAAAAGAAGGAGTTGATGGTTGTTCCAATCTCCCTTTCCTTGAGCGGATATTCTCTGCCTTCTCCTCCGCTTCGTGCATCATTGCGACTAGATCTAGTGACTGGAAGAACTCCAGGGCTTCTTCGAACCGTTCTTTCGAAGGAAGGCTCATGACGCCCAGGGTAAGGTGGAGTGTTCCCACGGGTCGCAATGCGCCGTCAGGAATTAGCGGTCTTCCTTGATCGATGCTGGCTTGTTGGGGACCATTTTGACCTTGTTCTTGCTGCGCCGGTGATGCGGGAATAGTTGCCTTGAACGTCACAAAAGACGATTCGAGCTGCGGGAGAGAGATGGAATTGACGAGTGGTAGACAGAGGAAATGAGTGAGTTGGGGTTTCTTTTCTTTGCGTGGAGGAGGTCGGAAGTTTCCTCGGGGTTTGTTGTTCTGTTCGGACATGGTGTGGAATGGTTGGTGGTGGTGGTAATGACGATGATGAAATCGGCCGTTGTAAAGTGAGAATTGCAATGAGAGAACAGGCCTTGGAGACCTGAGAGATTTCAGCATTAATGAATTGAGTATGAGTAGAGAAAATGTCTATGAACGAATAATAACCAATGTAAATGAGATTAAGAGTTAGGGTGGATGGAGCAGCGAAAGCGATGATGTTACTTGAGCCATGACATTTGTGATCCGCACTTCTTCCTCCGCAGCTTTTTGTCCTGCTCTCTTCTCTTCTCTTCTCTTCGCATTGCAAACTGCCACCATTATACTCTACATTTCAAATCAAATCCTCTGAATAGCCATTTCTACATAATCCATCATGCTCCCCCGCGCCCCCCGCGCCCTCTCCGCCGTGCGCCCATCCCTCCGCATCAGCCGGATCGCAGCACCAGCTGCCATCCACCCTCGAGTTCCCCAACAACCCCAACCAGCTCTTCGCCAGAGCTTCCACTCCTCCCCTATCACCCGCAAAGGCATCCACCCCGAATCCTCCGAACCCCCGGCCCCGAAGCCGCAGTCTCACAACGTCGCCGGTGCAGCAGTCCACATCACAGAGCCGACGCCATTGACGGACGCGCAGTACTACGAGTACTCGGAGCATTATCTCGAGTCGCTGCTGAATGAGGTTGAGCGGACGGCGCAGGAGGATGCGTCGGATTTGGAGGGGGAGTATAATGTGCGTTACGTCCCATCTCATCTATGAGAGCGTTGAGGGATTGACATGCTAATGTTTGTGTTACTGCAGGCCGGTGTATTGAACATCATTGCCCCCGGTATTGGCACCTTCGTCTTGAACAAGCAGCCCCCGAATAAGCAGATCTGGCTTAGTTCCCCGATTTCCGGGCCCAAGCGGTACGACTGGATTGTTGAAAGCGAGGGGCAGAATGAGAAGCAGGGAACTCGGACTACTGTCACTGGGCAGTGGGTTTATCTGCGTGATGGGTCGAACTTGACGGATTTGTTGAATTCGGAGTTGGGCTTGAATTTGTCCAAGGATATCTATAGCGAGGAGTTATATTAGGCAGAGGGGATGGGTTGTATTATCTACGCAGGAAAAGGAATGTGATATTATGTATATTGGTTGTTGATTTCAATTTCATGTTTTGACGAAATATATCAGCATGGACTGGATCCTTCTCCCGTGAAGGAATAACCGGACAGTGTGACTGGTTTGGTCCGGCCCATCCATCATTCGCGACCGCATGCGAATCCATCTCTACCCCAGCAACCTACAACCTGCGCGATGGCAGGCTGGTCGTGGCCAAATCCCACCAAGTAACACATTCAGTGTCCCACGAGATGCGCAGGGCGCAGGGCGCAGCGGAGGATAGCCAGGCGGGATACCGATGCCTATGACCATTGCCAGTGTTTTCGCGACGTAGCTCTTGCAGTTCCCTCCCACCCCAAGTGAGCCAATCCCGAACTTGTTATTTCCAAGCAAGAATGGTTGCGTCTCATCCTCAAACCAGGAATAGCGTCATGCGGTTTGCACGTTTCGTCGGACCGTCGTTAAAGGTAGTCTCTCGTATATAATCACGCCTTAGGAAGATCGGCCTGTCACATTAAACCATTAGCTTGATCCTCCATTTAACCCTGAGGAGAAAAGAAACCCACCTCATCAAATATAACCCTAATCATCAAACTACAACTTGGACACACAGCAATCTCCTCCCCATCTCGCAGGTCATCAATGCAAATCTCGAACCGATCGCCGCAGGGACATGGGTAGTGGTAGATTTGGAGGTTGGGGTCGAAGGTCATGTCTTCGATTTCGATCTCGTCGTAAATGGAGAGGGATTCGTCGTCGGCCATTTTGATTCTTTTGATTTCTTGTTTTCTTATCCTGATTGTTCCTTTTAATGGATTGTCCTGGTTGGTGTCTGTCTGGTGAATGATTTGGATATCTTGGTGGCGCTGTCGCAAAATTTTTGGGACGGGTCATGTGACTGAGGGGGTGCCTTATCAGATCTGCATATCATTTGGATTGTGTGCCTGAGGATGCATGTACATCTCATTGAGGGTATCAAAGGAAAACATCAGAAAGAAGTATCTACTTCTCCAAGCTCTTTATCTCCATCTCCACCGCATCCATCTCCTTGATCACACTGGCATACTGTCGCGCAATATCACCGAGCGGACCGGATCCAGACTCCCCGTTCAACTCCTCTATAGCAAGCTCTCGTCTCTCTTCTAACCGCTCGCGCGTCGCCTGGAGATGTTTCTTGTATCGGGCAAGAGAGGAGATCGTCTCGGGGGTGTATATGGTAGACCCAATATCCAATTTCATCACGCTGTTCAGAGTTAGCCTTGCCTAGGCAATCTTGAAGTGTGGTGTAGACCAACCCCAACTTCCCCTCAATACCCTGCGCCACCGTAGCCAAATGCTCGGCCTTAGCCTTCGTAGCCCTGGAAAGCGCCCCATGCTTTGCACGCTCCAACAGCACAACCGTCCGTTCAAGCACCTGTGCCCTCGTCGCGAGTACCTCCGCTGCGGTCGCGGCCATCTGCTTCCTCGCCGTGGGTAACTCTGACAACTGAACCTGACGTAGCTGCTGCAATCGCTCGCCAAGTCGCGGTTTCAGCAGCGCCGGCTGTGCCGATTTAGTCGTGACTTGTCGCGTACGGACTCGAGGGGTTCGCGGGGGTTCTTTGGATTCTGCGGTGGCCGAGTCGGTGTCTGTTATGGCTCGGAGGTCGTCGACGGCGGATGTTAGGGCGCTGGAGAAGGAGGGGATGAGGGCTGGGATATTGGCGTAGAATGCTTCGATGTCTGGAGCTAAAAGAGAGGATACTTCGCTGCTTTCTATGCCATTACCGGGGTCGTCGATGTCTTTACCGATCTGGCCTCGCGAAGTCTCCAGATAAAGTACGATTATAGCGACGATGTCTCGGTACTATATCAATTCCCAATCGCATCATTCAAAGTAAGTCCCCGGTCTTCTCCAAGAGACGAGTAAATACCCAGCCAATAGGAACTGACCTCATCCGACAACCCACTCTCCGGATCGAACGCCAACCGTCTCAACGTCTGTTTCTCAATTTGTCTCCTTGCATGCCGTACGCGGCAATTCTTCAGGTCCTGTATAAAACCGCAATAAGAGATTCCGCATCAATAAGTCGCAATCATTATGGCTTGCTGCTGCGTACTTCCAGGACTTCTTGTCTGGCCGGTTGCACATCGTTTGCGCGTGTAGACCCATCGGGGTTGAGCACGGTGGTTGTGAGTTGTTGGTATAGTTTTTTGAATTGGGTATTGCTTTCGAGGATCGTGGGATCGCAGGGAGGAATCATTGTGGTTGTTGCTATGTTTGGGTGATGTGGTTGTTGATGCGGAGGTTGAAGGTCACCGTCATCTTGACTCCGCACACCGCCTAGACTTTCTCTACTCTTACCCTTTTCGGTGTCTATAGAACTTCAGTTTTACAGGAGTGGACGGTTTTTGTTTGATATTCTTCACTTCCATTTCACATTCACATCGTAATCATACATACATCCAGTGCCATCCAAAACCCACAGCAAGAAAATCACCATAGCGACCATTCATCGCATGGGCATGGCGACAAAGGATAAAAAGACAGCGGTTCCAATGAATCCATCACTGCTCTCCTTCCACATTCCGAAAATAACTCCCACAATGTCTCAACTTCTTCGAACGTCCCCGGAACGACATCCTCAGACAGTCGTCACATTATTCTCCCTCTCTTCTGTATCGAACACCCACACGCAAGAAATAAAAGGGAAATAACACAAGTCTGAAAGCTGGAAAACGCTTCTCAAAAACACGATGGCCAAGCCATTTGCTGGTTGGCGAAGAATCCACGAACTCGCAAGAGAACTGAAAGAAGTGGAGATAGGTTGGTCGCGGGAAAAAGAGAAAAAGAAAATGAAGAACACGAAGATGATCATATATGTACAAGAGGTTGTTCAGGATAAATCCGCTTGGGTACGCAGTACACTTTAGTAAAGGTATCGCGTGGCAGCAAGAGATATGCAGGACAGACCCCGTTATTAGTGTAGAAGAGAAGACATAGAAGAAAACGGCAAAAGATGAAGGCTTCTAATTGACTCGGATCACTTGAGAGTAGTAGAGCGAAGTTGGAATAGAGAATACATAGCATCTTAAAGCAAAAAGGTGCATTGCATTTATTCTTCCTCGCTCTCTTCGGAATCATCATCTGAATCATCACTGCTCTCATTCGGCTCGACAGAAGGAACCGGATCCGGCGATTGACCGCCACCACCCTCGAAGCGCGACAGGTTGTTAGCAAGCATGTTAATTTGTGCTTCTTGCTCATACTTGCTCATCGGCTTATTCTTCTTGGGCTTCGGGCCAGCAGGGTTATTCGGGATAGCGGGCGCGGGCTCATCGTCATCCTCCATGACATGCGGAGCGTTCTTCCTGACGAACTTGAGCAACATCAGCAGAACATCATTGGGAAGCTCATCAATATCCAGCTCGATCTCAGTCTCTTGGGTACCCTGCGATAAAGTAAGTTAGAACAGTTGTCGGAAAATAAGAGAGAAAGAGGCGAGACATACCTTGAGAGCCGGAACGTTGCTTTGGATGATCTTAAGAGCTTCCTGCATTTTCTTGTCGGGAAGGCTACTGATGCCATTGGAGATGAGCTGCTTCTCATGGTAGGTGACGAAACGCTGCTTCTCAGGCTTGGCCTTGGAACTCTTCTTGTCCTTCTTGCCAATGGAGATGGACCCGCTCTTCTTCGGATCCTTCTTTCCAACAGACTTCGACTTGCCAACCTTCTTCGATCCAGGCGGAGTCTTCTTTTTCTTCTGGGTAATCGCTTCAACCTGACGGGACATCTCCGCAATCTGCTTCTGCAGCAGGGTGAGCTTTTCGGTGTCCTCATCACTTTCTTCCACGTCTTCATCACTGTCTTCGTCAGAAGAGTCGAGACTCTGTTGCTCGTTCTGAGGCTCATGAGCTTCAAGATAGCGAGTCTTTTGTGCCCACTTGTTGTTGAAAACCTCCTCAAGCGTTTTTCCGGCCATGAAGGTCGGGTCGCCAGGAATGTTGAACTTGAAGCAATTCTTAAAGATCTGACGCATGTCGGATTCGAAGTCCTTCGCATTTTCATATTCACCGGCCTTGAGCTTAGCCGTCATGGTTCCGAGATCCATCGGCTTCTTGATGATGCTGTGATAAGTCGGAATATTTAGCGCGACAGGGTCAACCGGGTAGTAGAAAGGCATGGCGTAATTGTAATGCTTGTGTTTGTAAACTTCATCGAGAACTTCTTGGCAGAATCTCAATTCCCACTGGAACTTCTTCTTTTTCGGCTTCGTAGAGTAAGGAAGGTCCCGCTTGGGGGGATGGATGGAGCGCTTAGGACGTCCATCGGCGGTGGTCGAGTCACGGCGGATGAGAGGCAACCCTTCAGGGCCCAGAGCAAATGTCGTTGCTTGGGGAGACCCAGCTGCACGTGGACCAGACAGGCTGGGGCGTGCCTGTGGTCGAGCGACTGTGGTCTTGGGAGATCCCTTCTTGGACTTCTTTTCCTCGACCTGGTCCCGCCGGGGGAGGTTGACCATCTGTTTATCGAAAGTGGCTTTGAGCTTCTGACCCTCTTGGGCAACCAAGTGATCCGGACCGTTGAAAGTCATGGCGTTCTGGACCATCAAATAGAAGTCGTCAATGACGTTTTGTGCAGTGGGATACTCATTGACCTTCAATTTGCGCTCAATGGTCCCGAGGTCCATAGGACGAGAAATGAATTGAGGGTAGTGAGGAATGTTCATTTTAATTGGATCAACAGGCTCCCGGTAGAATCGCGCATCGTTCATACGCTTCAAACTCTGGACTCCTTTCAAGAGAAACTTGTGCTGCATCTTGGTCATGGTCCTACCCTCGCTAGCTGGCGGCGCAGCAGAAACATCTGTGGCGGGCGTAGGCAAGTTTGCGGCACCCGTATCATTCGAAGCGGGAACGGGAGCCGGAGCAGGTGCTGTACCTCCAGTGGCAATCTTTGTACGCTTCGCAGCTGGCTCATCGCCATTGTCCGGTTCACGTTCTCTGGAAATCTTGGTCGGAGAAGCTGGAGGTTCCGGTGCGTCCCGCATCTCCTGGTCGTTGTTCTGTGGTTGATTACTAGTGACATCCAAAATAGGCGCACTGTCCAGCTTGGTATCAACGGAAGGGTGATGAGGAAGTTCAGCCTTCACTGTGGTCGAATCCTGCTGGTGCTTAGGTGTCTCTGGATTATCTTCCACCTTGACTTCCGACGAAGGCTCCGCTGCGGGCTTTGGAGCGTCTTGCGATGCTGGAGATTCCTTCGGAGCTGTGCTGTCCGCATCGACATCATTAGACGAATCTTGAGAAGCCGGCTGTTCAACAACAGGTTTTTCCTCAGCAGGCTCCTTCTTGGTCTCATCTGTTGTCGCGGCCTGTTTCATGTTCGAAAGTTTTGCGTCTTCGGCTGGAGGAGTTGCCTGGGGAGCGACTGGCGGGGCAGCTGTATCAGTAGCGGACTGGGCGGAAGACTCGGAGTTGGCGCCGTTCGTGGTGGCGGAATTGGCGACACCATTCTCAGTCGCACCGTTGGGAACGTCGGGCTTGGAATCAGTCACTGGAGGAGCTTGCGCGCTGAAAGCAATGTGTCAGTGAATAATCCCCGCGGACTGGCAACACGGGCTGGCAAAGGTGAATACATACCCTGTGACAACATCGGGAGAAGAGATTCCATTTGGCGACGGCGGCAGTTGAGGCTTCTCCTCCTTCTGAATGGAGGGAGCCTCGGCAGGCGGCGTCGCCATTGAGAGCTCTGGGTGTGTATGAGGAGAGATCTTAAGGAAGAAAATCCCTCCAGTAGAAAGCGTAGAAAGAGGAAAGGGAAGCCGAAATACAAGGACTCTAGTAGGACACAGCGACACAAGCGATAAGCTCGACTCAGCTATCGAAGAGTGAGAGAGATTAGGAAGTGACAACAGCAAGACTGAACTGGAATAGGTACTCTCTGCGCTATTATCACAGACTAATGGAATCGAATTCTCCGTCGAGCGAAAATAAGAAACGGAATAAAGAAAAGAAACCTGATTAGATGACAGAAACCAAGGTCTCCAGCGCTGGTTGTTGTTATTTTTCTTTGAGGGTCGCCAGAGCCCGAAGAGATACAAAAAGAGAAGAAAGAGTCGCAGAGTGGAGAATGCGACAGGAAAGCGAATTTATATTGCCAAGAGGCGGTCAGAGACGAGTCACGTGGGCGGCAACAGTGGCAAGCTCGATGGTTTGCTGGAAGAGGAAAGAGAGGAGAGAGAGAGAGAGCAAGGTCAGATGATCGTCAGGCAAGGATGCAGCAGCGACCACAAGGGAATAGTGTATGCCTCAGGCTGTCAAGATGAAGAGGAAAAAAGAAAACAGGATCAGCCACTCCTGCAGGCACTGTGGCTGGAGAAAAAAAAAAAATAAGGGAAGATGACGACGTTGATAAGTGTAGGTCAGGGGCACAGACAAGAGAGCGCGACGCGACGCGTTGTTATGTAAGCGGTAAAATAAAAAGGGTAACCGAGGATACCAGGGGAGGGGGAAGGGGGAACAAATAAAAAAAACACACTCTCAAGACAGAGAAAAATCGGAGGGGGTGCGAGAATGCTTAAGTACGAGCGCCCGCGTCGCGCTCGTCCGCCCTCTGCCGCTAGCCCCATCAGTCGCGCTATGCCCGATTGTTCTAGTCCAGGCCATTTAGCAGCTTCTTATTGGCTACAGGATGACGCGTTCTACGGGTACACGTTGATGATTGGTCGATATTGGACCCACTGGCGGATACCGGAATCTTTCATGGTCGGGAGCGGTAGTCATCGTTTTTTTTTTAACTGTAAAAAAGTTCTTTCATCTTCGTAGCTTCAGCTGGGTATGGTGTGTAAAAGTAATTGCAAAAAAAAAAAAAAAAAAAAAAAACCATTACATCACATCAAACAGTGCCCCGTGTATCACTGACCAACGGGTGAGAGAGATCAAAATGACATACCCAAAAAAAGACGGATACCAGGCATTCATGTAACAGTGGTGACCCAAATGCACTCCTGACCACCACAACCCCAGGGTTGAGCCCTAAACCCTTCTCCTTGCTTCCGATCGGGTCTAGGGTCGAGCCTGTCACACTGATGCAACCGCCCTTGGACGCTCCACCCGCCAAGGCATAAACCAGAATTTGGTCATGGTGCTGCCGGAAACTCAAAATGTAAACATCACATCAAGCGGTATCCATCCGACTCTCGTTGATAAGGGATGTTAGGTTCCACTAGTATCTCCGTTTGATATTCTCGTCAAGCGGTCTGCATGTACGAAGTACGGTGCATTCTATATCCGATAGGTTGTCTTCAACGAATTCGCTAGTCGCTGCTGTAGAGTAACAGTGGCGTTGGCGGAAATTGGTTGTTCATAGTTCTCCGTAATACTCAGAGGTCTGCAATGTTGTAGACACCTCCGTTTACCTCCTGATACAACTTGCTTCTTAATCAACCAAACAGAGCTGCCGATTCAAGTTGTTTGCAAAGACATCACCGTGTCAGGGACCTTGGAGTATAGACAATGCGCAAAGGTGTCATCTCGAGAGGAAATCGTAGAGCGATACTCCGAGCCCTCGGCTAGAGTTGGAGGATCTGTTAGCATTGGCGCACGCCATGTCCATTGGCATCCCCCACGACCAGCACACTATAGTGACATTTCAATGAGAATAGCCACCGCGTCCAAGTTATCCATACTCCGATGACTGGTTACCAGGACATCAAAATCAACAGCAACAAGACTGCTGCTGACCAGGCAGGGAACAATGCTGACTGCGGAACCATAGGCATATTGGCACTGAAACGTGTTTGTATCGACCACAGTGCACCAACAATCTGATATGAATGCTTTGTTCTAGGAGATGGTTCCCAGTCCAGGCGGAGAGAAGAGACACTGTGATTACCTAAGCAGCAACGGAGCTCCCCAGACCGCTAAACCGTATCGGGATAAGCGTATCTACAGCCTTTTACAGAACTTTTTTTTTTTTTTTTTTTTTTTTTTTCCTCAACATCGACACCGACGACGGTCTGCAGCTTTTACCCCCATAATATTCAGCATTTCTGGTCGAAACAGGGCTAGCGTCGTCTTACCGTCCGGTTTCTATCTTTGCGACTCATTTTATTCCAAGTTTGTCGCCTGTTTTCCCGGATTTCGTACAGAGAAAGATGGGCAAGAAAGCCTCTCGGGCGCCGGCCTTGAAGACATCTTCGGCCGCGACGCCAGCGGTTGCCAGTCAAACATACACGGGGAATAAGTCTTCGATTTTGCGAGCTGCTTTTGCGCCATCGGAGTACCAATTGGCCCTTTTTGCGTCCGTTATCCAGGGTCTCGACGCTCAACACCTCCGCATCCATGACACAAACACGGGACGATTGCAGTGCGAACATGTGCTAGCTCCGAAGGAAACAATCACGTCGCTGGACTGGGGCTACTATCCGGGCCGCCAGCAAAAGGACCAGCAGTCGAAGAAGAAGAGGAAGCGCCCTTCCGACGTCAATGGAGCCGGTGGAGATCTGGGCGATGTGGTTGTTGCGTTTAGTACAAGTTCCTCCGATGTTCGTATGTACTCGCCTGCTGAGGACAAGATTGTGGGATCGCTTGCGAATGGGCACGAGAAGGGTGTTAAGGAATTCAAGTTTACTGCGGGACGGTCGAGCCAGGAAGGCTGGAGTATCGGAGGTGACAACAAGCTCGTGCAGTGGGACCTGCGCACCGGTCAAGTTCAAAGGTAGGCATGACATGGTCACTTCTTGAAAACAACCGTCACCTAATAATTTGATTTAGAACAATCAACCTCCCAACCACGTCGACATTTACCTCTCTTTGCCGCCCATTCCCTTCGAATCCTCCCGTCATCTGCGCCTCTCAGACACCGTACATCATCAATGTCGAAAACGACGAAGCTCCGATTGCATTCCCTGCCATGCGTAATACGATCCAGACAATCATCTCTTCTTCGACGGACTCGTCTGCAGGGCTCTTCCTCGCCTCCGACAACGATCGTTACATAAACGTCTTCGACTCCAAGACCCAAAAGCTCGTTCTTAACCTCGTTGCAGACAAAGAGGTCTCTTCGTTATCGCTGTACGCCGGTTCGGACAAGCAAGCGTCTTCTTTGGAAAACCAGGTTCTCGCAGCTGTGACGGAGGACGGCACAATTGAGCTTTTCACGAAGCCTTTCGTTCAGGCTCAAGGATCGAAAGAAACTACTAGTCTCAAGGCCAAGGGAAAACAGATGACTCGGAGAGCCGACGCTTCGATCCAAATCACTCGCTCAGAAAACTCGGATGCGCTTGTCTCTGTGGTGGCTGCGTCCATCCAGGGATCGGATGTGGTGGTTGCTTATGCCGAAGGCGGTGTTATTCCAGTGTTTGAACGAATCAGGTGGCAAAACGGAGAGACTGACGAGCTCTCATTTACTGGTACGAAGAAGGTGCCGAAGACCAAGTCCAGCAACTCCGTACTCGCTTCGGTATCTACAAACAAGGCGAAGAACGCAGGTGAAAGTCAGGTCGATGAGTCTCGGGCCGTTGTTGAGCAAGGAAATATCGCCGGTGATGATGATGTTGAAATGCAAGACACCAAGCAGGGTGATGCGTCGGAGTCCGACAGTGGGGAGGAAAACTCGGACGAGGAACAAGAACCCAAGAAGTCGGACGAAAAGGAGGACACCCCGAAGAAGAAGAAGAAGGAGACCGACAACGACGTCGAGATGCAGAACGCATCTGGCTCAGACGAGGAAGATGGAGAAGGGGAGGAAGAGGAGACAGGCGAGCCGTCGTTCGGTGAGCTTATGCGGGCAAACGCATCGGAAGAAGTCGACGTCGAGGCCGAACTCGACGACGAAGTTGGAATGGGCGCTCTGGTACCCGGTAAACCTAACGCGGCCGTCCAACAAATTCCCACTGGCGTCTCCCTCTCCACCGTCCTCACTCAGGCCCTCAAGACCAACGACAGCGGCATGCTCGAGTCTTGCTTCCATACCGGCGACCTCTCCATCATCCGGACTACCATCCAGCGTCTCGACTCCTCGCTGGCAGCTACCCTTCTTCAAAAACTCGCCGAACGCCTTTCTTCGCGCCCTGGCCGGTATGGCCACCTTCTCGTGTGGGTGCAGTGGACATGCGTGGCACACGGAGGTGCTCTTGCCGGTAAGCCCGAGCTCCTGAAGCGCATGACCACGCTGTTCAAGGTGATGGACCAGCGCTCCTCGAGTCTGTCCTCGTTGCTCCTGCTCAAGGGCAAGCTCGACATGCTCGATGCACAGCTGAGCCTGAGACAATCCATCCGCAGCAACGCAGAGGGCATGGACAGCGAGGATGAGGACAACGTCATCTACGTTGAGGGACAAGAAGACGAGGAAGATGAGGACAGCGATGCCGAAGCCAAGAACGCGGCGACGCCCCGCACCAAGTCGATACGCGACCAAGCCATGGACGAGGACGAGTCGATGATCAACGGTGTGCAATCCGGCTTTGATGACTCGGAGAACGATGAGGAGGAGGGAAGCGAGGAGGAAGAGGACGAGGACGAGAACATTCTCGACGTCGAGGCAGAGGAATCCGCCGGCTCTTCGGACGCTGAAGAGTCACTCGAAGAAGATGAAGGCGATGAAGACGACAGTGCTGAGAGCGAAGGCTCGATTGCTGACTTTGTTGCTGACTCGGAAGATGATGGGGAGTCTGATGTTGAAACGCCCGCGCAACCCCCGCCGTCCAAAAAGGCCAAGGTGCAGGGTAGTGCCAAGGGGAAGAATAAGGGGGGAAGGAAGTAAAGGATTCCTTTTTAGAGCATGAATGAATATATAACTTATGTATCTACCAAGCAACCTACTACCTACCTACCTATACCCTGTTTTTCTCTTTTCATATATGTAATGCTTTGTTTGGTTAGTTTACAGGGAGAAAGAGGGAGGGTTTTATTTCATTAAAAGTGACGTCTATTTCTTTTCTTTGTGTCTATCATTGTTTCTTATTCAGCCGTGCATCCCAGTTTAACTGTACAGAATACAAAGCTGCGCCTGCCTCACTGAACAGGCAAACATTTTGCCAATACACCCCTGAGCTTACATATACTAGGCCTTAGTCTGATCAACGGGGAAGGAGGGCAGAGCCTCAACCTCATGTCACTTAGATATGGCGCGAGGATCCATTGGCTGCGCCTCGGGGGCCGTGAGGCTCAAATTACAGCCCAGGCGATCTTGGAAGGCTGTGACGGCCGATTCTCGCCAACATATAAAGCCCGCTTTACGCTCAGCAATCTCGTACCACCTAATTCTTCATCATCAATCATGGACTTGATGCATCTCCCCCCCGAACTGCTCTGTCAGATCATCGACCTTGCCGTGCCTGAACATTATTTTGATGGCCTCTATAGGCGTAGTGCAGTCAATCTACGTCTCGTTAATCGTAAGTACTTCCAGTGTTTCGAAAGTGCAGACCATACTAATGCATCAGCCAGGCTTCTTTGACAGTCAAGTTCTCTGGGTATACGCAGCACGGAATTTCTCCAATCAATGCTGGATGGCGAGTATTAGAAACCACGATGAAGCTATGTTGGCTTTTACTACAAGATATCTTCTTCAACGGCCACATCCAGCACCAGACCCGAGAGGAAATTTCGCATGCCTAGTCAACTACATTGTTGATGAGCCGGTGAAATATGACGCTGGCGACTCTGCAAGCAGCGAAAAGCTACGATACGAGTATATGCATGCTCTCTGCAAATGGAGCACTCCGACATTCTTACAGTTGCGGCATTACCTTGCCCTCCCGCCCTCTGGAGATAAGCAAGACGCTGTCTTCCTTGCGGCGGTTTATTTGAATAAGCGGAATCTTATTCAGGACATGCTTCAGGATTCTCGAATAAACCTCAAGACAATGAAGCATGGATATTTCGATACACCCTTACATGCAGTCACCAAAGGCAGACACTATGACCTCGTCTATGAGCTTCTGCAGCATGGAGCTGATGTCAATCAAGGTAGTATCTTGAAATGGGCCATCTCTGATAACCATGAGGATATTTCCTACCTGCTAATACAACCACAATATGGTATCAACACATCAGATAATGAGTTCGAGTGGTCAATAATATTTTCAATACAGCAGAACTATCACGACTTGGTCTGGACACTTCTAGATCGACTGACTGCTCCCATATCAGGATTCCGGTATTTGCTTTCCGAAGGTCTCTGTGCGGCTTGTCGACTGGGCATGATGGATATCGTGAACCGATTACTTGACAACGGAGGCGACCCAAATGTGACTCGAGCCCATGAAGGAGCATCTTTCCATGTACCGCCTCTTGCCCAGGCTGCGTGGACTGGCCAGGAAGAAGTCATGCGTCTTTTACTTGAGCGTGGAGCAGATGTCAATGTCCATGGGAGCAAAAGCATATTCGCAGCAGCATGGGGAGGCCAAAAAAATGCCGCAAAGATACTTATCAATGCTGGACTTTCGAAAACACAGATCGATGGACATGGATTGCTCACTCGGGCCATGTACAGCATGAAGCCGGAGGCAGCGGTATTCCTGCGCTTTTTTCAAGAGAGCGGATTGATTGATGTCCACCACCTTGACAAGGACCCAGTCAAGGCAGAGAAAAACCTTGTTGAAGTGGTGGTATATGCTGCCGCAATGGGTCATGTGGAATGCCTACGAATCTTGCGTGAGTATGGGGTCGATCTAGATGATGGCCCACTGTACTCACGGTGTGGATGCCCACCGCTGATTATCGCCGCAAAGGCGTGGAGCCAGGACAAAGTGGTGGAATATCTGCTGAGCATCGGAGTCAAGGATGTAGATCCGCTTGACACCTGCATAGCAGATGATTTCAGGAGTGGCGAGTTTCCTGCTGAGCCTAAACCGTTATCGATATGCTCCATGCCGTATAAAGCTTGATCCTTTATTCACCATCTCCCTAGAGTCTGCCATCTCAATTGGATAAGAAAGTACTCGGTGGTAAGATGGCAACATCCCTTCCTTGCGTCTGGACATGAGCTAACAGGCTACTGTTTATAGAAAGAAAGGGCTTGCAGCCTTCGGTTATTGACGTCGAACCCCGTGGCCTCAAGAAATGGCTTCGCTATTCATGGAGACTCGAAAAGGTGTTAATAGCGACTGGACATACCAACAAAAGCAGGACAAGGCGTCGTCAAATTACAAGTAATGCCGGGGAAGATTTGACGGGACCCGCGACTCATAACCCCATTGAAACCCATCTACAACGAGACCTCCTCCCCCTTACACGCACCGTCATGCAAAACCTGATGCCCGGGCACCTTCTTCTTCTTCAACGGCACTTGCATCGCAACCGTAACCTCATCCGACGGATACTTGGTAATGTGCCCATCACCACTAACACTAACCGTATCCAGCGCTAGAATCGCGCCCTCCTTACCACCCCGAATCCAGGCTTCTTTATCAGAGTGCGGAAGGGTGATGTGCGCGAGGCCAGAGAGGAAAACCACCCATCTAAATCCATCGTTAACCACGAACATCACGACAGAAGGTTGAGAAAGGGGATGGGAAAGGGGACGTACTGCATAGCAGGAGCATTATGCCTCCCACCATCAAACTTCGCAGGAAGGACAGAGAACGATGCATTTCCGCTCACAGGGCCCAGATTGAGTACCTCGGAGCCTGCGGTGCCGGCTTGGGAGGACTCGGTGAAACCGGGTTCGATGGCCCAGCATTCCAGGGTGGATTTGTTGTTGCGCGCGCCGATGACGGTCACGTTGAGGGTGTTGAAGTCTGGTGCTGTTGCGGTTGCAGCTATGGCTGCGGTGCTTGTGAGGAGGGTTGTGAGGAGCTTGAATGAGACCATTTTGTGGGTGTATTTGAATGTGTGGTGGTTGTAAAAGTAGTAGGAGAGTCGAAGGTGAAGGAGAAGGTGAAAGGGTCTACGGAGTATTTATCCAGCTGAGCTATGCACTAAATCACTAGTATGGCACCCGGTATTATTGCTGAGGGAATCCCGGTCGGATATCCGAGCCGTACTGTTCTGCAAAGCTTCCTTTGATCAGCGCCAGCTGGGCGATCGACATTCCTTAGCATGAACCACGGTTCGCCACCACAAAGCATAACACACAATCTATTCTGCAAAAGAATATTTCAATTGAATTGTAAAAATGATATGTTGGGTATCTTGAAGAATATCTATCAATAATCGACCAATGTCTCTGTACATGCACCGGGAAGAATATTAGGAAAAGGAGAGGAAAACAAAACATATATCGGACCATCCAATCAGCGAATAACCTGGTTTCCAAGCGTTTCAACACCCTCAAATTCCTCCAGAAGCGGACTCCCTCCAAGAGGGCTAGAACCATCCGTCGTCTTGCCGGTTCCACCCCATACCTCATGGAATTTAACCGTCCTATCAGTAGATGCGACGATAATGCAGCCCTCCTCCAATGTGCGTGAACACCACAACCCTCCCTCCTTGGCCTTCGGTTCTACCGGTGTTCTGAGACGTGGACAAAGCACAGTCGACCCATCTCGGTTCATCACGTTCGGAGTACTTGGTCTCGAAGTGTCGAGCGAGCACCTCTCTCGTTCCTCCGGTGCTAAGTAACGTGGGCATCCGGGGTAACGAATCGCATAGAGGGCCCGTCCGCATTCAACAAATTCATTGTTCGTCACGCCGTCCCAACTAGTCCCACCAGGACCCCATGGTATTGCAGCAATTTGCTCACAACTGGGCCATGCAAAGACAGCAATCCGAATTGGATGCTCGGGTCGTGCAAAGCCAAAGGTCGCAACAATCTCTCGGTGGGTATTGCTCCAGATTAGACTGGTCACTTGAGAGTGGACATCGATCGTGGCCAAACAGGACCCAGACGGCGTGTGAAAGAAACGGATTGTTCGATCATTCGTACCACCTCCCGTCGCGACAAGAGACGGTTGCCAGGGAGCAAATGCGATGGCCTTTACTGCTGCAGAATGGAACAATCGATGTTTGTGTCTGTTGAGTGGCACAAAAGCCATTTGATCTCCAGAGATCACTTTACTGGTATAATTAAGAACGGGTGACGCCAAGGGACTGAATCGAGATTGAATCCAAGAGGGGATTAAATGACTGATGAGGCGCCGTCCGCTGAATGTATGTTGCACAGTGGTCTGCGAACTGTAGCAAGATAGAGCGCTCTGGCATCGCGTCGTACCAGACTGCTGGGAATGGCAGGAAGACCGTGATTCACATCGGACTTCCTGAGGTTCCTGCGACGGGATAATCTCGCGGAGGTCAAAGAGCAAGCAGGAGTTGTCATTTCCACCACTCGCAAGATAAATGTCGTCGGGAGACCAGGCAAGACCACAGATCGACTGAGTGTGGGCAGATATTTTAGCAAGCAAGGTCAGGGCTCCGTTCCAGTAGTGTCTGTCCCGTACGCTATTATCCGGCCATTCCACCGAGTAGTACCAGACATTACCGCATTCGTCACCAACAACAAGATCCTCGACGTCCACCTCGAAGTCAAATTTCTGAGAATATCTGCGCGAATGGGTCGGTTTGAATGATACACACGTAATTGAGTCCGGTTGATCGATTTCAAACCGCACGTTGGTAGTATCGAATGGACTCCACAAGGTCAATGTGCGTTCTCGTCTGCCAACAGCCAAGATGCTTTTCTCACCATCTTCGGAGGAAAAGGACAGAGACGTCACATAATTTGAGGGGTGTTGTTCCTGGAGTGGTGGATGCAGCAGTCTCAAAGCTTCGTTCCAGAGAAAGACGCGATGACCAAGGCCGACTGCTAGGTATCCTGTGGTGGCTGAATATGCCAAGAGTGAGCAATAAAAATCATCGCGAAGATGAGGAGCATCCAATATCCGGAAAGGCTGAGACGGTACGGCTTTCTCATTGTGATCTCTGGTTGCTGCCTTTGATCCTATGGAATTCGATAGCGGTTAGTTACGCTGCAACATGGATAATAAAGCAAGGTACCATGTTTCTTTCTCCGCCTACCCAAGCATGAATGCAAATGTATAGCAAAATACAATCACATGCTTCCCTCCCAGGTGGGCCATTTCACTAAGTTTGTGCTCTTCACGTAGATACCATTGTTTAGGACATTGGGCAGAAGCGGAATATTCAAACTTACCCTGGTATCCATCTGTTCTTATCCAAGCACCATCTTTCCAAACAGAAGGAGAAAATCGGTCGTGGCCAGGGGAGGATGGGCTTGATTTGGACTCGGATGGCGGGCTCAAGTTGCATGTGTTGAGCAGCCGAGATGCAGGGTCGATTTCAAGTGCAACGGCTAGACGGGACTCGTGTCTCTCAGGCGCCTCGGATGATGTAGGCCGCGAGAAGAACTCGGCAATATGCATAGGAGCGGTCGTCCCACTGCTAAGGAGGCCACCATTGCCATCAGGTACTGCCACAGACGGCTGGTTACCCTGCGCTGCTGATCTGCCCCCAACGTTCCAAACAGCCCCAAAGCTGACTTGTCTACCAGCACCCCTAGCCCTCTGCATATTGATTGAACCCGCGATGGCCGAGTCATTAACCAGATGGGGACTGTAGTGAGGGCTGCGTACGTGCTGAGGGCCTCGTCTCGGGCTTGTGGATCTTACTCTGCGAGCGGGTCGAAATGGATCTACCTTTTTCGAGCGTCGTCGTAGAAGTTTTTCGTCTGGCGATAGTTCGCGAGGATTCTTAGACACTCGAAACGATGTTGAAGGAGGGTTTGCGAATTCTCGTTGAGGAATGAACCGGTCCGGAGACACTGGGCTTCTCGACTGCCTCACAGGGCGTGCATTTGGATAACGTCTCGTCTTGCGGCGACCTCTGTCTTCAGGAATATTTGCATCGTGCAGCACGTGCTCTATTGACGGTAGATTGCTAGGGATGCGGCCCGTTTGGCGTCTGCTGTTTTTGCTCAGCGGCGTTTCAAAGACGTTCCTAGTATCCATAGGTGCCATCCAAAACGGTCGATACGGGTACACGCTGCCATCTAGAGGAGGAGAGAGCCCTGTCTCGGATATCGGGGTTGCAGGTCCGGATTCATCTTCGCTTGAGCTATCCCATATAAGCTCGGGAGGAGTTGAAGGACTGACTGGGGTATCGAAAGCAAGACCTTCCCAAGAATAACCTCTCGAGTGTGTTTCTTCCGCAAAGGAAGGCATTGGAGTTTGCTGTGGATAGACGGGATGAGCAAGATAGTACTATGTAGTAACAGCCGGCAAAAGCGCTGTGAGCCCTGGACAACTGAAAAAGAGCGTTAACTGGGCCAATCGGCAGCACTCCGGGCCATAAAAAGAATGCTATAAAGTTGCGAGCGTAAAGAGAATAGAAGAGCCCCCCCCTGCAGACTCTCAGAAAGACCGGAGATGGAAAAGAAAAGGAAGATGACCTAAATAGGAAAGCGTTGTAGATAAAGACACGTGACCGCGGGGGAGGCAGTCACGTTCCCCGTCCCGGCAACTCTTTCATACCACGAAAGGGCCAGAGAAAAACCAGTGTTGTTTTCCTAAAGAATATACAGGATATCAGGTCACGATGGCTAGTGTAAGGACTCACTTATCCTTATTGCGTTTCCCGACTAATGATGATTGCGGCAGCATGGTGTCCCCCGCCAACGTTCCGTAGAAGAGCGGCCCCAAGAAGTCCGTCAGCAAGAGATTCGCAAGATCGAGAAATATCAGGAGTTGGACCGGTCAGTCCATGATAAGGTAACTAGATTTGTATTTATGTGATCTTACAGAGTCACTGATTGATAGTGACCAGATTGATCAGCACCAATATACACCGGAAACCCTCCAGAACATCTCCGAATTGCTGAGCAGCAACCCTGAGTATTATAGCGTGTGGAACTATCGACGGCAAGTTCTGCGACATGAATTCTCGCAAGCAGCATCGTCCGACTCAGAAGATGCAGGCGTTGACCGGACAGCGAATCTCATTAAGAGCGATTTGCTGTTTCTGATTCCCCTCCTTCGCAGTTTTCCCAAGTGTTATTGGATCTGGAACTATCGCTTATGGCTACTTGATGAAGCCAAGCGTCTTCTCCCTCTCCCACTCGCGCGGAGGTTATGGCAAGAAGAATTGGCGCTTGTTGGTAAGATGCTGAGCTTAGACAGCAGAAACTTTCACGGTTGGGGGTATAGGCACTTCGTAGTCGAAACACTGGAGACACTGCCATCAGGGGGAACGACAAGGAAGACTATGGCGCCAGAGGAATTCGAATACGCAAAGAAGATGATAGGCACCAATCTCTCCAATTTTTCGGCTTGGCACTATCGGACGAAACTGATCCAACGGCTTCTGGATGAGAACTCTGCTAATGATCAGGAGCGGAAAAAGATGCTCAATGATGGTTTGTTAATCGTTTCCGGAAAGAAGTCTTTCTATATGCTAATGTCACGGCGACAGAGTTGGACCTAATCCACCGCGCTCTATGTGACCCGTACGACCAGTCTCTTTGGTTCTACCACCAGAACATAATGTGTACTTTTGATCCGTCGCTAGCGGGATCGACGATGGCGCCCAATCTAAGCACCTCGGAGCGATTAGAATATGTCCAGCGGGAGATCGACGAAATCCAAGAGCTGTCAGACGGAGCGGAGGACTGTAAATACATCTACCAGGGGTTGATTGATTGTACTCTACTGATGTGCAAGATCCAAGGGACGCTGCCCAATGGAGAGCAAAAGAAGAATATCTTGAGCTGGCTCTCGGAACTAAAAAAGCTGGATCCACTACGGCAAGGACGATGGCTGGATTTCGAAAGGTCGCTAGAGAAAGAGACCAGCAAAGACATTTGATGCAGGGCCCCGCCTCTCAATCAATTATCACAAGGATTGGAATGCAGGACGGTCGCACATAGGCGCCGTTCTCCTGTACATATCCTGCGGGCTCCGTGCATATGGGAATTTCTCTCGAGGACGCGTTAAGTGGCGGGAGGCAACTGTAATAGGGATCCCTGGACATGGGAGATTATTATATGAATCAATTAATTCTTCCTTGGTGCTATTTTAACAAGAGAGAAGCCTCCTCAAATCTTTTTGTCGGCATCCCCTATACACACCGATAAGTGTAGACCGTAAAATACTAAGCTTGTCCCTGAACCGCCGTTGAGTGGGCGGTGGGCCCGTTACGACCAATCAACATCCACCATACCCCGTTTCTGCCGTCCTCCATGGCCCGCCATAAAGCAAAACGACAACCGCCGGCCATAAACAACAACCACCACAATAAACCCGATCCCTTCAATCGATTCGAGTCATCTGGATTGTTGTTTTGTGTGCAGCCGAGGTATAGAATTGTTTGATATTTGCATCCCTTGTTGCGACCGGTGGCATTTTCTCAGTTATTTTCTTCCTCCCTCCTGCCCCTGCGGAGTTGCTGCTTCCGCCGGGTTTCTTCCTTCGTTCTCCGGGGTCTCTTCCCCTGGTCTTCCTTCCCATGGATGACTGTTACGATACGTAGACATTATTCGGTCTTTGGAATTGAGCTCCTCACACTTTCTTTTGTCGTTGTCTGATTGGGATTCCGCTGCTCCAGCTGGTCGGGTTCAGCATGTCTTCGTCTAGACGCAACAGCAGGGAATATGAAGGGGTAAGCGCTAAGCGAGAATTACTGGGAAACAGAAAAGCTTATAACATTCATCCATCAGGAATCCTACGATGACGCTTCGGAATCACGTCACCCTCAAAATGAACTCACGGTTACCATCCCTCAATCGAATTCGACACGTTCCTTGACAGATAGCCCTCCGAGTGGAACGGGAGCAACACCGCAATTCAGCGAAGCCCCTTCTTTCCCGCCGGCTCCCCATCAGAACGAGGTTGAGGATAAAACAAGCGACGAAAAGATGGATGAGACTGGTTCGGAAAATGCGGTATCAGATTCGGAGGAAACTCCCCGGAAGAAAAAGTCCCAGAAATCCCCCTTGTTGACCGCTCATCGCCTATCTACCACATCCCTCGACGATGTGAACTTGACCGGGAACAAAGAGGACGAGGCCGTGGTTGACGGAATGAGTCATGAGCCCAACGCGAACCCTCCGCCCGAGCAGTCGACGGACTCTCCAGTCCAGGGCTCACGTCTTCAGGGCTTGTCTGGAACTCTCCCATCCGTCCCATGGGCACCTCCTCCAGTCAATAAGAACCCTCCTCCTGCTGCTGCTGCTGCCGCCGCTGCGCCGCCGCCGCCTCCGACTAGAAAATTAACCAGCCCATTCGCATGGCTTTCGCGAAGCTCGACGTCAAAAGAAACCAAGTCTCCCCCGCAGTCTACGGATGGCAGCCGCAGGAACACCGCTGCCTCGGTGTCTACGGTCAACAGCAATCCGGAACTGGCCGGCCGATTCGGAGAATGGGATGATGCGCGTGGTTCAAAACCTAGGAGCAACAGCCTGAAAGACCAATTCAGATTGCTGAGATTGCGAGAGGAAGCCGCTGCCGTTTCGGAGAATGGAGAGGCGACCGGCACCTCGGGGCAATCTGACGGCCCTCCCAGCATCCCAGAACAAAGCGAAAATGACGCCGTCACTTCACCACCGTCAGCGACTACTACATCTCCGCCAAATGTGCCGCCCACAGTCAACCCCAACCTCGCTCCAGGAACAGTCTCGGGATACTCTACCTCCGCTAGTGATGCGTCTGTCCCAGTCGACTGGGAGTTATGGCAACAGTTGGTGAACCATGGACCACAGGCTTTAAGTAGCTCTGAGGCGCTGAACGCTGCTATCAAGCGTGGTATCCCGCAGACCATCCGCGGGGTAATTTGGCAAGTTCTGGCTGACAGCAAGAATCCTGAACTCGAGGAAGTCTACCGAGATCTTGTCGCCCGGGGCACTGATAAAGAAAAGGAGCGTCATCGGAATTCTAACGGTCAGGTCAACGGCGAAAAGGAATCTCTGTTCTCGTCACGTTCTTCTGTTCGATCAGACAACTCCGCCTCTGGTACTCATTCCAATAACGGATCATCGCCCAGTCCCACCCAAGACCCCGATGCTGAGAAGCACGCCAAGGAGCAAGCAGTCATCGACGCTGCGAAGAAGAAGAAAGCAAAGGATGATGCTCTTGCGCTCCAGAAACTAGAGAAGACTATTCGAAGAGACTTGGGTGCGCGTACCAGTTATTCCCGGTACTTTGTCTCTCAAGGGAATCAGGAAGGGTTGTTTGGTCTTTGTAAGGCGTATGCCCTATATGACGAGCAGGTTGGATACGCTCAAGGGATGAACTTTATTGCCATGCCATTGTTATTCAATGTAAGTTTTAGTAAAGTCATCTTGAGCATTTGAAGAAAGCTGATTGAGTACCACAGATGGACGAAGTTGATGCATTTTCGCTACTCGTCAAACTTATGAACAAGTACGGATTACGAGAGATGTTTGTTCATGACATGCCAGGCCTACACCGCAGCCTTTTCCTGTACGAGCGTCTGCTAGAGGATGTGGAGCCGGCTGTTTACTGTCACCTACGCAGGCGTGGTGTCCCCCCCCAGCTCTACGCGACGCAATGGTTTTTGACTCTTTTTGCTTATCGATTCCCATTGCAACTGGTTTTGCGAATTTATGACCTTATTTTTGAAGAAGGGCTTGAAACCACGATCCTGAAGTTTGGTGTGGCAATCATGCGTCGGAATGCCCAAGGTCTTCTTGAACAGAAGGACATGAGCTCCTTGTCGCTCTTCTTGAAAGAACGAGTGTTCGATGCGTACATTGACAAGCAACCGTCAGCATCTTCGATATTGGAATCTGGTTTCTTTGGAAGTTCCGGTGCTGCCGACAAAGAGGTTTATCGCGCAGATATCCTTGTCCAGGATGCCTGCGATGTGCCACTCACGCCCGAAATGATCAAAGAATACACGGCCGAATGGGAAGAAAAGGTTCAAACCGAAAAGGAGCGTGAAGCGGAGCTCGAAGGACTGAAACACACTGTCTCTATCCAGAGCACTCGAATCCGAGTGCTCGAAGAACAGGCTGAGACGTCTGACAAGGAACATGTGCAACTAGCGTCGGAGCTTGTTCATGTCAAGGTAGAGAACGAGGAGCTGAGCGACTTGACCGATGCCTTGAAGATGCAAGTTGGCGAGCTCAAGGTTGTGCTTGACAAGCAGCCGACTGAGGTTGAGGAGAAGCTTCAGACTGAGATGGACCGCATTATGAAACGTAACCTCGAGGTCCAAAATGAGAACCGATCCATGGTGGAACAAATGGCAGAGATGGAGAAAGAACTCGTGGAGGCGAAGATGAAATATGCCGAGGTAAGTCAAAAGCGTCTCAAGCAATGATGATCCGACCTAATGCGTTGTTCTCTAGATCCATGAGAACCATGAAAGCCTGAAGCAGAAGTGGAGTGACCTCCGCAAAGCCCTCGGTTAATGGGCTAGCTAGGCTGCTCGTCCTTCCCTTCCCCCACCCAATTTGTCTCCCCTCCGTTACGACTTCCGTCCCTTCCTATGTACATCTAAACCCTGACGACCTGCTATCAACATATTTCTTGGAGCTCACCATTATGGGAGGGTACTATCAGCCTCACTCAATGTTTCGCTTCCTCTTGGTCCCAAAGTCGTCTATTTCACTTATGACAGCTTATGCATGTGCTGGTATCATGTATTGTGTATCTCTTTTCGCCTCCCTTTTATTTTTTGGATGACCTACAGGGAGTTTATTGTCATGTCTGTCATGTTTTCTGCAAGCACTGTTGTCAATGTTTTGTAATGGGATGTTATTTAGTTACCTGGACGAGCGAAACGAGCACACCTGCGGTATGCAAATGTACATCATGAAATGAAATAGAGAATTGTTATATCACATTCACAAATAAATCCGATATTTACAGAACGCTCTCATAATAAGTCATAAGGAAATCCTCCCTCACAGGCCCAGCAACAGCCTTGAGTGCCTTGTGCGCCTCACACTCCGAATCGTAGTACTTCATATCATCCAACGAGGTGAATGTCGTCTTAACCGAAAGATTGAATCCCTTATTCCGGGGATCGGGGAAGGACTTGCCAACGGCTGTGCTGAGGATGTAAGGCTTGCCATCCTGCATTTTGTTAGAATCGTTGATTTTCAACAGTAAACGTAAAAGTAAGATGCGGAGGGAGGGGTACCTTGACGGCGGTCTTTGCGAGGGTCTTATATTGTTCGAGGACGCGGTTTAGGTCTTCATCGTTGGGGATTTTAAAGAGGGTGATTCGTTCGATGGGGGCCATTTTGGATTGTTTCTGGATATTTTCTTAAAATTGAAAGAGATGGATATAATGGATGATTATTGTGGTCTGTAATCTGTAACTGCGGGGGAGCTCTTATATGTACTTTATAGACTTGATTCCGACGGATGTCGGATGTTCGTCCGGCGGTTTTGTGTCGGAAGTCACGACGCAACAAGTCGATTATAAATGCAAGGGTAAAGAATTAGAGTATTGATAGTGGGAATTGTCATTTATTTGTTTATTCACACGGGTATCTTATTTCGTTCTTCCCTCGTATTCCAGCAGGCGTCAATTGGAGGTGTATCGGAGTGCGGAATAATTGCTCACGGATGCGCAAAATTCCGCGCGGGTATTTCTTTTGTCGCGGAATGTTGTGAGGTGGGCATGATAAGCATGATGAGCACGTCATGACAATGGTAGGAGATAATATGCCCCTAGATAAAACATCCGTGCAATACAATATCACCCAGCTGCATGGTGCTGGCATTGGTTGCTGCAGAGTGTCGTTCGTGATAGTCGAAGGGTCTCTAGCTGGAACTGATGAATTCTGGGAATGGAGCATCAGGTGGGAGCACATGTTGAAGAAACTTGGGGCGGTTTGAGCTGTCGTCTGTGTTTTGTAAAGGGCGCCGTTCTCCTGATTTCATAACCTCGCTGGCCGTAGATTTCGTCGCCGGTGATCATCCTTTCTGCTCCAAGCGTACCCCAGGGACACATGTGTGATGATAGCCAGTGTCTTTTGAAGCCTGGCCCACGGAGTAATTGCTCCTATATCCGCCATTGTGTGCGCGAAACCCTTCCAACGAACACCCCCATCCTCAACCCAAAGTAGAGCGAACACGCGACTCAACTATTATTCACCGGCTCCGGACGACTCTTAAAGATCATCTTGAACTTCACAATCTCCCGAATCTCCAACTCATCCGTCTCACCCCTTCGCTGCACAATCGCAATCGGCTGCGGTAGCTTCTTCACCTCCCCCGTCATCCTTTGATACCTACCAACGTACAGATAGACCCGTTTAATCCAGCTGGTATCGTCTTTGCTTGTAGTTTGCGGGGAGTAATCTGGAAACATCAATTTGCCGAGGGTGGTTTCGTAGGTGATTCCTGTAGCGGTAGGAGCGGTATCATTGTCGGTTAGGTCTTGGTTCTGGGCTTCTTGGTCGTCTGGTTGCTGTCCCTCTGTCGATGGGAGGTTGATTGTGCCTTGGAGTTCGAGGAGGGCGAGGCCGGAGGGTGTCTGGAGGGTGTTTGGGAGGGGGTTGTCGTAAGGTTTAGAGGGAGAGATTGCGCGTGGGTGGAGGGGGATGGATGGCATTTTAGTTCGATGATCAGTTCTTGATAGACTAATAGAAGAGTAAGTCCAGACGTGGACAGCTTCTCCTGGTGCTGAGAGTCAGTTGCGACGTGGAATATGGGGAAGACGGAAAAAAGAAACGCGTCGCATCGCGTCGGCCGGCGATAAGGATTGATAAGATCTCGGTTGCTGCTAGTATGGAGTATAGAAACGTTTCTGTCTCTACTTCTTATAGACATCTATTCTTTTTGCTCTACGATGAAATGTCTTGCTTTAGATTGAATTCGCACTTTGAATTGGCCGTACAGATCCTCCGTCCTCTTTTGTTGGCGATGCCAGAGACAAACGAGACCTCTTGGCCATCAAACAACCAAGTATAACCATGGGGGGGGGTTCTCCTTTGGCATCTGGCGACTTAGGAAGAGAGCTTTCATTGAGAAGTAGATAAAAGATAGCCTTGTCCTGGTAGAATGACCAGCGCTCAACACTCAGCGGTGAATGAAAACCATGAAAAACAACCAAATCCTCATCATTCACTGCCCTTAGCAGTCTGGCATCTTCCTCCAGCCCCTCCTTTTCACAGCCATTCATCTCTCCTCCGTATCTGAACTCTCCCATCATCTTGTATATAGTGACCTGATAACAATTTCGACCCTATACGTGCCAATTTCCGTCGCATTCTCTGAATCGTTGGTATACACGGAAAGGTTTCGATAAACAAATTCGCAGCCACCAGGGATTCGAAGACAAGCTGACCACATGGCACCAGGCGTCAGCAGACCACGATCCGCTAGAAGAAGACCAAAACATCCGTCAAAAATGTCCCACACGACCTCCAAGATGTGGCGTTCAGACCAATCCAAAGAATACGAAGCATTCGCACGAGCTCGCTGCAACTATACCCACATCGCGCCGCTCTCACCAGTTGTTCCCCGTACCTGGCCCGAATGGATCAAGCACCGTCTGTTGATCCAAGAAGAAACGCAATCTCAAGAGCTGCGACGTTTGGCAATCAAGGCGCTGGTGGGCAGGATCCAGGAAACTATCGAGCAATACCAGCCTCCGTTCGCGGATAAGACGTTCGAAGACCATCTTTCATCGGTGCTGGCCCGGGAGTCCATTTGGCTTCCTTCATACACTGCTCCTCCGGATAGAGAACAGGCTCCGTGGCCAACTTATGACGAGATGAAGCACGAAGGAAACCAGAAGGGCAAGTCGGGGTATTGCGGTTTTCTGCCCTTGCCTCGTACCCCGGGAGAATCCACATCCACTTGGAAACAGCGTTCTCCTATTGTGCCTTTCCAATTTGACGAAGTTGGCCATCTCAATGCGGAGAAGGAAGAGGGCAGTCCTGAGCATGAGACCGATGAGAACATGCTTCTTCTCGTTGGCAGCTTCTTGCTGAAGGAACTAAATTGTTGAATAGCTCGGTGGCAGAAAGAGAGGGAAAACAGAGAAGAAAAAGGGTTCTGGCGGGAGCGTGTTATGTTGCTGGCAACTGATATCTCTCATGTTAGGAAGGGTTTTGCTTCTGAATATTGCCTCAATTGTTTAAAAAGGAGAAAACAGAAAGGTCGTTTCTTGTCACCAAAAACATCTTCGTGTCCATCGTAGTTCATCATCGCGCCGCGCGATAACAAGCATCTTCCAGATTGGCAAGGCCCTGCATTGCCTGGTCCACGACATCGCCTGCACTGCCAGGGCCTTGCATTTTGCCGTATCTCAGGTCACTCAGATCACCCACAGTCGTGGTAAGTTCGGAAATAATCGCAGCTGCATCCTGATCAATCCTAGATATGTAATGCTCAATGTTCGTACAAGCCAATTCCATTTCCGACAAGAGACTCGACATGGAATGATATTCCTCAGAGGAAAATGCGACATCTGTCTTCTGTCCGAACAGCTGAACGTCCATATCCATTTCTCGTTGATCATGGTCATCCATGTCCACGATGCCGGACTTCATGATGGCCTTTCGAAGTTCCTCTTTTTGCTTCTCGCCATCCTTGGTTTCTTGGTCAATGTTCCCGTTTACTACGTTCAGATCCTGGTCTCGGATCTCCTGCAGTTCTCGATAAAGAGTTTTGACATGCGGGTGAGAGCGCAGCCTTTTAGGGAACAGTTCCGTAAACTGCTGCAATGAGATGACCGTCGGTAAAGGACCGGGAGACAGAAGGAAACTGCTCAGGATGTATGCTTCTGAAGGAGCCATGGTTGGATATATTCTGTTCTCGACGCGCCAGATAGAGATGACAGAATGTATATTATGCAACAATCAGATGTCCTTTGCTTTTTCTTCAAATTAAGTAGATCGATAGACGCGTCTGGGGCAAGATCCCGAACGGACTGATGGGGATAGACGTGCTCAAGTGTATGAACAAAACTATCTCAGAGGGACAAAGATCAATTGATTAACACCAGAGCAAACTGAAATGCTGGTCTTATTATTGTGTTGGGGAAGAAGCAATGAAAACATGACTGGAATAGGAGACGACGCGTCTTTTTCTGCCCTCCGAAAGTAGAAAATCTCGTTCCACCGCCATCACCACTTCTTTCCTCTTTTTCGGCTTCATCGCTACGACTTCGGCGCTGATTCTAGAAGTATTGTCGGAATAAATACTTACATTGTCTGGTTTCGTCTGCTTCTGCTATTCAAGTTCATTACAACATCTGCTATCATCGACTTCCATTGCTCCGTGTCTCTTCCGGTATCAAGGGCGTATCCGTCTGATAACAGAGCACGTCGAGTTAGAGAATAACCAGTCGTTCTCTTTCTGCTTGTTTGATTCATTTAAGCGCCTTTATCTTAATATTATTTGCCTGTTGTGATACTCTACTGGCGATTACCGTCTTCTTGCCGTGGTGAGCAGCTGGACACACCGGCATCCCCTGCTTTCCAACTTCAGCGTTTGATCTCGCAAACTGTTGCCACCCGGCTTTATCATCAAATCAGCATCAAAGCTGCTGAAAAAGCAAGAACCTCTTGTTGATTACATATAGAGTATCTCTTTCTTCAATCAGAATGGCTCCAGCCAACCAACTGGTTTACCACAAAGACGAGAAAGTTCTGTGTTTTCATCACGAGATACTGTACGAAGCCAAGATCCTCGATATCAGGCATACCGCTCAAGAGGACAAGAAGAGCCCACTGGAGTACGCAGTGCACTATAAGGGCTGGAAGAGCACGTAAGTATTATGATCCTTGCAAGTTCTCCTTATGCCAGGCTGTTCTTTATCTCCCTATGTTTGATATTCTCTTTTGAGCTTTGTTTGCGTGGATTCGCACTTGAGCTACTTCATTGGCACTATTTCTTCCTCTCTTTCCCCTCAAGCAAGAATTTGCCGTCGTGGCGGTGCGCATGGATTATAGCTAATCGGGTTTGCAAGTAGATGGGATGACTGGGTACCCCAAGATCGTCTCCGGAAATTCACAGACGAGAATAGGGAATTAGCCACGACTCTTCGTCGTGAAGCGGAGTCGGCCTTTCGTCAAAGAAACGCAAAGCCCACCCCTTCTTCTAAGAGACGTGGAGGTTCCGACCGCAGCTCCGCCCGGGGCAGCGAAGAACGGCAGATGTCTGTCCCTGCCCGCGGGACCAAGAGGGGGCGGGACAATGAGATTGAAAAAGTGTGTATTATCTTTCGACCCTCTATTGCGATTTTTGTAGGGACAGCGGGTCTGTCCGCGGTGCGCGAAGAATGTATCTTGATACTGACACCGAATCAGGAGGATAGTTTCTATAGTCGGCCCTCAGTGAGGATTGTCATGCCAGATAACCTTAAGTCTCTCCTTGTGGATGACTGGGAAAATGTGACCAAGAATCAGCAGGTGGTTGCATTGCCAGCCAAGGCCTCAGTCAACCAGATCCTTGACGATTACTTCAATGAAGAGAAGCCGAAACGGGCTACCTCGGCTGATTTGGACGTTCTTGAGGAAGTCATCACGGGCATCAGGGAGTACTTTGATAAATCCCTCGACAAGATCCTGCTCTACAGATTCGAGCGTGAACAGTACCGTTCTCTCCGCAGCAAGTGGGAGAATGGGTCGGGCAACTTCGCTGATAAGGGTCCTCTGGATATTTACGGTGCAGAGCATTTGACCCGGCTTTTTGGTGAGCTTCTTCATTTGTTCCATTCGGGATGTTGTGCTGACTGTGACCAGCTACGATGCCAGAACTCCTGGCACAAACGAACATGGACCTCCAGTCCACCAACAGATTACGGGAAGAGCTCTCCAAGCTCACAATCTGGCTGAGCAAGAGTTCAGACAAGTATTTCGCAACCAAGTATATGACCGCGAGCAACGAGTACATTGAAAAGACACGAGGCGTTCCCAATCCGAACCCGGGGACGGCAACGTCGCGTTTGCTCTGAGGTGGTTCCTTTTTTATTATTGGAGTTGTGCGATGGGAGTTTTACTTGTGGAGGAGGTTCCGGTTCTTTTTTGACATTCTGTATGATTTGTGTTGGTTCTAATAGTATTGTTGTATGCTTCTGCAACAGTTTAATGGTGTTCACACATACAACTTGTTTTTGTAACATTAGATCTAGTTTTCTGGGGAAATGCATCCATTTCTTATTTTATTCACGTTCTAAATGATAGAGAAATAAACGTCGATACCTAATCCACCAACCTGGGCCATTAGGTGCAATACCACTCACAGTAATCGAACCAGAGACGAAAGAAATAAAACCTACGCAACCAACACCCTAGCATCCTCAACTGCACACCTCGCCGACCTCTTCAACTCCGCCTTCCAATCCGCCTCCCGCCACCTCGTCCACGCACTCAACCCCTCTGGCGGCTGAATACTCAACGTATCATACCCCTGCGAAATAATCCGATGAACCTCTCTCGGACTCAAATTCTTCTTCCGAGACGCCGGGATCGGTGCCGCAGACTCGCCCTCCCCTTCCGCAAGTGCGGACTTCTCCTTATCCTCGTGGAAGAGTAGTGTGTAGAAATGCGTAGACACAGCGATCAGGGTATCAATAGCGCCGACGTGGATGTCTTTATCGGCTGATTTCTTGTTGCTTGGTTTGAGGGCGTAGACATCTCGGAATTTAGAGATGATGGGGCCCGTCTCGACAAGTTTGTAGAAGAGGTCGTCGTAGGAGGCTGGGTCGGGAAGGAAGGTGTCGCCTGCGGAGACGCAGAAGGCGACTAGGTCCACGAGGGAGGTGCTTAGGGTGGTGATGTGGGGGTTTGTGGTGAGGTCGGAGGAGTAGGTGGTTAGGAAGCGCATTAGGGAGAGGAGGGTGCGCCAGAGTTCGGACCAGTGGTAGGTTAGGCGGATTTTGCTCATGGAGAGGTAGGTTAGGAGGCGGAGGAGGATTGCGATTGTGTGGCTGTTCTTATTAGCTTCAGATTCATCAATGGTATATAAGTAGAGGTGGTAATACCTGTACAGATTTGCATCGAGGCGTCGTCGGAGGTTGTGAGAGATGGCGTCGATCATCACGTCGAAGATGACCGTAGCAAGGACTCGATCGCCAGCGACCAATGGGAGATATGGTTGTCTATGGCGACACAGGCGAACAGTTCTCTTCGTGTCCTCACTGCAGAGGAGCTTGCATAGAGTAGAATCCTCAGTGAGAATGCGAAGGGTAAAGAGGTTGAGCTCTGCATAGTGTGACACCCTCGCGGACCGATACGCATGCTGCAACAAGTACGAAGTCACAGACAGGAAGGTTGCAAATGGTGACTCCTCGTTGCTGTTTTCCGGTGCAGCGCTGATGAGATGAACGCCAAAGAGTTTGTTGGCGTTGGTAAAGTCATAAGTTGACAGGAAAATCGCTGCTTGTTGCGCTGGTCTGGTATCGTTAGCTTGGGAACAAGACGAAGGTTGTTACTTTCTTACAGGTGCGCGAACAAGTCTTTGGCTTCTTCTGTAGTTGGAGGATTCGTCTTATCCTTTGTACCGGGCTTCAGAGCTCCCAGACCAAAGTACATCAGAGAGCTGATCAAGGACCAGCCTTCAGGAGCGTCGTCTTGGACAGCCACATAGCCGTTTCGCAGGGCAGCGCATGAAGTGCCGACCCCCTTGACAATTTTTTGGATGCTCGACTCGTTGACAAAGTCGTCGAGTCGCAGCTGATATGGATTTTGGAATTCGAATTTGTTGTAGTTCGCCAGCAACCCAAGAAGGATAAACGGCTCAAACACTTGAATCGGGGTATCAGAATCATGAACAAACTGTTTTGGTCAGTACTAGACCTATATAGGTAAAAATAGAGGTAATCTAACCTTCATAAGTGAAGGAAATAGGTCCCGGTGGGCAAAGTACGATACGAGGCTCGTTTTGTATGCCCCGCTGACCATTGCAATGGCAGCTCGAATGGCTTTTGCCCGAACATCGACTAGATGACCGGTTAGGTAGAGTGCTAGTAGTAGAAAGCATCCAACTCAAATACTTACTGCTGCTCCCTTTGCGAATGATGCCATCCAACATAGATACAAAGTCCGAGATGACATGATCGACCTCATCGAGCCCCGCAAGCACGGTGATGACATCCGAACTGGGATTGGTATACTTCTTCTTCAGAACGCAGGCTAGAAAGACCATCAAGGTCTAGTCAAGAGTTTTAGAAGACGAAGAGCGCAAGCTGGACAGTCAATCACGACTTACCTCTAATGCAAAGGCATCGGCGGGACTGACTCCAGAGGCAGCCTCCCGGATGGCACGAGAGAAAAGTTGTTGGGTCTGCGCCTGTTTGGATATTAGTGAGACTGGTCCATACGGTTGGATCATAGGAGGTCAAGTACCTGTAAGTCAAGAGTGTCATCAGGGCTAAGCTGATCCAAGATCCAATGAAGTTGGGCTCGATCCGGCGCCAGCAAGAAAAATTCCCTCCAAAAACCTTCGGATGGTTCTGCAAATTCTTGCGTCTTCGGATTAGTTAGTATTTGAATATGTCATTGTTGGTTGTGTTGCTATCTAAACTTACTCGGAAGAGATTCTCGTATAGTTGCACGATCTTGGGCTTGAAGATGTCGGGTCTAGATTGCTGGGTTAAGGGGGAGGCCTCCATTTTGGGCGAACATGGGGTCGCTTTGCTACAGAGTCTTAGACAGCGACAGGAACAATCTCCTCCTCATTAGGATACCAGGAACACCTTAGGATTCTTCCGCTGAGATTGGATGATTGCTGTTCTCTTCTTTCGGGTTGGGTTCTTTTTTTGGAACTGCCACAGTTGGCGCCTTAGGTAATGAAATGCCGTTTCAGCCACACACTAGCCACGGCACGTGCAGTACTACAAGGTGACACTACATCGTTACTTGTACTCCCTACAGTAGTAATCTGTAGGCGCTGTCCCAGTGGTACAAGTGAGGATGGACACATTAGCATACATTGACCAGAATGTCATGGGTTATTCTAGACACATGCAGGTTTGATAAATGTACTCCGGAGTACTCATACATAGTGAAGAAACGCCGTAGGATAAAACAACGTTAATGCTAACAGCAGTGGGATCTTCATATCTGTCAGTCTGGATTAGTCTCTGGTAACCATATGCGAACCCAAAGAAGATCCGTAACTCGTAAGGACAATGCCGCATAAAGTGTATTCCGCAGTTATGCACACGTGACTGCGGTGGGAATAACCGGACAGAATCCCGTAGAAGCGCTGCATTGGATGATTGTCAGCCATGCCAGTCCTGCATGCGATCTGCTTCCCACTGACAGGCTGTTATTCCGGTATTCTTGTATTGGATTCAATAACATAAAAGACCAGCATTAATTGGTCATCTTTGAATAATTGCATTCCTGCAAGGGTGGCGCCACGGACCTGTGTAGAAACACCTCGGCTCTGATTGGCTGATCCCCCATCCGTTCTCCCGCCTTACAAACATTTTACCGGACGTCGACTCAAACGTCTGTCCGGCTCCATCTCCTAACAACAACTCTTCTTACTCACTACATGAACCCTTCCACGACGTTCATATGAAGATAAATAATTGATTTTGACAATTGAAAGACACTGTTTATTACTATTTCACTGCTTCTATATATTTTCCCTCCCACACCATGTCATTCTGCAGAGCTGTTCACTCTCCGGTGACATCATCCGCCACCATGCTCAGATACGTGAGCAAGCCGTCTAGCCAGAGTCTTCGGACTTTCTCGTCGTGTGGGCGCCTATACACCTCGTCAAAGCGTGATATGCAAACCGCTTCAGCCTACCGTCCTCACTCGCTACCGACTTCCTTCCCCTTCCCCCGAAACGCTGGCGTTCCCGACACTTCCATCTCAGCCGACTACCCTCCCAACCTCGAGAACATGACACAACAGAAGCAGCAATCAGTCATGTCGCCTAATGTGAGCCTGAGAGAGAAAGAGGCACAGCAACCCAAGCCTGTAGAGTCATCCGCCAAGAAGCCCGCCGAGAAGCCGAGAAGAAAGTTGCGCCCTCGCAAGGCCGCCATGAAAGTCACGCCTATAGCAATTGAACAACTACGTAAATTAGTTGCTCAACCGGACCCCAAATTCATTCGTGTCGGCGTGAAGAACAAGGGCTGCTCTGGTCTCGCATACCACCTCGAATATGTAGAGAAGCCCGGTACCTTTGACGAGGTTGTGGAACAAGATGGTATCAAGGTCCTGATTGACAGCAAGGCGCTGTTCAGTATCATCGGGAGTGAAATGGATTGGCAACAGGACAAGCTGAGCCAGAGATTCGTTTTCCGCAACCCCAACATCAGTAAGTTCCTACTTCAATTTGGAGATTAACGAACGGTAACTAACACCTCAAAACAGAGGAATCGTGCGGCTGCGGTGAATCCTTCATGGTCTAAGCCGGAAAAATACGATTCTCGATGACTTTCTTTTTGACTTGATCTTTTCATTCCCGAATGCATCGGACGGCGTTTTACGGCAAGGCTTTTTGGGTTACATATTTTCTCTGTACATTGTCCGATATACCACATTGATTTTGGGAGTGCACAATTCCCCCGTTCTGCGATATACCTTCGTTCACTTCGCCCCCACGCCCTCGCATGTCGGGTTCTACGTCAGTCAGTTGACCTCGGTGGCAATGCCCTACAATTGATGGCGCATTTACAGTACAGATGCAGACCAACGAAAGCATGATTATTTACACGTTTACTTTGTTGGATTTTCTGGGTGGTGGGATTGTGGATAGGATTTCTTGTGATTTGTGATATGGTCATGGGGTTTTCCGAGGAAAACGATCGGTCTGTTCATGTGCGGGTCGTCTTTCCGGTCGTCTTTCCGCAGCAACCGCACAAAAACCGTCGCTTACTACCTCGGGACCATGTGGTTTCCTTTGTGTAAATTAATCACCCATAAAGATTGGCATTCCAGTCATATAGAATGATACCAAATTACTATGTTACATGTGTTGTCCAATGTTTTTTATTCGGATCTGAAGATCTTGGCCGTAAAACCACGCCAAAACCACATCTTCTGTAGAAGACCATATAATACAATAATATTCTGAATGTGATTAGCTATTCAATTCTCTTAACAGAACTAGCATCTAGTAGGTTCAGCAGCAGCGTTTAGGAAGCAGTGGTTCAATAATGAGCTGAGTCATCATCGCCATATCATAGTTACTAGCCGCGGCGATAAACGGCGATAGCATCAACCATCAACTGGTTCTATAACCAGATACATCTCTGGGGAAGCTCTCAGACAACCATGTCCTTCCCCTATTTCATCCCAAAAGACAATGACACCTTAACCCCCGAATCCGAATCCGAACCCGAACGCAATACAAACGCAAACCTCCTCCTTACGATCCGCTTCTCTGCTTCAATATCAGACCTCTACCTCGACATCCCAACCCCCGAAACCACCACAGCCGCAGGCCTCAAGCAATCAATCCGCACACATCTACCCTCCGATCTCTCGACGCATCGCCTCCGTCTTATCTATGCCGGACGCGGTCTCGAAGATGCCACCGCGCTGGCGATATCATTGAGATTACCGTCGCCGCCGCCCCCGAAGGCCAACAAATATGAAAGCGCAAAGAAGGATAAGGGCAAGGAGCCAGTCCGCGAACAGCCGCGGGTTTATATACACTGCTCGATCGGAGATATCATCCTCTCGGAATCAGATCTAGCAGAAGAAGCGGCTGCCGCATCGACGCTTCTACGGAAGAGACAAGATGGTTCCGGTGATGAGTATGAAGCGAAGCAACAAGAAGAGAAACAAAAACGGCAAGTTTCAACAACAACGCCCGCACCACGCGGTTTCGACCGTCTGCTCACTGCAGGCTTCACCGCCGCGGAGGTGACAGCCCTCCGCTCGCAGTTCATGGCTGTTCAATCTGTCTCCCGTACGCCGGATACGATGCCTAGTAGTGCGGAGCTGCGCGAGCTCGAAGACCGATGGCTAGATGAAGGGACGACGACTGGATCCGGCACTATGGGGACTGGGGTCGGCGGTGGTGGTGCTGGGGGTGATGGGGATGATGATGGGAGCTTCGGGACTGGTTCACGAGGGGCTATTGATGATATGCTTTGGGGTACGGTGATGGGGTTCTTTTGGCCTATGGGGTGTGCGATGTGGTTGAGGAGGGAGGAGGGGGTTTGGAGTTGGAGGAAGGGGTTGGCGGTGTTTGTGGGGGTGGTTGTTAATGCTGCGTTTGGGGCTATGAGGATTATGAATTAGGACTTGGTTGCTGGCATTTATGTTTAGATTATCTTTGCGCAATGATACCCCTGCTTCTGTTAAGAGATCGATGATTGAATAAAGCAACGCGATTCAACTGCAACATCGGAGTATTAAGCTGATAAACGCTATCATACAAGTGGATTCGTAGAGTGCCTGCAATTCAAACAAGATGGACGGTGTGTAATTCACATAACAAGAGCGATAAAAATAAACCTGTATCAACGCCTGCCGGACAACGCTAATGGAACTTGCTGTAGATAACGGCAAAAATCAAAAGAACCAGAACGGTAATGATCGCAATCGTGATCAGCCGATTCGTAGCCATCCTAAACACAGGTCAGCATATCAGATCTGGCAAGCTCCTCGTATGGCAAGGGGATCATTACCTACGGGCCATTCCCCGCAACGTCTTGATACTAGTATCAACATAGCCCTCACTCTGTTGCAACCCCGACCGCGTATGTTCAATCATCTCCCGTTGCTGATTCAAATCCGCCAACGTACCCCGACCAATATCCTCCGTCTCCAACGCAAGCCGCTGACTATTCTGCAACCTCGCCGAGCTGCGCTCCAACCGCTCCGTCCCACTCAACAACTGCTGCCTCTGCTCCAAATGCTCATCCTGCGGATCATCCGTGTACCGATCCCCAAACAGCGCCTTACGATCATCCGACAGCGACTTGAGCTTGCGCTTCGACTCGTCGATTTCGGTGGCGTAGTTGCGGAACCGCATGTTGACCTTTGAGCGCGACGCGGAGGGGATGTTCTGCTTCTCCATGCGCATCTGGTCGAGGAGTTCTGTGGCTTCGTCCATTGCGCGCTCGGCTTGGCTGATGGCGGACTTCCTTTGTTCCCCACTCGCCTCTGCGATCTGGTCGAGTTTCTGGTTTAGGTCTGCCTGCAGGAGTTTGAGTTCGGTTTCGTAGCTGCTGAAGAGCTCGGAGCCCGCGTCGGTGTCTAGAGGGTTGGACATTGTGGTGGTCTATCTGGGGTGAATAGCTTCGATCTGGAGGTGAATGGTTGATTGGTATGGTCCTGATAAGCCGGTCTATGTACCCGATCTGGGGCGGACAGGCAGTATGTCTTTACCCGGAGAATGCAGGAAGCGTTCAGCGTCGCAATCACAGCTGTCGGTCTATAGGATAAAAGATGATATCAACAGGAGACCCTGAAATGATTCATCAGTTGGAGGCGTAGAAAAGGAGAGGAAGGAGGCCGGCGGATTCCCAGACCGACCGGCGATAATGGAGTTATCGGGCACGTGATTTCTGGGGTCATATCGTGAAGATGTCTATTCTATCTGACTTGAGTATGAACATTCTGCGAGGATTTTATGTATTAGGTGTTCTATAAACATTACAGTGGTTCTGATCATAAAATAGTGTAGAAAGATGTCAGATGTGCATACAGCTGCAATTCAAGTATACTTGCAGAAGATTCCCGAATAATCACTAGACCCTGGGCCCTAGCACTCTATGATCTAGCCTCATTTCCCCTTTTCCTTAAGCTTGTTATGGATATGGAAGCTCCTGAACTAACAACTGCTAACCCCATAAGTTGATCTACCAATGCTTACTCAGTATGTCACCTGACATCATTTCCACGAGGGAAATGACAACTCGTGTTAGCATTTAGTACATATTGGGAGACATTGGAATATTCGGTTCACGTTATTATCGATTCTTACATTGTACTGTCTCTAACCTCTCCCTCGGTCGACAGAAGGCATGAGAAGGCGCGGTTGTCTTCCGAGTCCCTCGGCACAGGTTCGATGAGCACTCGATTTAATTATTCCATGATTACAATTCTATAAAGCAATTTTCTCGTTTTTAGGTTATTCAACTATTCAAGTCGAATTGATATATAAAACCAATCTTAGTTCATGAACTTGAACACCCAATTCACATACAATCGTGGCTATCCGCTTCCCCGCTTAGCTCGGTGGTATACCATCAGATGAGCTCCAGTTGATATATTCGAACTCTGTCTAAATAAGACCTATGCCACTCCCACAGCCCAAACGGGTTGCGGTCATAGGAGGCGGTTGCGCCGGTGTTACCTGCTTTTGGGCTTTGCAACATTCGGTTCACGACGTCCATCTCTTCGAGGCTTCTTCCGAATTGGGAGGACGTATCAAGACAGTACCCTTTGAGTATGACGAGGCTCGAGTCGATGTGAATACACAATCCTCGTGTTTTAATATAGAGGCATCTCGTCAGTGTCCCCCTGTTAGACTGGGTTTATGGAGATCAACTAACCTAAGAATAGCCAATTTCGTCTCGCTTCTGCGGTGTCTTGGGATATCTACATCCCCGTTTTCTATTATTTTTGGTGCATCCGATGGTCTCAACTCATACCAATGGGGATGCAGCATCTTGGAGAACGTGATGCTACGTCTCTGGTGTCTCTGCAGCTTAGAGACCTATCGGATCCTGTTTGATATCATCCGGCTCAAATACTTGGCTCTGGACATACTAATAGATAGAGCTTTATTCAGCTCACAGCACCGCTCACGACATTCTTCAAATGCTTATGATTATCTGTTCAATGAAGGCTTCTCGTCCAGTTTCCGGGATAAGTACCTGGCTCCTCTGCTCTCAACACTATGGGCTACAAACGCTGGTCGATTCCTCCCACGTCTTTCAGTTAGAGATTTAGCTCGTTTCCTGCATGATCATGATCTGCTTCGCATTCGAAAGTTCTCGACACCATGGCGGCGTATGGATGTAACTGCCAGTCAGTTTGTCCAACGCATGGCAGGCAGCTTTCCTGCTAGTAAGGTCCATCTTGGGACGAAGGTTCAGAAAGTCAAGAGAACTGAGAAAGGGAGATACAATATCTTCACTTCCAACTCCGAGAAGATGGACTTTGATCATGTTATTTTCGCTGTTGACAGCGACGAGACTATCCGGCTGCTCCAGCCAACAAAGAGCGCTGAAGAGAGGGAGATCTTGCAAGATATACGGATAACGAAGAACATTGCTGTTTTGCATTCTGACAATTCCGTGAGTATACAAGCCCCTAGCTTTTGTGCTCATCTTTGCTGAATTTCATAGTCAATATCCAACGCCCCCCATAACTACATTATATCTCCCGACCACAACCTTAACAACCAACCACCAATAGCCTGCCTAACCCACAACGTAAACACCCTCCAAAACATCTCAACCACTCTTGCCGGTCCCATTTCCATCACTGTAAACCCGTTCAACCCTCCGCATCCGACCCTCGTCCAGGCTGTCTGGGAATTCACCGATACCGAAATCAGCACTACGACCCTCCACGCCCTCCGTCGTGTATCATCCATCCAGAATGAGAACGGATTGAGTTACTGCAGCACTTGGACAGGACGTGGCTTCTCTGAGGATGCTGTTACGGGTGGTCTGAGGGTTGCGGTGGAGCATCTAGGTGCGGATGTGCCGTTTGAAGTTGAGTCGCACCAAGGGGACCTGGATAATGGGAAGTCCGAGGCTTGGTTGGTTATGGGGATTAGGGATCATTTGGTTCTTACCGCTTTGGGGTTGGTAAGGGTGTATGCTAGAGTTTCTGAGTTAGTTTTGGTGTTATTGAGGCTCTTTTGGGTTTGGATAACGAGAGATCGAACTTGGAAAAGATAGATAAAATAGACGTTTCTTATATGGTTTTATGTTTATATCAAGAAAATAAAGCTGAAACTCCGTACAATAGTTGACATTAACGTAAACCTGTTTCTTAAGATAAGGAAACCTTCGCTTTTTCCAGTCCCTGAAATAAACTCGCGCATCAAACGTGGTATACAACTAATTCAGATTTGTCTCCCATCACAACTTGCCAGCATTATCATCGCCCGAAATCACAGGAAACTCCCACTGTCCTTGTTCACAATCGAAGCGCTCCGCTTGGCATCGAGGAACAGATCCTCGCACTCTGCCACATCGGCCTCCTCGATTCCTCCTGGCCGACCGTTTACCCGCGCAAGGATACTAGCAGGGGTCAGCAATTGCAGAGCATACCGCATGCTGATCTTGCTGCCATGCTCTGCAACCTTCTCCAACGCAGGATCGGTGATGTTGAGGCCTTCGATCTTTGCACGCAACCGGATAATGGTCTTGATCTCTTCGGGGGCGTAAGGCTGAGTGGGGATGATGAGGAGTCGGGCAAGGAGGTCAGAAGGAATGCCGTGCGCCGCGGTAATGTCGTCGGTGCCACGGATGACGGTGTTTCCACGGTTTGAGGCGAGAATAACGATGGGGGAGATGGAGGATTCGAGGGCCCGGTTCAGGTAAGTGAAGCATTCGATGTCAAGCATGTGGACCTGGAGAGATCGCGGTTGTTAGCAAAGATACATGATACGGATGGTGTCATGTCACATACCTCATCAATGAAAAGAACACCAGGGACAAGCTCAGCAACACCCTGGTCGATGTAGCGGTTGACCACCTTGTTTATCTCCTGGCGCAGCTTGTCCGTGATCTCCGTCTTCTTCGGTTTCATAAGCTGTCCCATCATACTCATAACATCCTGTCCACCCTGTGGCCGAGCGTTGGCCATATCCAAGTCATGTAGCGTCACATCCTGGACAATTTCCTTCTTCTTGTGGACTTCTCCCTTCGGCACGGGCACGTATTCCTCCGCCTCAAGGTCGAACTCGGTCGCATAGGCATCCGATCGCCCGACTCGCTTGCAAGCTCCGGTGTTGGCCTCGATGTAGATAACGTCTCCAACGGTGACTCGCTCCTTCTGGATCGCTTCGTAGATACTAGGGTCGAGACGCAGTTTCTTGGTGCCCTTGGCCGACTTCAACCCAATGATCAAATGACTGATGGTCCGCCCATATCCTCCCAGCGGGTTTTCGGTTTCCTCGGGTGTGAGTTCTGTGACTTCGCCTTCGTATACTTCCTTGGTTTCGCGCACTCGCAAACCTAGAGACTGTTAACCCCTCCGTCCAAACCGTAGATTCTGATTACCACTCATACCAATCGCTCTCCGAAAGTTCTCCATAAGTGCCTCAGTCTTCTTGACTTCAGCAGAATAGATCTCACTGCCAACGATCGGACAGAACGGGACCTTGGTTCCCAGCTCCTGCGATACGGCGAGAGCAAGCGCTGTCTTTCCGGTTCCAGGTCCACCTGCAAGAAGAACAGCTCGACCAGCCATCTTCTTCGCCTTGATCAAGTCTACCACGACACCGCATGCCTAGACGGAAGCATCCCCAGTTAGCTGAAATCGTCGTAGAGAACAAAGCTCAAGGGAACGGTGTCGCGAACCTCACGGGCAGCGGCCTGTCCAATGAATCCATCGCCAGATTGTTCTGGTGTACCATCCGAGCGCAAACCAAGACCCCTAATGTGCGTATGGGCTGCTGTCCGGTTCTCGCGCGAATTGCCCTTCACCTCGCTGATCTGGACCATTGTGAAGGGATTGCGGCCTCACTCGCGAGCCACGAAAAGGTATGTAGGTTGGGGTAGAGTAGGTAAATAGAGATACAGAGGAGCAGGATAAAAGAGATACAACCCCGTAAGAAAAGAGTAGCAGAACAAAAGACAACGAACGAGCTTGAGAGAAGGTGATAATGCAATATGCTTCTGGCCGAAATTCACGGCGCGCAAACCAGAATCGGCGAATAAAATACCGTTATCTTCCAGGCGGTGAGCCCGCCCAAATTCTTTCGAACCAACCACTCTCTCTCCGTCAATTGAACGACCTTCTCCGGTTTCTTTGGGCTTCCTGTCATGCCATAGCTGCTTATCCGACACAATGGCAGGATTACAGACCCGGTCCACCATGTCCCTCCCGTTCTCGCTCTCTGCGGCCTTCCGCAACCTCTCGTTAACATCCTCCACTCGCTCATTCTCCACGACTACCGCCGCTCAAAAGACGAAGACACTACCCGACTACATTCCTCCTTATCCCTGCGGCCCGAACTATGTCTACAAGCAATCGAATACAGGATTGTATGGGGGTGCGATGATCCAGTTCGGAAACAAGATCTCGCAAGGGCGAAATGAGGGCAAGACCCGACGCATGTGGAAACCGAACGTCCGGCGAAAGAAGCTTTGGAGCGATGCGCTAGAGGACTTCGTGTTTATCAAGATCACACGGAAAGCACTGCGGACTATCAGAAAGTCTGGTGGACTCGACAACTACCTTTTGGACGACCGGCCGGGCCGTGTGAGGGAGATGGGTATTTTCGGATGGCAATTGAGATGGCAGTTGATGCAGACTCCGAAGATTCAAGAGCAATTCCGGGAGGAGAGGAAACGACTGGGATTACCGGAGCCTCAGTCCTTTGAGGAGTTCGTGAAGCAAAAGGAGGCTGAGGCGCAAGCGAAGGGCGAGGACAAGACCAACATCAAGGACGAAACGCAGCCAATTTACAACGAGAAGCTGTACTAATCGGCTCTCTTGACGGAGACATAACGTGAATGATCGAACGGTTCTCAAAATTCCGGCGACAATCGGATAGGCGTCTGTATTACTATTTCGACAAATGCTGTCCACGACCGTATGAAGCGTGTTTGGGCTTTTGCAGGATAGGGTGGAAACAATTACCCGGAAACTGTTACATTTGTTTGGGTTTACATGTTTATTAGGCCCTTTGATGTATGTACTTATATTCTCAATGGTATTTCTGGATCTCCATGACGTTCTTGTCAATTAGCTACCGCCATAATCACAAGCAGTGGAAAGAAGGAATGGATCCAATATCTCAGGACTTCGTTACTTTCCAGGTTCCAGAAACATCGGATGATGCCCGTCCATCCGGACGGTCCAATCGCTCATCGATTGTCACGCCAGCCGAACCAGATGTCGAATTGGTAGTACCGCTAATGGTGATCGTGAACGAATTGTTAACCGACAAGGACTTCTCGTCACCGGGGATGTACGTCTGGAGCAGAATTCGATTTTTGCAATCAACGATAGCCGGGTTTCCTTTTATGTTGAATCTGTCCTTCGGTGCAACATGATAGTCGTCTTGTTCGCCGCAACTTCCTTGTTATCGCCAATTTGGGGTTTCTTGAACATAGCTGTCGCAGTATCGCCAACCTCCAGACGAATATTGAGAGATTTAAATTTGAGGGCGTCGTCGGTCTTGTTGCTGATGGTAATTTTAATCTGAGCGGAGTTGGAATTGAGTGCGATGTTGGGGCTGACTTCGTACGTGAGAAGCGCCTGGGGTCGGACGTTCAAATCCTTGGTCATTGTCTCGACTTTACTGCTGATGTAGTCCTCGACGGGGTCAGGCGGAGGGGTATGTGGGATGACCCATCTAACACATGGTTAGCCAGATGCAGGGACAGAGAGATGTAATCTACAGAACATACTCGAGGATGGTCATGACAATACCAACGATGGCGACAGCAAGCCCGACATCCGGAATAATGGCGCTCTCAATACCAAACCCAATCAACGCAATCTGAGTGAGATTCACTGCCATCTGCAAGGCAACACTCGCCATAGTGATAATATCCATGGCGATGATTCCAGGCTTTTCGTGTCCCCATTCGTTCTTGACCTGTTGAATCATCGATCCAAGGATGGCAGTGTTGAACAGAGTAAGGATGCTGTTGAAGCCAATGGACCACCCTTCTTCAAATTAAAAGAGCCGTGCTGATAAACGTTCTTCGGCATCGGCTTCTGTCACGATGCGACCCATCTGAAGCTCAACAGTAGAATCTTCTGGAGCCTCTGCGTTGACCCTTGCTAGGCCTTCGTCGTTGATGGCATTGACTTGTTCTCCTTGGGGACCGTTGGTCTGCTCCTTGGGCATCTTACCTCCCATATTCCGGATCCATTTTCCACAGGCCTTCCGGATCTTCGACAAGTTAACGCCCGCTTCCTTCAACTCTACCATTGCAGACTTGATAGTGTCAACAGGTATAAAGACAGAATTCAACACCTGTATGACAGCCTGTCTCTTTTCGTCGGGACTGGGGTTGTCCCAGTCCATGAGAGCTTTAATCGAGGTGTAAAGCTGGTGTCCTTGCATCCTGTGTGGGAGCAGATGTCAGTCTCAAGTATGGTTCTGAGGAAGTAAACAAAAAACACTTACGCTAAGCTGACACAGACGTTGATCGCTCCCCAGGCCTTTTTCAATTTGGGCCATTTGGTAGGTTGGTTGGTTCGAATATCATTCTGCACCTTCTCCATCGCCTTTGGCATCTTACTAAAGCTTCGTCTCAAACCTCCTATCTTCTTGAATGCCGCGGGTAGGGAATTTCCGAAATAGCTTGGCGTGCTGAACATCTGATTCGCCAATTCCTGTGTCGACGAGACCTCAAATGCCTGGTAAAGGCCGTTTATATCTGTCGTGCTTGGAGTCCATCAGAAATAGGATCATTGTCTTGCAATCGTTGAAGAAAGCTCGTGACGCATTGGGAGTGCTATGGCTTTGTCTCTCACCCCCTTCCACAGCTTTATGTCATAGTCCGTTCCATCTTTTGTTCACTCAACACCATACAATGCTGGTTAACGAGGTCCTATCCGGATCTGCTCTTGTCAGCTGCGGATGATATCCTAGGGGCTGTTGCAGAACATACATAACAGACCAGGCAAGTGTGTCTAGCACGTCATTGTCAATTGGAGCATCGTGTAATTGCTTGGCCCAGTTGTGCTCGGGGTCGTCAATATAATCCTGGAAGTTGGGCAATTTTGCTGTAGCGTGCTTGATGAAAGATGGAGCATGCGCAATGGATACCAACTCATTGAAGTCGTCGCTTCGAGCCAGACACTTTGTATCCTAGATCCAACTTTGCCAGAGCCTGTATAACTTTCGTGACAAGGTCGTCCATCTTTTTCCGCTTTAGTTTACTTCGATCAACTTCAAATTGTCAAAATTCAATCCTGTCTGAGATGCGGGAGGCTGATATTGTACTTTCCCAGCATATAATATATACTGTAGATGTTTCTAAGGATTACGTAGCGTATCCATGTTTCTCTCTCACCTGAATTCATAGCAGAAGCGGCGAGCTGAATCTCCTCTGGTCGACTGCTTCCTTCAGCCAGCAATATGCATAGAGTTGAATGCACTAATTTAATGCAATGCAGTCTCTCCTCTCAATCATTGCGAGAATAGCCTATCATGAGAGCCCAACAGCAGGCTTGAGACAGGCTGCTGTTTTTAGCTGGGCTCATTGATGTGAGGCATCTAGTGATACGTGAATTAAAGTGTTGCTTAGTTGCAAGGACGTGCATTTCGGAGCATCATGGTACTTGGAGAAACGTCAATCTCTATCTTAGGGCTTCTTAGGAGTTGCAGAAACCCTGCAACTGAATGACATGTACAAGTATGCAGCATAACGGAGATCTATTTCCACTTGAAGGCCTAATTCCTCAAGGCCACGTCAATGGAGTATGAGTATGGTTTCTTCAATAAACTGCATGCGCTGTGCAAAGCGAAATCGATTCGGGAATACCGCATACTTTATTGATTGTTTTCAGAAGACACCTTTCTTTGCCCTGGGCACTTCGATATATATACACCAGTTCCGGCGAACTGAATGAATTGTCAGTGCACTATGTTATGCATAGCAATGCTGAAAGACCAAAGTCCGTCCTGAGGGTATTAGTGCTCTTTCGTATATATCATTCCAAAGATGAGATGTCCAACCTGTGTAGCCATACAATGCCATACAATACCATAGAGCAAAACCGGGCCGACTCTAATCCGTCGCTCATTGCCCGATTCGGATGCGACACCAGACATCAGTCCTAAAGCATCAAGTTACCATGCAGATAACAAAATCTTCCAATTATCTTTGCAGTCACCCAGTATCGAATTGCTGGGGGATTGATCTCGCGCTATGCAGTTCGCGTTACCTCCTCGGGGCGGCACTCTTCCGCTACATAGTAGCGGCCGTTCTCGACTCTCGTATCAACGCCGGAGACAGCTCAAGGTGGCCGCAGTAATAGGTCTTGCGGTCATTTCTCTCTTTTGTATCTTCTCTTATCTCCGATCGTCGAGTATAACTTCGTTCGTACCTGCAGGAACCTCAGGGATCGTTATTGTGACAGTCTTGGATCGCGCGGCGTTGAGCGAGAAGTACATCCACCGGATTAAGAAGAACAGGGAAGACTATGTCAAACAGCATGGTAGGCTATTGAAGCTCTTCTACTATAAAGCTTCCAATTAGCTTACAATTCGCTTCACGAATAGGCTATACGAATTTCTTCGCGGATGTCTCTGACTACGAATCTACGCTTGACAATGCCCCGCGAAGCTGGGCCATGGTCCCTGCTCTCCGTCATGCCATGACGCTTCACCCCCACTCAGCTTATTTCTACCATTTGAGCCCTCATGCCTTGATTATGGAACCTTCCAAATCCTTGGAATCGCATATCCTAGGCAAAAACCGCCTCGAGTCGTTAATGCTCAAGAACGTTCCTGTCATACCGCCAAATAGCGTCGTCAAGACCCTCCCGCACCTCACCTCGAAGGATATAGAGCTTGTCTTCACTATCGACGATGCGGACTTGAGTACTGGGAGCTTTGTGATTCGACAAGGGGAGTTTGCGAACTTCTTCCTCGATGTTTGGTTCAATCCATTGTATCGGAACTATAACTTTGTGAAAGCAGAGACACATGCCTTGGTATGTGGCACTTGGACAATTCTTCTTGCCTGTATTTATGGCTCACATATTACTCGTTTCTAACAGGACCATATCGTTCAATGGCACCCGACGATCCTGGCTAGGTTGGCGCTGGTTCCCCAGCGGACCATCAATGCCTACAGCAAAGATTCTCCGGGCGTCAGCGCAGATGGAATCTATAGGGATGGTGACTTTGTCATTCGATTTCATGGCTGCGAAAGCGATCCCGTGCGAAGCTGTGATAAAGAAATGGAGCTTTACTATGATTGGTGGGAAAAGAAAGTGGACGATGAATGAATGGTTTCGCTATCTGGCAGACCGGAGTTTGCATCTGAAAAGGGGTTGTGCAACGTTTGCTTGTTTATTTTGATATGCCGGGCGTTTAGGTATTGGAGTTATGTTGAGATTTGCACTTAGCTTAACATAATATCCGTTTCACGTAGTACAACATTCATTAAGTATATCTAGAAATCATAAGTCTTCTCTGTAATAATCACATTCGTACAGGCTAGAAGCCATGAAGACCGGGTCCAATAGCATTGGAACTCCCTGACCAAACCCCAATCCAACAAGAGCTGGAGATTGGGGTATTTAAATATCATCCGCCGCTCTGATCACGAAGATATAGGTTCTTTCGCAAAGACGGCGACGCTTCGTTATCGCGCCCTGCTTGCTCCGCGTTTAAAAAATTCCAGGGAGCATGACAAAGCTCTTGCGCTTGTACTTGTCACCGAATTCCTTGCGGTAGCGGCGCTCCTTCTTGGCAGCCCAGACAGCCATTTGTCCACCGCCCACAGCAATGAAGAACAGAACACTCCAGCTCAATCCACTGACCAGGTAGACACCAACCCACGCGAGGATCTCAAACAGGTAGTTAGGGCAAGTGACCAGACCAAATCCAAAGCCGGATGGGATACCCCGCTCGGTGGTACCCGCGCGGCGCAGGTTGCGCAGGACCAAGTGGGCGTTCAAGTTGGCCAGCTCCGAAAAGGCGAAGAGGCCCAGGCCCGTATACCGGAGATTCTCGTTGGGGGTGTCGGTTGCCGCAGTCGCATCTGGACGGAAGGCCCAGTAGGCGATGTTGAAGCCTGCTAGGAGCCAGTAGTGAGCACTGTTCTTGAAGATGTTGCGGGCCGGCATGGTGGCATTGCTGAAGCGGTGGATGAAGATCGTTTCGAACTCGCGTTTCAAGAAGTGGACGCTCAGAAGGGCACAGACCAGGAGTTGGGAATCGGAGGGGTTAGGGAGAGGCTGATCGAAGTTGTAGTAGATGTACGGCCGCAGAGGGAAGAGGAAGAGGGCGGGGATCAAGAGAGGGCCGAGATATTCAATGATGAACACGGTCCGCCATCCGATCTGAGGGCCTGTGCGGAGAAAGAGAGAGTGTTAGAACAAGCTTTGGAAAGCATTGGGTCTAAGCTCGATATTCCACGCACCTAGGTCTTTAACCTGGATCACGCTCTGGTCCTGGAGTCCGGCATCGTTGACTGTACTGTCCTTCGCATTGGGCACCACACTGCGGTCGCTTGACTTGGTGATTCTCAAACGATGGATATCGAAATTGGACGCAGTCGCGAGCCGGCTGTAAATTTCCTGGGCAGAAGCATCAGGGCTGACCCGAATTTCCTTGGGCAGCGCCTTGATGGGCTTTCCTACCAAGTGTTAGTATTCCCAATTTCCGAACACTATACAGGTAATTGGTCTCATACCCCGTGATTCAACCTTCAATGTGACCGATGTCATTTGGAATTGGAACTCAAATTATCCCCTTGATGCCGCGTGCCAGGTACGTCCTACGAATGAAAATAACACCGTGGGCGTTCCATCACCGGCTAACTCAGGCACCTCGGTCCCCGATGAGCCACGTGATTTAGTTTCCTCAGGCCATAAAAACCGCACTGTACTTATGTACGAGGAACGCATTCCTCCAACGCTGCTGCAGACAAGACAGCAAGGCAACCCTTCCTGTCATCCCCAGATCGTTTCTTTTTTCCATTTGAGATATGGTCATAGGTTAATAAGCCTCGTATCCTAGCTCTGATGACTCCATCCATGCTAGTACTATCATGCCTCTACCGAGGCAATGGACCCAAGGATAGAAATAGCTTGAAAGAAGCAAAAACGACGATGACAATTATTCAGCTGAATGGATAACTAGTTAAGCAGTGATGAGCTAGTTACGGCAATTCCATTCCGGTCTCAGCCTGGCGACCATTCAGACTTTGCTTATTCTTAGTCTGACATTCCACAAGGAGGCTCACTAATATTAGAATTGTCGGTCACAACATGAGAACCCCGACTCTTGCTGGACGGCGTACTATGCGGCTCCTGTCTTTTGATAGTGACACTATTCCATGACCGATAACCGGAATACTAAGACGAACCCTGATGATCAACTCGTCTAGTTACGGGACTTGATGGGTAAACGGAAGCACGGCCCTCTGCATCAGGCACAGTTAACTACTCCAGCAGCCCAATACAGTAACTACGTACAAGTACCATTGCCCCATACCTGTGTCTTGTGGCCGAATCGTGCGTCAATGATTACAATTGGCACTATTGCCACTACTGCATCCAGTAGGACGATTGCTGAGCCACAGCGGACCATCCGCTGCAGATTGCCCTGTTTTTTTTCAGTTTTATTCTGACAGACTGGTCCGTATGACGGCCTTGACAAATACGGGAACAAGGGAGACAGAGCTCTAGTTTGCGAAATACCACGAACCGGAGATCAATCGGATCACAAGGCTGCGCATCCGTCCAAACTATGGCGAAGCAGGCTCTAGCAGAGCCTTTTTCTCGGAAGTAGGTGAGAGATCCGCGAATCAGAATCCCCCGTCATACGCTCACCACACATATGCCGGCAGTGGGGCAGTCATCATGTCGAAAAGTGGACGCTGCTTATGATTGAACAAGCCCGATGCTGATGGGCAATACGGCTGCCTCGATAGCGGCCAGTTCAGCCGTATTCATTCCCCGTTCGTCTGCAGCTTCGCTGGCTTATCCCAGTCAATGATATAAGAGCGTGACCTTTCCCTCATGAGTCGAGTCAACCAGATTGATTATTGTACTCACTTCACAAGTATATTATCTCTTTCTCTTTTCTTGTATTGCTGCGACCTGAACCTGCATCTATCAAGTCTACTTTTATAGTCCTCTTTCGTCCATACGTGTACGGAATTATATTCATTTGGTAAGGGTGATTCACATCACAACTTCTTAGAGGCGCTTCCTGTCGCACATACTAATTGTCAAGCAGTAAAAGTTCCGCATTTGTCATTACCACCCACAATGTCCGACAAGGGAGAGGAGTCGAAGATCGAGAAATCGATCTCCCAGATTGAACAAGTCATTTCCGCATCCTTGCGATCCATGCCCACTGAAACAGGCGATGGTACATATATCAAAGAGCCCAAAACCACAGGATTTGCCAAAGATCTCCCTCATCTGGAGTTGGACGATGTTAAGACTGTGGTTGACGTCGTCAAGGCTGGTGCGACAAGCGAGCCCGTGGATGACAGGGAATACATCATGGAACGAGTGATTCAGGTCAGCCATTGCCCTTTCCTTAATGTTTTGTGAACCGTGCATTCTAAACTTATGTTAGATCGCCGCCGAGCTGCCTTCAACCTCTCGAAATGGCAAACAATTGACAGATGCCTTCCTCAACCAATTATGGAATGACCTGGAACACCCTCCAGTCTCGTATGCTATCCAGTGATTACCACAGTGCAACTGTGCATGCTCTGACTTCACATGCAGCTTCATCGGCGGTGATTCTAAGTACCGTAAAGCTGATGGCTCTGGGAATGTATGGCGTTTTCCAACCCCATGTGAGAAATTATTGTTAATCGTACGACAGAATTTGCGTTGGCCTGAACTCGGTGCTGCTGGAGCCCATTATGCGAGATCTGTACGGCCGAAGGCTGTGCAGCCCGCCGTCTTACCGGAGCCAGAGACCCTCTTTGACAGCCTGCTGGCCCGGAAGGATTTTGAAGAACATCCAAACAAGATTTCTAGTGTCCTGTTTTATATTGCCTCTATTATTATCCATGGTAGGCTACCTGAAAGATACAACTGTTTTATGTGCTTTGCTGACGTGAATCAAGACTTATTCCAAACGGACCGCGACGACCCTAGTATAACCTTGACATCGTCATACCTTGATCTCTCACCGCTGTATGGTAACAACCAGGAAGAACAGAACACAGTGAGGACCTTTAAAGACGGGAAACTCAAGCCGGACTGTTTCTCCACAAAACGCGTCCTGGGCTTTCCCCCAGGTGTGGGTGTTGTACTGATCATGTTCAACCGCTTCCACAATTATGTCGTTGAGCAATTGGCAACGATCAACGAAGGTGGAAGATTCACGAAGCCAGACGAGTCGAATGATAAAGCGTATGGAAAGTACGACAATGACCTCTTCCAGACTGGTCGTCTGGTGACTTGCGGTCTCTACGTCAACATCATTCTCAAGGACTACGTCCGTACCATCTTGAACATCAACCGAACGAACAGTGCTTGGAGCTTGGACCCTCGCGCTGATATGAAAGACGGATTGCTTAGCAAGGCAGCGGTTGAAGCAACTGGTAACCAAGTTTCCGCCGAGTTCAATCTTGTGTACAGGTGGCACTCGTGCATTTCTGAACGAGACCAGAAATGGACGGAGGATCTGTACAACCAGATTTCCCCAGACGAGAATCCCAAGGAAATCAGTCTGCAGAAGCTCATGCGATGTCTCGGTCAATGGGAAGCGACCCTTCCGGAGGATCCCGAAAAACGTCCGTTCGCTGATGTGCAGCGCAAAGAGGACGGCACCTTGGATGATGACGGCCTAGTGAAGATCTTTGAAGAGAGTGTCGAGGACTGCGCTGGTAGATTTGGCGCATCCCATGTTCCAACAGTCTTTAAGAGCATTGAGGTCTTGGGTATCAAGCAGGCCCGTTCCTGGAATGTGGCTACCTTGAATGAGTTTAGACAATTCTTCAACCTGGCTCCATACAAGACATTTGAGGAAATCAATCCCGATCCGTACATTTCTGAGCAACTTCGGAGACTGTACGATCACCCTGATCTTGTGGAAATGTACCCGGGTATCAATATCGAAGCAGCCAAAGACGCCGTGACACCGGGTAGTGGTCTCTGTACCAACTTTACTATCTCCCGAGCCATTCTTTCCGACGCTGTCGCTTTAGTCCGTGGTGACCGTTTCCATACGATTGATTTCACTCCGAAACATGTCACAAATTGGGCATACAATGAAATCAAAACCGATACATCAATTGATCAGGGCCAGGTTTTCCACAAGCTTGTCTTGCGGGCGTTCCCGAACCATTTCAAGGGCGATTCCATTTACGCACATTACCCATTTGTTATTCCGTCCGAGAACCACAAGATCCTAAGCAAGCTTGGACATGTTAAGCAGTACAGTTGGAACAAACCCAGCTACACGCCTACGCCCCGATTTATCAACTCCCACGCTGCTTGCACCTCCATACTGGCTGACCAGGAGGCGTTCAAGGTGACATGGGGAAAGAAGATTGAATTTTTGATGCAGAACCACGACCACCCCTATGGAAAGGATTTCATGTTGTCCGGTGACAAGCAGCCCAATGCTGCCTCGCGCAAAATGATGGGAGGCGCTCTTTACCAGGAGCAGTGGGAGAGCGAGGTCAAGAAGTTCTACCAAGAGATTACTCTGGAACTCTTGTATAAGTACTCATACCAGATTGCTGGCGTGAACCAAGTCGATATCGTTCGAGATGTTGCTAATCTTGCACAAGTGCATTTCTGTGCAAAGGTTTTCTCTCTGCCATTGAAGACTGATTCAAACCCAAGGGGCGTCTTTGCGGAGTCCGAACTGTACCAGATCATGGCAGTGGTCTTCGCCTCCATCTTCTATGACGCGGACGTTGCAAAGTCATTCGAGCTTAACAATGGTGCTCGGATGGTGACCCAGCAACTAGGAAAACTGGCGATGGCCAATGTCGAGGCAGTTGCCAATACTGGGATTATTTCAAGCATTGTGGATCATCTACATCGTCACGACGTTCTCAGTGAATACGGTACCCATATGATCCAGCGCTTGCTCGACAGCAAGCTACCGCCTGCTGATATTGTGTGGACTCACATTCTCCCCACAGCTGGCGGGATGGTCGCAAACCAGGGACAGTTGTTGTCGCAGTCGCTTGACTACTATCTCTCTGAGGAGGGCTCGGTCTATCTGCCTGAGATCAACCGGCTAGCAAAGGAGGATACTCCTGAGGCTGACGAGAAACTACTGCGATAGTGAGCACTCCTACAATTCGTGTCGTTATAACTATACTAATCATTTGTAGTTTCATGGAAGGTGCTCGACTGCAGTCGTCTGTCGCATTGCCTCGAGAGGTTGCCAAAGAAACGGTCATCGAGGATGGTGGCAAAAAGGTTACTCTCAAGGAGGGAGAGCAAATTGTGTGCAACCTGGTATGTGAATCGACGTCAATGTGTTACTAGTATGCAGAGGTGCTGATACAAGTCCCCGCTTTACAGGTATCTGCAAGCAAGGACCCCGTTGCCTTCGAGGAGCCCGAGAAGGTCAAACTCGACCGTGACATGAACGCATACGCTCACTTTGGGTTTGGGCCTCACCGGTGCTTGGGTCTTGGACTCACTAAGACCGCTCTGACGACCATGCTTAAGGTCATCGGACGGTTGGACAATCTTCGTCGTACCCCCGGAGCTCAGGGTCGTCTGCACAAGCTTGGTGGACCTGGTGGTATCGCGAAGTATATGACGGCTGACCACAGTGGATTCTCTCCCTTCCCAACCACGATGAAGATTCAATGGGACGGTGATCTGCCAGCTCTAAAGAAGGACTCGTGAATGGAAATGGAGCAGGGGTTGTTCGCATATAGCCACCGTGCACAGATACTCTGAATGTTATATTCCCCATAGATGCTTGTGGATATCTGTCTTCACTAATGCTTCGTGACGCAATGAGAATCGTTGACATTATTACTCGTATCCTGCCGGCCGGCATTGTACGTGCATACATTAGTTTGGGCAACTGTGTCTCGCTGCCTGACCGATGAATAAACGTTGCGATTGGATAGCTTCTAGTATCCATAACCCCGATGGCCATTCAATTCCTGCTGTTTGTACTCCGTAGTGACTGCTTAGTACCAAAAAGTTCCTAGTTGCGCTGTGTTGTTTGTTGCTCGGCGGGGAAAAAGAGCCGCTCCGGGCGTGACTAACAGCGGGAGCGTCACTGCGAGCTTCTCCTCCGCAAGCCAACCTCCAAGTGGTGGGATTTCACGAACCTTCCAATCCTGACACACCTTTTCTCTTTTCCGTCTTCCTCTTCCATCTCACCTTTTGTTTCATCTTCTATCGACAGATCCCGATATCCCCCTGTTATCCCTATCTTACATTCCTTCGACTTATTGAGCCGTCACAGCTTCAGGGTTGAACGACCTGCACCGTTTTCCCTGGTCTTTTTGCTTAGTGGCTCCATTCTCACATCACCTTCACCTCGGTGATATTCATCCATCGAGAAGTTTCTGGATCGAAAAGAGGCTTCTTTGGAAATTCAACGTTCCCGAAATCGTCAATTTGAAGATACCGGAAAGCTTTTCTCAAAATTTTCTTGTGGAGGGACCAAAAACGTCATAAGTGCTCGCGGCTTGCTCCACGAACCCGGTCTCACGACCCCCTCCTCTCTCCTCTTCTAGGAGGCACCCTCCTGGAGTCTTTTAGACATCCTAATGGTTGCCTGTTGATTCAATCGCCATCATGGGGAGAATTAAAAAGGTGGCCAGCCAGAAGCACGAGGCTACGATCGTAAGTTTACCCTCACCCCGCATGTTGGGCTTTTTTTTTTTTTTTTTTTTTTTTTGGTTTTGAGTACGGCGGACTAAATTTTGTTCTTCTGTTACAGTCACCGTATTTGTCGGATTTCATAGCCCGTGCGACGACGATTCCAATCCCCGAGCTTCCCTCCCACCTGAAATCGTTTCCTCGGATATGGCCTTTCCCTCGCGGTGACTTTTATCACTGGATCAACGTCGTGAATTGCATCGATGAGATTCTAGCGACCGTAATCGAAAAATATGCTTTGAACAATGGTCCACAGACAAAGCCTTTTGGCAGATACGTTCTGGTGGATTCGTGCTCGGAAGGTGAAGACAAAGCGAGTGTTGAAGACATCGATGCCAAGCTGAATGCTCTGGGATTTGGCCCTGAAGGAGACAGGGAGCTTGTGGAAGTACTCCTGAATTTCTCAAAGCTTTTGCTAGAGAAATGTGGCAACCGCAGCCTGTACAACAGCAGTGAACGTCTAGGTGATCTCCTTAATACCACATCACTTTCTCTCCTGCATACTACACTGCGGTTGGGTCTCTGCTTGGCGCAGAGATATTATTCGCGCCAAAAGGGTGGCTCGCACATTCAGCAGAGCTTGCTGGCCGCTCACTATAATATCGAACTGGAGAAGTTGCTGAAAATCGCCGTACCATTCCCTCGCCCATTTACCTCTGGCAAGCCTAGCTCTGCGTCCCCCGCTGTGTTAGCCAAGAGCAAAGAGAAGGGCATCCAGACAAAACATAATGCCAACGATCTTGTCTCGCTCGTACGCGAGAACGATGGCTGGGATGAATGGGGTCACGCTCGTGTGCTCTATTACCCCCCGGGCTCCTCGGAGCAAACGAAACCCACGGGCGACAGTGGACATGGGCAACAAGCCCCATCCACGCCAACGCCGCTGCGTAGGAGCCACACTCATCCCACCCCTCGTTTGAGCCGCTCGACTGTTGCGGAGGACTCGCCTGGTATCACCAACAGTTCCTCTGGGAAGCCGGAGGAGCCGATGCGAGGCGGAAAGGTCCTTGACATTCCATACTCAAAGGCCTCTTCCTTGACAACTGAGGACATTCTTGCGTCGCATTTGGACGAGGTACCGGCCGATTCGAAATACGAATTGCTTCACAAAGTCCGTATTGCCCAAAGTCTGGCAGTGTCTCATGCTGGACGTGAACAGATTCTTGCAATCAGGATTCTTGCCATCACCAACTTGGCCTATGTCTATCCCGAAGCTATCTTCCAACAAAAGGTTCTCCTCTTTGACATGGAGCAGCCCAAACGTCTTCAGCTTGCATACCAGCTTGCTGAATTGGTTCATCTGGGTGCAAGTGGCGATCTTCCCGTTTCGAGGCATGTGCAGGCTTTGGCAATCTTGGCACTTGATGCGATTGCAAAGCATAAAGCGCGCGCTATGGACGTTTGCGCAGCCTTGAGCGTTAATGTAAACCACGGAATTCTCATGTTCTTGGCTCGCAAGGCAGTTAATGAGCTCGGCACAGAGGATGGTTCTGAGGATGATGCTAGTCAAGACGAGTGGCGCGATGCCCTACTTGCCCTTTTGCGGACGCTTCCTGGCTCAAGCTCTAGAACCCCGGAAACGCTCGTCTCTGCCGGTATCATCCGACTGTTTGTCGATGTTTTGAACCTTCGAACCGAGAAGGCTCGCCGGGTGTACTCTCGTACCATCGAGTTCCTTGATACCTTCGTCCATGCGGTTCGGGATGCACTCGGGACTCTTACAGCGGCCAAAGGTTTTGATGCCATTTCTGACCTGATTGAATACGAAACGAAAACAGCTTTTGAGAACGTCTCAAAAGGCTTGGGCATTCCTTCCCCTCACAAAACCCCATCGATGGATTACCAGATTCCGTATTTCCAGCAACAGACCCTTAGATGGATGTTTCGTTTCGTCAATCACATCATGCAACATGCCCATGGTGGCTTTGACCGTGTTCTGCGAAACCTGATCGACTCTCCCCAGCTGCTGACGTCCCTAAAGTTGGTGTTCGAGAATGCTCGGGTATATGGTTCCCACGTTTGGAGCAATGCGGTCAACATCCTCAGCAGCTTCATCCACAACGAACCTACTAGCTATGGGGTCATCGCCGAAGCGGGCTTGAGCAAGGCTCTCTTACAGGCCGTTATGCAGTCTGAACTCAAAACCCAAGAGAAGCTACCTGCTGAACCTGAAGAGACTGAAGCCGAGGGCGCCGCAGCTCAGGGCGAAGCTCCATCTGAACCCGGAGCTGTCGCACCTACCCAGTCGACAGGTGTGCGCGAAAGGTCTCGCGAATACCCTCTTGTTCGACCGAAGGGGATGCCGCTTGCACCTGGAATTTTAACTGCTCCAGAGGCCTTATCATGCATACCCACGGCTTTTGGTGCCATTTGCCTGAATTCGTCTGGCTTGCAGCTTTTCCAGTCGTCTCATGCATTGGAAAGTTTCTTCGAGATCTTCGAGAACCCCGAGCATGTGAGGTGCCTGAAAGACGACTCGCATCTTGTTCGTTCGCTGGGCACAACTTTCGACGAATTAGTTCGGCACCACCCTGCGCTCAAGTCATCCATCATGTCCGCAGTCATCGTGATGGTTGCTCGTGTTGCTCTTTTGTGTAAGAGCAAGGCGTGGTCGCATGGGATGGGAACGAAGCTATGGACCGAAGACTCACAGGGCAAAGCATCCATTTCGGGCGATCTCTCTGTCTTGTTCAGAGAAGTTGGACTGCCCCTCGATGGATCTTCCACGGGTGGTGTCCAGGGCCTTGGAGTTCCTGAGCTCAACGCTACGACGCTCCCCAACGGCGGCCACCTCACAATGGGTGACCTAAACCAAATCGTTCCGTCGAACGAATCCTTGGAACCCAAAGATCAAGACGACAATGGGCTTACTGCGACGGATTACCTCTATCCTGCACTGCGATTCCTTGGGGCATTCTTCGAGAACCAAAGTAACTGCGCGTACTTCATCGAATCTGGAGGTGTCGAATTCATCTTGGATTTCGCAACTTTGCAGAGTCTGCCGTTTGATTTCCACAACACGGACGCCAATCAAGAACTCACCGTGCTGGTACACATGCTTGTGGAAACCAAACCGCATCTTGTCCTTCCTTCACTCGTAAATCGCGCGCAGTCTGTTGTGGATAACCTCTCTGGTTTCTGCTCCGAACCTAAGGACGCCGGTTTCTTCACGTCCCTGATCAAGCCACCACAAGAGCAAGTGTCCGAAGAGAAAGGGAAAGATGTACTCAGTTCCTCGAAAGAAAACGGCACGTATTTCGCTAAGAATATGGGCGCGGCCTTGATTTTGACCGATTTACTCCGCGAAGTTTACTCCATACCGCTGTACCAGACTCGGCACCATACTTCCGCTTTTCTCCAAGTAAACCTGGCTGATCGATATACCTCGCTCGTGATGGCCCTAGGAAAACTGCATGCGGCTTGTGTCTGGGAAGAGATCTTACTTGAAAAGAATATCCCAGACACCTGGGATCAAGCGACAAAGGTCCAAGCCGCCGGTAATGCCATGGAAACGTCACAGGATACTGCTCAGCCCTCGAACGCAGGAGAGAGCTCATCACAGCCTACAACTGGGCCTCAAAGAGAAGGTGACGACACTGCTCAGGCTCCTGCCAATCGGGAGCCCAAGGATAGCTCCTCAAAAGCTCCCGAAGGTGTCGCATTCAAGAATGTGCGGGCATTGCGTTATCTTCTTAGTTCCCTGCCCACTTCCATAACGGGCTTTTACCACAACCTTGGTCTGGGACTCATCGGAAAGAGAAAGGCAGAGTCCTATCCAAGACAAAATGCGAACATAGTTGCTGAATCCATCGCCACGGCTGTTCTCAATCAATTGCAGTTCAGCCCCCCGAACTCCATCGATAACCCGAAGCATCGGTTCGCTTACCTGATTGTCATACTCTCATCCTTTTCACATCTGCTTTTTGAAGGTAAGTCTTTCTCTGCCCATGGTGTTGTACAATTTGAATCCGAAACTGACAACTCATAGCATCCGCTGAACGCTCTCAAGCGCAGTATCTCACCCTCGTTCTGTTTGCGTTTAAGAGGATTGGTGGTTTGAAAGCCGTCAAGGATGTCTGTGATGTCTTTATCGAAGAGGTTAAAGCTCTGACGCCGCCCAAATCCGTATCTGAGTCCGAAAAGGATGTCTCGGCCCGACTTACATCTGCGTACGGAGGTATCCGGATCATCCTCAATTTCTTCTCTGAGCTCGCTTCTGGAAAGAACATCATCGAATCCAGCCAGACGCAAGCCATAACTTCTAGCAGTGACCGGGAGCGTGAACGATCTGATTACTTCCAGCCCGGGCAGTTTCTCGTGGATCTGCGGATGGAAATCTTGCCTATGGTTCGGGAACATTGGAACTCCGACTTCGCAACCCAGTCATCTAGTTCCATCATCAAGTGCATGGTTGATATCTTGCGGTCTTGCCTTGATGGTGAATTCGAGGTTGGGGCTGCTCGCCGCTCCGAAAACCCCCCTGCAGTCACGGATGTGACCAGGAGAAAATTTGTTGCCCATAAGGACCGTGTCGTTTCTTTGCAAGAGAAAGGGTATGACAACGAACTCGCCAAGGAGGCTATATATCGTTGCAATAACGTTTCCGGTGCTGCTGAAGAATATTGCAAGGCGCAGAACTGGTTGCGGGTTCCCCCAAGACTCCCTCCATCTTCTGATGACATAGAATCTATGAGATCTGGAGCAACGTCTGGCGGGGAGGCCCCTGAAGACACTATGGATTCCCCATTTTTCAACAATGGCCCTCTGGAGTCTTCTGCACTCGCCATGCTCCTTTCACAAGCTTCCGATCGAAGTGGTGTTCACGGCCAACCCCGAGGAAGAAGTGCAGAGGCTGGCGCCGGTAATGGCCCCGAAGTCCTTGCGCGGGCCCTTAATGACATCCTGAACCATGAGCGAGGTGCGGGCGATAGTGACCGGGAGGGTCCTTCGAGCAGCAACCCAAGAAACACCACTTCCGATGCCCCGCCATCTTCCGAGCCCTCTAATCGACCTACGAGCCAGGAGTCACAGCAACCTACCGAACAGCCTGCTCGACGACGCGAAGTGTCCACCATTGAGGATTTGGATGCGGAACGCGAAAAGGTTCGCTCCAACATGATCGAGCGTTGCTTAGATGTTCTTAATGAGCACCACGATGTGTCGTTCGAGCTATCGGATTTGATCGCCTCCGCCACAAGGAAGCACCGTGATCCAGAGAGCTTTCGAAGGGAAGTTGGTGAAATTCTTGTCCAATCCCTAGTTTCTTTGCAAATGGAGAATTTCCAGACTGCTGGGAAGAAGATCGCCGCCTACGCTCACATCCTCGCCTTGGTCCTCCAAGACAAAGACATGTACAACGCTACACTGGAGGAGTTGAAGGATTGCTTCGGGACATTCCTTTCGTTTGTCAAGACTCCGAAACCAGAACCGAACGAGTCTTTCCCTTGGATCGGACATGTGTTGCTCATCCTCGAAAGATTACTATCTGACGACGCGCAGCCTCAGCAGATTCGTTGGACACCTCCTAGTCTGGATGACCCGAACCCGGATGGTAATGAGCAAGCACAACTGGAAGAACCACTCGTCTCGCACGACCAAAAGGCGCAGCTTTTCGAAGCGATTATTGAACTTCTGCCGAGAGTAGGGAAGGATGACGCATTGGCGCTTTCGGTGTGCCGAATTCTTGTGGTTCTCACGCGGCACCGTAGTATCGCTACCCGTTTGGGAGAGAAGCAAAACTTGCAGCGTCTATTTGTCATGGTCAAGCAGCTCTCTAGTGCTACGAACGCGAAGCTTCAAAGTGCATTCATGTTGATCTTGAGGCATATCATCGAAGACGAGGACACTATCAGGCAAATCATGAGGAGCGAGATTGTGGCTAATTTCGAAGCCAAATCTTCTCGTCATATCGATACGACTAGTTACGTTCGCCAAATGTACCACCTCGTGCTCAGATCACCTAACATATTCGTGGAAGTAACCAACGAGAAGCTGAAACTGATGCGATACGATTCGCATCAGCGCCCGCAGACACTCGCCTTGAAATCAGACCCCTCCTCAAAGTCCTCGTCTAACCAAGAAGGGGACAGCCAGAAGCCTTCTGCGGACGAGCCAGCGTCTGAGGACAAGGATAAGGACAAGGGCAAGGGTGCTGAGCTGAAGCCACCCGTCGTCGAGAACCCAGACGGAGTCATTCACTATTTGCTCTCGGAGCTTCTGTCCTACAAAGACGTCGACGACAAAGAGCCGCCGGCTGAGACTTCACAGCGGCCTGGACAAGATCAGCCTGCATCTCAAACTGACGTGGAAATGGCAACCGATGAACAATCCACTGCTGCCCCGGGGGCTGACGCTCAGGCGAACCGCGATTCCAAGAAGCCAGAGAAGCCGGCGTTCAAAGCGGATGAGCATCCAATTTACATTTACAGGTGCTTCCTTCTCCAGTGTCTGACGGAACTGCTTTCGTCGTACAACCGAACGAAGGTTGAATTCATCAACTTCTCTCGCAAGGCAGATCCTCTTGCAACAACACCGTCAAAGCCTCGCTCGGGTGTCCTCAACTACCTCCTGAACGCTCTCATTCCGATTGGAACCATGGAGCACGACGAATCTGTGGCTTTCAAGAAGCGAAACAACACGTCTGCATGGACATCGCGCGTGCTTGTTGCATTGTGCACCAAGACTGGCGAATTTGGTGGAACTCCAAAACGGCGCAGCGAGCAAAAGCTCAACGAGGAAGATGAACCGGAACTTGCTTTTGTCCGCAGATTCACCCTTGAGCACGCTTTGCGTTCCTACAAAGATGCGAATGCGTCGAACGAGCTTTTGGATTCCAAGTACTCGAAGTTGATGTCACTTGCTGACCTGTTCGATAAGATGCTCAGCGGGTATACATTTGTCTCGGGAGATTCGGCGTACCCAGCTTCGACAAGACACCTTGCGAAGACCATGTTCGAGAAGAATTTCATCAACGCCCTCACTGCTTCAATCGCCGACGTTGACCTCAACTTTCCTGCTTCCAAACGCGTTATTAAATACATCTTGCGGCCGCTTAACAAACTAACACAGACTGCTGTTATTTTGAGTGAGACCTCAGACATTTCTACACTCGGAGAGACTGAGGAAGACGAGATTTCCTCGGCAACCTCGGTTTCGGACATCGACGATGAGCGTGAAGAGACCCCTGATCTTTTCCGCCACTCCACCCTCGGCATGCTCGAGCCTCGTCATGAGGAAGAAACAAGTTCCGAGGAGTCTGGCGAGGAAGACGATGACGAGATGTACGATGACGAATATGACGAAGAAATGGACTACGACGAGGACATGCCCGAAGATGACGGTGAAGTGGTTAGCGATGAGGATGATGAAGAGGGCGTCGGACCCATTGAAGGCCTTCCTGGTGACACCGGTATGGACATCGAAGTTGTCCTTGATGATGAAGATGATGAAGATGACGAGGAAGATGATGAGGACGCTTCTGACATGGATGATGACGAAATTTTTGCAGGCGAAATCACCGGCGATCGGGACAACGAAAGTCTGGAAGAAGGTGAAGATGATGACGATGAATGGGAAAGCGAAGAAATTTCCGACAATGACGAAGAGGCCGAGATGATGGATCAGTTCGAAGATCAGTTGGCCGACATTCGACAGACGGACCCCCACGGTGAAGGTCAGCGATTCGACGATTTGTTCCGTGTCCTGAATGAAGCTGCCGGAGGAATGGATGAACTCCAAGATGATGGTCTTATGGGAGAGATGCATGATGATATTGTTGATGATATGCACGACGACGAAGGTAAGTATACTCATCCTTATTGCCCCTACTGATCTCTTGGAAGGGCAATTTAGAGAATTCGGATCGCTGACGTGAATCAAGATGATGAAGGAATCGATGATTTTGAGGAGGATCTTGGCGACGATGCCGATGACGACCAGGGGTCATACCAGGGTGTCGACGAAGGTAGGAAAATCTGCTTTGTTTGGAATATACTGGATAGCTAACCCGTGCTCCATTAGATGACGATATGCTTGACACTTGGGACATAGATGGCGATGACCTTCCAATGCCACATGGTGGACAACCTCCCCGATTTGGTGGCGGTCAACCAACGTTGGCTGCTGTTACCGGATTTATGCCTGGTCGTAACGGCGGACTTGTTCCCATTCAGCCTTATCGACTCCACCGAGCTCAGGCACCCGCGAGCACCAATAACGACGGAACCAACCCTCTGCTTGTTCGCAGCGATCGTGGCGCTGAGCAGGCCGCCCCGACCCATGCAGGTGCCGAGGCTTTCTCGGACTGGGTGCATGGCATGGAACCACCTCCTGCAGGGCGCATGCTCCAAATGGAAAGCCCTGTGAGCTTCATGAATGCCATTCTACAGGCTATTGGTGGACAAGGCGCACCTGGCTTCGGTGTCATTACTCGCCCCGAGGGTATCCAGCTACATGTTGATCAGCGGGCTCTGCCAAACCAAGTTCAGGACATCTTTGGTCTGGGTAGACCACAAGCTCCTCCGACTCGCCCAAGGGACGATCCATCTCAAGCAGTCAGCTTTGCTCTGGATACCACTAGGAACCGCTGGCAAGAGGAAGCCGGCATCCTTTTCAGCAACACGTATGTGGAGAAAACACAGCGCGTTATCAACTCTCTCCTCAAGATTCTCGTTCCTCCCGCCATTGAAGAAGAAAAGAAGCGACTGAAGCAATTGGAGGAAGAGCGCAAGCGACGCGAGGAAGAGAGGGCAGAAAAAGAGCGCCAAGAGCGTATTGCCAGAGAAGAGGAGGATAAAGAGCGAAAGCGACAAGAGGAAGAAGAGAATACCAAACGGCAGCAGGAAAGGGAGCAGCAAGAAGCCGAACGACAGGCCGCTGGAGAGGCTGTAGAGCCGATGGATGATGTTCAACGAACCGAACCCGCTGCAGAAGTTGTTGCTCCTGAGTCTGGTCCGGCTGAGCCCATTCAACGGGTTACTACAACAATCAGAGGCCGCGAACTTGACATTACGGGGATGGAAATTGATCCGGAGTACCTTGAGGCTCTGCCCGAAGACTTGAGGGAAGAAGTCATAATGCAGCAGGTCGCTGAGCAGCGCTCGCAGGCTGCCGCAGCGGGTGAAGAACCGAGCGAGATCAACCCCGAATTCTTGGAGGCGTTACCTGATGAAATTCGCGAGGAACTGCTGCAACAAGAAGTCGCAGACCGCCGTCGTCGGGAACGTGATAATGCACGTAGACAGGCCGCAGCTGGTGCTGTTGCTGGTGCTGGTGCTGGTGCTGGTGCTGGTGCTGGTGCTGGTGCTGGTGCTAGTGGTCCGTCTCATACCGAAGAGCACGAGACTCCTGCTGGGTTCCTGGCTACTTTGGACCCCATCTTGCGACAGTCCATTCTTGCGGACCAACCAGAAGAAGTCCTGGCGACTCTGGGTCCAGAATATGTCTCCGAAGCGCGTACTCTTCCTGCGAGACGGTTGGCTCAATTTGGCGATATTCCCCGACTTGATCGGCACAGGGATGAGCCTGAGGAGGAGGTAGAAGAACAAAAGAAGCCGCAGCGGCGACAGATCGTGCAAATGCTCGACAAGGCCGGTGTTGCAACCCTCCTCCGATTAATGTTCATGCCTTTGCAGGGCAACGCGCGCCATCAACTGAACGATATTCTCCACAATGTCTGCCAGAACCGCCAGAACCGGATGGAGGTCATCAGTCTCCTTTTATCTGTGCTGCAAGACGGTAGCGTGGATGTCTCGGCCATCGAACGTAGCTTTGCGCAGCTGTCACTTCGCGCCAAGGCTCCTGCAGCGCAGAAGACGCCTCAATCTATCAAGCGGAACCTGTTCTTCCAGACATCATCGAGCGTCAGCAGTGAGGTAACTCCGATTATGGTGGTGCAACAATGTCTGTCGGCCCTCTCTTTCCTGTCGCAGTACAACCCCCATATCGCGTGGTTCTTCCTCACCGAGCACGATCCTTCTACGCTGAAATTGAAGGCTCTTCGAAAGGGCAAGGGCAAGGAAAACCGTGCGAACAAGTTTGCTCTGAATGCTCTGCTTTCTCTTCTTGACCGGCAGTTGATTATGGACAGTCCAAACTGCATGGAACAGCTTTCGAGCCTTCTTAGCAGCATCACACACCCTCTCAACTTACTTCTACGCCGCGAGAAGGAGAAGCAGGAAGAGGAAAAGGAGAAGGAGAAGGGCAAGCAGCCTGAGCGGGCTCAAGAGCAACCTCAAGAGGAACAGCGCCCGGCAGAACAAGAACAAGCACAGCCTTCCGAAACAACTGAAGCTCCTAGTTCGGGTGCCGATGCGACTATGACAGATGCTCCCCTCCCTACCGTGGAGACCACCGAACCGGAAGGCACGGAGTCTGCGCAGACCGAAGAGGGCGGATCGGTAGAGGCCAACAAGCGGGACATGGCCAAGGAACCTTCGGGAGACGAGAAGCACAAGCGGAAAACCATCGAACCTCCTGTTATCCCTGATTACAACTTGCAACTGGTCGTCCATATCCTTGCTGCTCGTGAATGCAACGGGAAGACGTTCAGAGACACGCTCTCGACCATCAATAACCTGTCGGCCATTCCGGGAGCGCGCGATGTGATTGGAAACGAACTTCTCGGCCAGTCTCGGAAGCTGAGTACCACAATCTTAACCGACTTGGATGAGTTGTTGCCCCATATCCACCAGGCTCGGACTGGTACCGACATGCAAGGATTGGCACTGGCAAAATTCTCTCCAGCTAGCTCCGATCAGGCGAAGCTGTTGCGTGCTCTAACAGCGCTTGACTATCTGTTCGACCCTAACCGTATCGACAAGACCAAACAAAACGAGCCCGACTCTGCTGCCAAGGAAGATGTTCTCCAGAGCTTGTATGAGACCTCTACGTTTGGGCCTCTCTGGACTAAGCTGAGCGAATGCTTGACCGCTATCCGGAAGAAGGAGAATATGCTGAACGTGGCTACTATTCTCCTCCCATTGATCGAAGCTCTGATGGTCGTTTGCAAGAACACGACTCTGAAGGAGGCTTCTCGCAACAGCCGGGAACTGTCTGTGTCTAATACGTCTATCGATGCCAACATGGGTATGGAGAACCTGTTCTTCAAGTTCACCGAGGAACATCGCAAGATCCTCAACGAGTTGGTTCGCCAGAACCCCAAGCTCATGAGCGGTTCCTTCTCTTTGCTCGTCAAGAACCCCAAGGTTCTCGAGTTCGACAACAAGCGCAACTACTTCACCCGGCGAGTCCATTCCCGTGGTGCGGAGCCTCGTCAACCTCATCCACCCCTTCAACTCTCTGTGCGCAGAGATCAGGTGTTCTTGGACTCCTTCAAGTCTCTGTACTTCAAGACGGCAGATGAGTTGAAGTATGGCAAATTGAACGTGCGCTTTATTGGCGAGGAGGGTGTCGACGCAGGTGGCGTGACAAGAGAATGGTTCCAAGTTCTTGCGCGCGGCATGTTCAACCCCAACTACGCGCTGTTTATTCCGGTTGCTGCCGACAGCACAACCTTCCATCCTAATCGCCTGAGTGGAGTCAACTCGGAACATTTGATGTTCTTCAAGTTCATCGGGCGGATCATCGGTAAGGCTTTGTATGAAGGTCGCGTTCTCGATTGCCACTTCAGCCGAGCAGTGTACAAGTGCATTCTCGGTAGAAACGTGTCTATCAAGGACATGGAAACACTTGACCTCGATTATTACAAATCTCTCCTCTGGATGCTCGAGAACGATATCACCGACATTATCACGGAGACCTTCGCCGTGGAAACGGATGACTTTGGAGAGAAACAAGTGATCGACCTGATCGAGAACGGTCACAACATCCCTGTCACCCAAGAGAACAAGGAAGAATACGTGCAGCGTGTGGTTGATTACCGCCTGCTCAGATCCGTCAATGAGCAACTCGATAATTTCCTCAAAGGTATGTTCACTTTCTGTTATACGAAGTTAGTACAAGTGCTAATGGTCATATAGGCTTCCATGAAATTATTCCACCGGATCTTATTTCCATTTTCACTGAGCAGGAGCTCGAACTGTTGATTTCCGGTTTGCCCGAGATTGAGGTGGACGACTGGAAGGCCAACACTGAGTACCACAACTACTCGGCATCTTCGCCCCAGATCCAATGGTTCTGGCGTGCGGTGCGTTCCTTCGACAAGGAAGAGCGTGCCAAGCTGCTCCAGTTTGTCACTGGAACTAGTAAAGTGCCACTCAACGGCTTCAAGGAACTCGAGGGTATGAACGGAATCAACAGGTTCAATATCCATCGCGACTACGGTGACAAAGAGCGCCTTCCTAGCTCGCATACATGCTTCAACCGTAAGTTCCACTGAAAAATTCGCGGCTTAACAGATACTAACGAGATAATACAGAGCTTGATCTCCCAGAATACGAAAGCTATGAAACACTCAGGCAGCGCCTGTATACAGCAATGACGGCTGGCAGTGAATACTTTGGGTTTGCATAGACGAAAAGCGAAGGATGGATTTCTGGCTTACATGTTTTGTGTGCTTTACCGTCTTTGTTTCAATGCTCCAGCATATGGCGGCGTTTCACATTTACCAAACTAGTTTGTATGTACGATTTTGCGTGTTTAATGGGGAAGGAAAAATGGGGTGGAATTGAAGATAGGGCTCGTCGTCTTCCGGCCACTGGTTGAAGTGCAGGTCAATTGGTGCAGTCCGGGGGAATGTGATATAGTGTTTCTGTTTTCTTTTCTCTTTTCTGTATCTAGTTGATGTCTTAATGACCTGGCTTTTTACTTTTGATATGACCTGTCTGAATGTAATCATGTGACGACGCAAATGGTAGGTGGGTCATGTCACATGACCGGTACTGCACGAGGGGCTCTTTTTTTTTTCTGGGCCTCATTCGGAACTGGACCTTCACCTCCGCCGTCTATGGGGAACTCCCACTTGAACAACACCTGCTGTCTCTGATTAACTATCGCCTGTTCGCTTCTAGAAACCTGGCCTTCTGTCACTGCTCACGCTTGGCATAACCCCGGATCCGACTCAATTTCTCGTGCTCGAACTCCGCTTCCATCTCCGAAATTTTTCACTTCTTCCTCCACATCCAAGAACATACACATCATGTCAGCCAACTCGATCAAGCTCCTGACGGGTAACAGCCACCCAGAGCTTGCGAAGCTCGTTGCCGACAGGTATGGTTATTCTGGACGCTTTAGTTATGCTCGTGCGATCGTCGGACTAACGGCTATTTTCTTGAACTACAGGCTCGGCATTGAGTTGACCAAGATCATGGTCCTCCAGTACTCCAACCAAGAAACGAGTGTTACGATCGGTGAAAGTGTACGGGATGAGGATGGTACTGTCAACCTTATCCCTATTGTTCGCAGTGCGCTTTTGCGCTAACGTGCGGCCTCTTGCTGTTCTTCAGTTTTCATTCTCCAGTCCACAAAACCCAACGACATCAACGATGGTCTCATGGAGCTCCTTATCATGATCAACGCTTGCAAGACGGCCTCTGCCCGGCGCATCACGGCTGTCATCCCCAACTTCCCCTATGCGCGCCAGGATAAGAAGGACAAGAGCCGTGCTCCGATTACCGCCAAGCTGATGGCCAACATGCTCCAGACCGCTGGCTGCAACCATGTCATCACTATGGACCTTCACGCTAGTCAGATTCAGGGTTTCTTCAATGTGCCCGTTGACAACCTTTATGCTGAGCCTAGCATGCTGAAGTGGATCCGAGAGAATCTGGATGTGGAAAACTGCGTCATTGTGAGTCCTGACGCTGGTGGTGCTAAGCGGTAAGTGACTCATTTCTTGTATGTGGTGTTTTGCGTTTGACTAAACTGACGCTTTTGTCTTCTGCAGTGCCACCGCTATCGCCGACCGGTTGGATTCGCAATTCGCCCTGATCCACAAGGAGCGCCCTCGTCCCAACGAAGTTTCCCGAATGGTTCTTGTTGGTAACGTCAAGGACAAGGTTGCCATCATCGTCGACGATATGGCTGATACTTGCGGAACCCTCGTCAAGGCCGCCGACACCGTCATGCAGCACGGTGCTAAGGAAGTCAACGCCATTGTCGTCCACGGCATCCTCTCCGGTAACGCCATCGATAACATCAACAACAGCTGCCTCAGCCGTATCGTCGTTTCGAACACCGTTCCCCACGAGGAGAAGAAAGAAGTCTGCGACAAGATCGCAACGATCGATATCAGCCCTACGCTCGCCGAAGCTTGCCGCCGGACACACAACGGAGAGTCGGTTAGCTTCTTGTTTTCGCACGCGGTCTCTTAGATATATACTCTTAAGGGCGAAAGGAGTACGAATTAATGTGGTCATTTCTTTTTATTCGCGAATATATGGAGTGTCTAGTACTGCTTAGGAAAGACGCCTTGTTTACTTGTTTCTGTGTTTTTTTTCGGTATTTGCATGACTTGGTCTTTTCATTTTCTAGCTGTTATGGCAATTATTGGTCTCGGGTGTGTCTTTAAACCCCAATTGGATATCATGGTGAACGAGGTTTCAAAAAATGGGAAAAGAAATCAGGGCTGCATGCTCTTTTCACGGTTTGCATTTGTACATATACGCAAAATGGCTGGTGTTTTTTATTATTGAGTGATGTCTTTACCCCAGACACAGTACTTTAGCTGAGCAATTGATGGATTTTAACGGGTAATTTGTGGCAAATGTTTGTGGGGTTGCCCACAGATAAAATAGAAATTAATAAAGTGCGATAGCAATCGATAAAAAATGTCTAGGATCATGAAACACTCGTACTTGTACGAAATAGGTGGTTCAAGGAAAAAAAATAGATTGGCAGTTGGAACAAAAGAAAATAGACAAGCCGAAGTATAGAAAAAGAATAAGAAAAAATGAAACATCCCATTGCACTCCAAATTTTGATATCTTTATTTTATCTGCACTTCACATGGTCCCTGCAGATACACGCCTCCCCCAGAGCTCAATCAATAAAATGAAAATAGAAGATATCTTTCTCTTTCTTCATAAAAAGAACCTGAGTTTGATAGATTGTCAAAGGAACCCGCCCCCTTCGCAGTCTTCTTTTGTTGTCCCCTTTCAAGTCGCTGAAGAAAACTTTTTTATTTATTCATTCGGTTTCCTTAAGCCATGATAAGAGACAAGAGACGTAACCCGACCGACCATATTAAACCCCTGGAGAAAAACAACGCATTTACTTCCTCATCGAAGACGCCCGGCGCTTGCGGATCTCCTCACGCTTGGACTTCTCCTCGTGAACACGACCGGCAAGGAGCTTGGAGTACTCGTTACTGTAGACTTGTCAGTGATTCCCGTAATACGTAGACGGATGTAGGACAATATGTCGGGGGACTTACGCAGCCTCGCGAGAAGACTCCGCACGACGGCGCTTGAGGGCCATGCGGTGGCGCTTGTGCTGGAGACGCTGGGGAGTGACCAGACGCTGGATCTTGGGGGCCTTGGTGTATTCGGGCTTGCCCTCCTTGGTGACGGTACGGCGGATGACGAACTTGCGGACGTCGTCCTTCTTGTCGAGACCGAAGAAGCGGCGGATCTTGGTGGCACGCTTAGGACCGAGACGCTTGGGGACGACGGAGTCGGTCAGACCGGGAAGCTCACCCTCACCCTGCTTGACGATAGAGAGGGCCAGGACGGCAAGGTCGAAGTTGGTGATGGCACCACGGACGGACTTGCGCTTGCGCTCACCGGTGCGGCGGGGGCGGTAGCAGCTATTGACGAGCAACAATCAGCCTCTGTCGCATATTTTCCTTCTTTGTTCCTTCCAAATGATTTTTTGCCGGGTGTTGGGTTCGGAGTCGAATTTACCTGTGGCCATCGCTGAGGAGCAGGCGGGTACGGGTAGGAAGGAGAACTGTAGATTCGATGAGTTTTCGTTCGATGAGACGCTTTTCGTCGAGTTTTGTCGGTCGTTACATACCACCCTGCTTCATGGGGAAACCTAGAAGACGAATCACCGTTAGCCATCGATTCCTCAACATATCCTTTTCTTGCCAGATCGTATGTATATGGTCGTACCTTGCTTGTCGTTACCACCGGTGATCTTGAAGACGTAACCCTTGAATTCATCACCGAGGGAGTCGCCGGGAATCTAAACACATCGAAGAAATCCCAATCAGCCTTCCATTCCTCAAATCGTAGACGTCTGCAAATCCTCCACCCGGTCGTATCGAATCCTCTCGCTTCCTCCTCTTCCTCTACCCCTTTTTATATCCCTTCCACACCAAACGACAAAGGGCTGGCACTAACTTCGGTTCCCATGCGCTTCTCCATGAAGGGACGGAGCTTGCGCTCGTCATCGACCTCGATGATCTTCTGCGACCCATTGGCCGGGTAGGAGACGTTGAGCTTCATCTTGACTTGACGGAAGCTGCGCGGTCAAGACAGAGGCGCGGGTTACGGTTTTGTCGACAGGTCGGAGATGTTTTCTTCAAGTCGTCGGAGTTCTTGTCTCGCGCGGGTGGGATTTTTGGGGCTTGTTGGTGTAGCGAGATTTCCGCTGTGTGGGCGGCTTACTCAGACTGCGCTAGGCAGTTTTGGGGGTTAGTGCCGGGAGGTAGGGCTTCTTATGTAAGCCACTCCTACAGGTACAGAGTAAACAGGCACGAGGACAACAAGAAATGAATAGAATCAAGGATTTAAAGAAAATAATTAACGAGGACTACTATCCGAATTATGGTGGTAGGTTCTGCCATTCAGAGCCAGCGGGTCACATCGCGAACTTGGAACGTCTTATCCTGATAAGGACTCCGCGACATCAACTCCATACTACGGAGTCCACCATCGCAGACAGCCAAGTGCAGTTAGTCGGTTTTCGACTAGTGTTAGACTACTACGATAAACCTATTGCAGTTGGCAATTCTTTCAATCAGAGTCATCAATTGCTGAGCGATCCAACACCAAGTATTGGGTGATCTAGCAGAATAGTACTAACATCTGCAATGCGAACCGTCACATACACAGAATATATATCGGGCTGAATATCTTGGATATACAATAATACTACGAAACAAATAATACCTGGATCTACTGTATGTGGAAAATGAAGGCAACGTTTGCTGCGAAAAGATTGAAACAGAGGACAAGACCAGGGGAAAACGATGAGCAGCGAGAATCATCGAGGCCTACATCCCGTCAAGGAAGAAGTGACAACAGGCGGAGCATCGTACTCCAGTACAATCCACTGTCTACCAAGTGCGGAGTACTGTCATCCCAACTTTGGTAAGCTCCCGGGTCTGGACCACCAAATACCCCATTCGATAGATCTATTCATCAGCGCCAGCGCCAACTCAGATCTGCACTATGACGGCCACGAGATCACCGTTAATGCATTGGGCGTCAATAGTGACTTGCGAGGATGCCACGGATGGCCCCGAGTTCGATAACATCGTGGAGATGTCAAAAAGCGCTAGTGTGTATCTGTATCACGAAGCCCTCAACGATACAGATACAGATCGGTGTAGAAGACAGCAGATCTGAGCATGATTGCTGCCCTACAATAACAACAGAATAGCCGAGTCTGAGCCGAGCCAAAAGCATGGGCCCAAGCTCGCCCTGTTTTTTTGTCACATAGCTCCATGTGATTTCTTTGTTCTCCGAGAACGGGAGTTCCCAAAGCAATACTCTGCCGAGTAGACAAAGAAAAACACATGGTGGAGAGTGTTATGACCCTGGTATTTGCATTAGATTCGCATTTGGGGCCATCGCGTAACCGTCTCTACGGTATGTATGCATGCTTACTGAAAGAGCATGGCAAATATGGACGTTTGAGTAAGGTTGGTCTATTTTCTCTGTGTGACCATACGAATTGGTGTTATTGCAGTCATGCGTGACACGAGGACAGCTTTCTTTGAACTGTGGATGTTTACCTACATCAATCTACGAGCGTGTCTTTGTCTTTTGAGTGCCAAGAGGCGAACGTCGAGTCTCACGACAGGGCGGGATGTCATCCGTATCGTACCAGTCCCTCGGGTAATGAAAGACGAGATAATGAGAAGGTACTGAAAGAAGAAAATATGCTTGAAAGGGTAAGGACGGGCCGTGTCTGTTCTTTGCGAGACTGACCCTAGCTAGGTTCGCGACGTGATACATCACTAGGGTATTGTGGCTTGGTGTAAAAGGGTTACTTGGTCTGTATGGTGTATCAAGATCGGAACTAGTTAGTGACTTCAGCTTGAGCCACGATGTGTTAACGGGGCTGCCTCGAGCTTAGTCTTTGTTGAGTGGTGCTAGAGATTGGTTACAACACATTGGCGTGAGCTAAGGATTATTTGAAGCTGAAAGACTGGACGAAGATCCGCTGTCAAGAGGTCAGTTCTTTGAAGATAGCCGTAGTGGGCTTGGGACTAGTCCGACACAATCGTGAGACAACGGGGTGGAGCAATATACCGGGGTCCGATGCATTTCCCTAACATGGGCAAATTAGCACAGAATAGAGGAGGTAATAACACATTATGCGTCATAGTAGCCGGACGAAGACTGACATCTGAGAGACAGCAAACCACCATTCTGCGCGGCCTGAATGAGACTGTGTCATGCTAGTTCCCGATCGAGGTTGACTAACAAGTTTTGCACGGTCTGCCCAAGTTCCTCAGACAAGGAAAGGAACTCTGCAGATGAGACGTAAAGTCATTGAAGTCATTGTCGATTGACGTACGAGACAACCAGACAAGAAAAGGAGAAGACAGGGCAGCCGACACCCGACACGGATCAAACACTGGCAGTGTGAATGGACGGATGGAAATGTCGGATACTACGACGGGTCAGTGATTGTTGCAAGAGGCAGTCCTGGCCTGTGTTGACTTCATGAAACAATCAGTGCCGGACAAACTGAGCGAGACATTGACCAAATAAAACCAAACCAGATTCTGGGTTATTGGATCCCTCGTGGTATTCCATTGCACTGGAACCAGGGGAATGTCCAGTGCAACGTCTGCAGGATAAAGTTGTGGGGAGGGTAGTATTGTATTCTGCAGGCTAAAGTCGAGGTGATGCCACGAGTGTCTGCAACGGTACAAACGAGAGTCCCAAAGGAGGGAATTAATGTGGCAGTCAAAGAAATGCAGCTAATTAAGACTAAAAAAAGGAATAGTTCAATGCTAAAAAGAGCAAACGAAACAAAGAAATCCTCCCAAATGTCTCCGCCCGTGTTGCGATCGGCCGCCCCACGGAGCCAATCATATCGGGCTGGAACGTGCCGATGGACGATGATTGGGCGGGGGATCCCTGCAGATGGCCGCATGCGGGCCAACGAGACAAAGAAACGCTAAAAAAACAATGACACTTCTGTCACGCACAAGTACCAAGTATCTTCGTACTGCCAGTACTACAGTGACTTGTACAGTATGCTATGCTACCAGTACAAGTATGGATGAAGACGCTTCAGGAAAGACTATTAGATAATCACTGATCTATGGATCTTGGATCTTGAATATACCAGTGTCATGGTTACTCTGAATGACAAAAACTGACAGGATTCAATCACATCACAGATCAGAAAGAGGTCCCCGAGAACAAAGACCGTAAAACAACACCGCAAGTGATAGCGAGACCGCCGACAGACAAAGGACTTGAAGGAAAAAGAAATAAAGAAAGCCTCCAATCCGGCTGTGTTTCCCGTCGTATTCATTTCCTCCTTTTCTTTTCTTTTCTTTTTGTTATTATTATCCCTACCATATTTGCTTTTTCTTTACCCTCTGGAGATAGAAAGGAAAGCAAAGCAGGGCAAAAAAGAAAAAGAAAAAAAAAATAAAGCGAGATACATATCTGAAAGAAAGAATAAAGAACTATTCGGGTCTGGACGTTGTATGACCTTATAGCCGGGTTTGTCTCTTTTTTTTTCTTTCTTTCTTCTTCTTCTTCTCTCTCTCTTTCTCTTCCATATTTTCTCTTCTATTACTTTTCTTTCATCTATGTCATTGCCCTCGTCTTTCTTTCATCCTCCGTCGTCACCCCCAGTGCTCGTCTTTTGTTTAAATGTCTTACGATCGAGTGCTCCCCATGCCTGCTGCTCTACATCATGAGCCCGCCCAAGTTGTGCTTCCTCCTAGACAAACCAGTAGCCTCCTCGAGCACAAGATCATGAACGACGATTATTCCCACAATGTCGCTATTATGGACCGTTCTCATCATTCTCTTCCTCTTCCTCATCATCATTATTCCTCTCCTCCTCCCTCCCACGATGGATACGCCAATTCCTTGCCCCAGATTCATCTCTCCTCCATCAACCGCGCCAAAGTTGCCTACAACCACATGGCCTCCGGTGGTACTTTGGAGTCCTACAAGCCTGTCACCCCGTTACCATCGGCCAAGGAAATCCCCATTCGTGAACGCTCCTCTTTCTCAGATCGATCTGGCTCCTCCAGTCCGGGCAAGTCGTCGAGTTCCAGAGAGCTGCAGCCGCAGCAACAACAACAACAATCCGTGGCCCAGTTTTGTCTCTGTCAACCCGACCCCAAGATCCCCAGACCACGTAATGGTGAGTGATTGGTCTCGGAAAAGTTTCAGAACGAAAGACTGACAGCGATAACCCTAGCCTTCATTCTCTATCGCCAACACTATCAAGCTGCAGTGGTAGCTCAGAACCCCGGTCTGGCTAACCCGGATATCTCCAAGATCATTGGTGAGCAATGGAGGAAGCTTCCCCAGGAGACCAAGGATGAGTGGAAGGCTCTCGCAGAGGTATGGAGCTGAGTAACCCAATTACAGCCCTAACAAGCTCTAACAACGGATTAGGAGGAAAAAGCTCGCCACCAGCAGCAATATCCTGAATACCGGTATCAACCCCGTCGATATGGCCGTGATGGAAACCTTCGCAGTAACGTCACACAAACTCCTTCTGGCTCGACAGTATGCAATAAGTGTGGTGGTCGAATCATGAACCCGCCAGTCTCGCCAGACGCTCCGTTCACACCAAATGGATCTTCTGCTTCTAGTAATGGGACCTCGCACACCGACACCTTGCCTGTCCGTAGCTATCAGTGCCGTACCAAAGACACTGATCGGCCCCCAAATCCTATCCGATTTGGAAGCAATGGCGAACCCCGGCCATCCCGTTCGCGACAATGGGAAGAGAGTGGATCTCGATCGCCAGATTCGAAGCGTCGCCGGTTCAATCCCTATTCCTTCAAGACAAACCTTCCCCGTGAAAAGACTCCGGACTCGCCATATCCGGTGTCTCCGTATGCTTCACACTCGGACTCACGAGGCGCCACCAGCAACAGCATGCTTCACATGTTGCATCCTCCACGGCCGCATCCCAATATGAAAACTCATCAGCCTCCACATGATCCTAGTTTGAAGCTACCGCCATTGCAAACGACTGCTTCGGCACCCGGGATCATGACCCCAACCACGCCCTTTTCCCAGAACGGATCGAGTTTGGAAAGCACAGTCATGACCATCCCGTTCCTGAACAAGATCAAAGTTCTCGCCAAAATCTCGCCTCCGCTGGCTCCCACTCTCAGGGATGCTTCTCAACAGCAACCACGGGGTCCAGTTATTGCTGTCGACGGACAAGACCCGGCGTTGGTGAAGGCCACGGTCGAGTACCTGGAAAGTGCTTTGCAGAAGGAAGGGAGATACAGTGTCCGAACGTTCGACGGGCCAGAGGTCCGCCCCCGCGATGCGTCTTCAGAATCAGGGCAAATGAAGGATGCCACGGTGGATTACCTCGACACCATTTCCGCATGGCACCGAATCTCAGACGAGATTATCAACTTCGTCCGGCCGTCCGCCGGGTCTCCCATGATGAAGCCAACCGACGAAGAGGTCCAGTCTGGCGTCTCGCCAAAGACCATCCTCTCCGAAGCAGCGAACCTGCAAATCGGGTCACCCAAGGGCAGTGACAATGGATCCGCTGCGACACCATCGCCATCGACGACAAGCTCTAGCGCAAGTCCCATTGCTCTGGTGCCTCGATACCAACTCACCACCGCCGACGCATTTGCCTGCTCCGTTCCCATCCACGACTCGTACGCGCCGCTTGACCATTGGCAATGGATGGCTTCCCTCTGGCGTGCATGTGTGGGTCCCGACATCACGGTTTACATCCGGGAATGCGAGAAGGATGAACTGGACCGACTTGGAGGCAATCTTGTCGAGGTGCGTCTTCATGATGCGCGAACTGTTGTCGTGCGAAAAACGACAGGCACTCCGAAAGGACTTGAGGAGAAAGTTCTCAGACGGGTAGGGTTCGAGATTGAGGATTTTTTGACACAGTAATTGGTTGCTTGGTTGGAGTTTTCGGTTTTTTTATTTTTCTCACTTGCATCCCTGGATGATCTTTATGAAATGGCGTTTTGGTTTACTCCGCACAATCGTTGGCCGGTTTTCTTGTTTGTTTTACATCTGGTGTTCGGTGGTGTATATATTTGGGCGTTGGACGTTCGAGTTACCGTTCCTACCATCCGCGTTTTGGCTAGAGACGCCTTTTTTCTACAATTTCCTCTCCTTCACTCTACTTGCAGCCAAAGCAGTGGCTTTCTCAAGTAAACCTCTAATGATAATATCCTCAACCATTCACATCTACTCCATCCACTAATATAACCCGATATGGTAAGAGCGGGGCGGTCAGTACCAGAGCCAATGAAACGCCACCATTTCGGAGGTCTCTTCTTATCGCCCTTTCCCCATGCAGTTCTTCTGATTCACTCGCGACAGGCTGGACGAGGCTTCAAAATGGAATCGCCGTGTTAATTAGAAGTACTTTTTTTTTTTTTTTTCATATATATATATATATATATATATATACGAATTTTACTTTCTCAACTCGCTCTTTCTCATGCCGACGTTATCAAAGTCCTTCCTAATTCACGCATGGAGCCCAGCGGCATGGCTCACCTCGATTTCCCCAACTCTGCCTCTCCAGAGAGGATGTTCGCAGACCAGCCAACAGCCCTCATACCTCTTGATGGTGATTCGAATGTATGGAATAATGGGCTCGATTTGTTCGACAGAGCGTCTGCTTGTCAGGTTCGTGGCCTCGCGTGACTGTTAACTAACCGGCCCATGACTTATTCTTGGTTCAGGAACAGGTACAGGATACGAACTCCGGCGAACATGTGCCTGATTCGGTCAATGAAGATACCTCAATGCGTCACTCGTGCGGAACCTGTCATGTCCTCGAGTCCTCGAATACCGCGACTACGTCTACGCCTTCGCCTTCGCATTCGCATTCGAATGCGATGTCTACCGCTGCGCAAGATGGCAAACAAGGAGATGGATCGTCTGGGCTGGATCTGGAGTCATATATCCCCGTTGGCGTGCTGAGGAAACGGAATGCAACGGATACCGCGAGCACGGAAGAGACACCAGAAGATGGATTCCCCTCGTCGGCGATCTCGAACCTGGAGAAACACAATTGGATCCGAACACGAACCTTCCCCTACGAAAACCATCCGCAATGGAGCTACGTGCGCATATATGTTCTGCCAGATGATGTGGGCCGCAAGTTTATTCCACGCTCGAGCACGGCATTACGGCGCGCGCTCAAAGCCGTCATGGCGAGGGTGGATCGATCGCGTGAAGCATGGGAGGCAAATTTTCCCGAGGATCAGAATGAGATTGTTACCAATGCGAAACGGGATGGTGAAGAGGATGAATCGATGTGGTATATTTTCAATACATTGCAGGATCCTGCACCCCAGGTGGAGACGATGCAGGACCCGTATGCAAGGCAGGCGATGGAAGAGCTGTTTTCAGCGGCTACTGGCGCTAGTGAGGATGACTCGGGGGTTGTTGGTCTCAAGACTGCGCTGTATCCTTATCAACGGCGCTCAGCGGCAATGATGGTTCAGCGTGAAACACAGCCAGCAAGGATGCTTGATCCTCGTCTACAGGCGTGCAAGAATCCGCTTGATCATGAGTACTACTATGATAAGGAGGAGGGGAGTATTGTCCGTGAGAAGAAGATGTATTCGGAAACTTGTGGGGGTATTCTAGCAGAGACCATGGGTTGCGGCAAGACCTTAATCTGCCTCGCGGTAATATTGGCGACACAGGGGCATTTCCCTCGCATTCCGCTGCAGTACTATCAGCAGATTGAGAATCCTGTCCGTGAGAAGACTGCCAGTCTCGTCGAAATGGCGGCTGCGGCTGCGGGACGGTACTCTTTGCCGTGGAAAAGGTACTTTGATGCTTTGAAAAGCGACGGCTTATTTTACGATCGGTGTGCCGAAACATGCGAGACAAATCGTGGCAATTATACCATTCCATCAGCAGCAACAAGGCAGAAAGGCCGGAACGGTATTCCATATCCGAGATCACCGCCGCAGAAAATTCGCCTTTGCTCAGGGACGTTGATCGTCGTGCCACCTAACCTGGTCGATCACTGGGAAAGTGAAATAGCTAAACACACGGAAGGATTGAAGGTGCGCGCCCTGAGAAACAGCTCCGACGAGACACCATCAGTGGGCGAGCTATTGCAGTATGATATCGTCCTCTTCTCGAGGATCCGCCTTGAGAAAGAAGCTGGTGAACTGGTGCCCAATCGCCGTGTTTCAGTGAAGTCAGAAGATTCTCCATTGACCAAGGTTCATTGGCTGCGCATAATTGTCGATGAAGGTCACAATGTTGCTGGACATGGCCAACGGACGAACATGGTGCACCTGTTAGATCAGCTTCAAGTCGAGCGCCGGTGGATCGTGTCAGGAACGCCGTCTAGTGGATTGTATGGAGTCGAAGTCAGCTTAGCTTCGCGAGAGACGTATAGTAGCGAGAGTGATCTTTCCAACGCTACGAATACTGCACTTCGAGGTCGTAAGAAGACCGGGTCAGCGCTTGACAATGAACTCAAGGACATGGACAAGTTGCGCCACATTGTGGTGGAATTTCTGGATCTGAAGCCATGGTCGAATTCCCGGGCGGATGACCCTGCAAATTGGACCAAGTATATGAAACCGGTCGGTGAGGATGGTAAACGTCGAAAAGCTCCGTCGCTGCGAGCAACATTACAGAGTCTCGTTGTACGGCATCGCATGGATACCATCCACGGTGAGACCCCTCTTCCGCCGCTATCTAATAAGGCGGTCCATCTCGAACCGACATTCTACGATCAGTTGAGTCTGAACCTGTTCATCGCCATCCTGGGCGTCAACGCGATCACCTCAGAGCGGTCTGATCAGGACTACATGTTTCATCCGCGTAACCGGAAGCATCTCAGTCTCACTATCAGCAACCTCCGGCAAGCTGGATTCTGGTGGGCTGGGTTTGACGAAAAGGATATCTCCGGGACGATGGACGTTGCAATACAATATTTGCAGAAGAATAGAGAACGAATGCCAGAGGATGATGTCGCCATGATGGCCGAAGGTATTCGTATTGCACAGATTGCCATTTGCTGCGCAAGCCGGAGCGCGTTTCGACAATATCACGAGCTCGGTGTCTTTGTACGGGATTTCCCCGCGCATGCGCGCAGTCTTTGGGCTCTTGACCCGTCAACGGCGGATATTGAACCACTCTTGCTGGGAATCTCGCAGGCACGTCAGGCTCAGCAGTTTATCGCGTCCCGTTTGAGCGCAGAGGATCCGACTGAAGGTCTCGCTGGTGTGGGTATCAAGGCACGTCGCGAACTTGCTGAGCGGCAGAGTGACTCTGTGCCCATGCCCACGAAGACGAGCACACCTGTAACTTCGCCAAAAAAGAGCAGCACGCCGGATAAAAGTGCCAAGACGAGTTCGCCGAAGAAATCGTTTTCCAAGGGCCTTTTCAAGTCCTTGCCAAAGGAATCGCCGCTTTTCCAGACGAAACTTGTCGCAACTGCATCTGCCAAGTTGACGTATCTTCTTGATCGGGTTTTGGAGCTCCAGGAAAAGGAGAAGATCATCATTTTCTACGACAATAACAACATTGCGTTTTGGATAGCCGAAGGTCTGGAAATGATAGGCGTTGATTTCCGTATCTACGCCAACACGCTCAAGCCTGCCCTCCGCACCTCATACCTAGCCCTATTCCGCGAAAACGAAGAAGTCCGCGTCCTCCTAATGGACCTCCGCCAGGCATCTCACGGCCTCCACCTCGCCAACGCATCGCGCGTCTTCATCGTAAACCCAATCTGGCAACCCAATGTGGAGAGTCAAGCAATCAAGCGTGCACACCGTATCGGACAAACCAGACCTGTATACGTCGAGACGCTCGTTTTGAAAGATACACTAGAAGACAAGATGCTTCGACGACGGAAGGAGATGTCTGATTCGGAGACCCAGCATGCGGAGAAGGATCTGTTGGATGACAACACCATGAGTACAATTATTCAGAATGAGAAGTTCCTTCCGATGTTTGAGAATGATAATGGGGATCCGAATCCATTTGCGCGGTTGGCGTTTCTGAGGAATCCGGTTGGATTTTTTGATCGTCATAAACTGCCGGTGCCGGATAGTTTTGATTCTGGGGAAGGGCAAGGGCAACAGATAGGTGAAGGGTCGCCGTTTAAGACACCACTACCATTGCCGTCCAAGACGTCTGGGAGACGGAAACGCAAGACGTTGAGGTTCGACACGGATAGTGCGAATGCAAACCCGAAAGACAGAGAACAAAACGAGCCGGATCTCCTCACGCCCAACATCAAACGACGAAAGAACTCAGCTGCAGCAACAAAGGAAGCGGCGGGATACGTGAATGGGAATGGACTTGTGATGACGCCTTCGCGGATACCTCCACGTCGACCTCGCAATAGCATTAGTGGAAGTGCAACGCCTATTTCTACGCCTCCTCCTCCTCCTACCACAACCACCACCAGTACTACTACACCTTTTTCTCCTTCTTTTCCTCTTCTTCCGGGCCAGGATGTACAGACGACGAATGTATCGGATCCAGGGCGTCTGGGATAGGTGCTTTGGGGATGTGATTTCATAATTGCATTCTATGTTTGATTTGTTGAGATATCCATGGGCTTATTCAGTATATGTATTTAGGTATTATCTATGAAAGAATAACAAAAACATTATAGTGGTTTGTTCCGAAAAAGGAAAGCGCCCACCTGCTCATGCTGTCCCAGATGACATCATTTGAAGTGAGAATTGCAGGATCTCTTATTGGCCAGGTGGTCTTGGCACTGTTCTGTTTTAGTGGACTTACGTAGTCTTCCGGAACGCATCGCAGAGATGTGATACAAAGCAGTAAGACTAGCTCCATTCTTAATTGATGCTAATTCCAATCCTTATAGTAGATACTCACATCAGTACACTAGTACATACTCTGCATCGCTGTACTATGACAATTTTCCAATCTCCAGCTCCACCGTCGATTACCCCACCAAGATAATCGTTTTTAGCCTTGTTATCCAACGTCACCTCTCTTCCGCTACAATCCCACCATATCCAATGATACATATACACAGTATTTCATAGATTACAAACATACACAGGGACAATGACCTCCCAAGCCCTCGTAATCGGTATCTCGGGCCCCTCCTCCAGCGGCAAGACAACTCTCGCCCGCCTCCTGCAACGGGTCTTCTCTCCAGCACTCTCCAAAACATTCATCATCCACGAGGATGACTTTTATGTTCCTGATAATCAGTAAGCCCCCCTCCCCTTCTCATAAAAACCAGAAAATATTAACAGAAACAGAATCCCATACACAACAACCCCATCCGGCAAAACGCTCCAAGACTGGGACTGCGTCGAAGCACTCGACATAACCCGTCTCAGTCGCGCCCTCTCATACATCCACAGCACAGGCTCGCTCCCTGATAAACTAAAGAGTATCCAGGATCTTAACGAGGATGCTGACTCGGGCGTTAGTCTTGAGACTGTTGAGCGGTTGAGGAGGTTTGTTGAGGGGCGGTTGGCGTCTTCTACTCCTTCTACTGTTGGTAAGGGGAGTGATGATAGGAGAGAGCGGACGTTGGCATTTTTGGAAGGGATTCTTCTGTACGCTCCTAAGGCTGATAAGGGGCATGTTCTGCGTCCTGTGAATGATAATATTGATGTACGGTTGTTCCTACCCACTGCGTATGAAGATGTTAAGGTGAGGAGGGAGGCGAGGTCGGGGTATGTGACGTCTGGGCCTGCGCAGGAGCTGCCGTTGCCGCAGAGGAATTCAGCGTCGGATGGGAGTGGGGAAGGAGAGGAGGGTCAGCAGACCTTTTGGGAGGATCCGCCGGGGTATGTGGATAATATTGTCTGGCCGCATTATGTGCGGGATCATGCGTGGTTGTTGGTACCGGAGGGCGAGCAGGATGTGAATTCTGCGGAGTTGGTTAGGAAGGCTGGGAGTGGGACGAACGTGAGGACGGATGTTGGGATTGCTGTTGCTCCGGGACAGGGGAGCAGACCCATGACTGAGATTTTGACTTGGGCTGTGGAGGAAGTGTTGAAGTGTTGGGAACGTGTACAGTAGTCTTTCGTCAGTCGAACTAAATCTAGATCCTAATAGTACTAACCACTATGCATACAATGTGTGCCAGGTATATCAGTAATCCTACGACACCTCATCTCTCGACTGGGATGTAGGTCCCTTCCATCCAAGCAGGTAGTCGACTCTGTCTCTCAAGGAAGTTTTAGTTGCAGAGGGACTTGGTTTGACACCGGACTCTGGTTGATCGGGCTCATCTGCTGGCTTGACATCTGAATCCCCAACCACTGATGACGTCTTTAATTCTACCTTCCCTCCTTCAATGGATGTCTCATACTCCGAGCTGCTATGATCGATGCCTACCATCCTGATAGTATCCGGGCTACCCTCATGAGAATGATTATTGTCGGTATAGTTTGCGAGATGATACCCTTCGTTGGTGGTGGTGAGATTAAGCTCGACATCCCTTTCAACAAGTAGACCAACATCTTCGTGCGTGGCATTCCCAATCGACTCCATACTCGGGGACCAGCTCAGGGGATCTAAAACGCGGATGATAAGCGTACCAATCATGGCAACAATAACCATAACAGTCCATAGCAAAAATAACGACGATGTGAACGTCATTAATAGTCTTGATGAACCGTTTTTACCCGGGATCTTATCAGCCTTTTGGTCCTGCGATGCATCGTCATTCCCAAACGCATAATGCACGGAAACTTCAGGACAGTCAGAGTCTTCCACAGTCGTATAATCTTCCTCAGCTTCCACGAATTCATAGCAGTCAGCTGCACCGAGGGCATTGATAAATTTCTTTCGAAGAGTTTGCCTCTCCTGTCCGTTAACACCAGGTGATCCGGGATAGATCCGTGGAAGCCACTTTGTTTCCAGTCGACTGAGGTCTTTGACATCCCAGGTTATGCAAAACATCTCCAGGATTGTTGGAGGGCAAGTAATTTGGACGTGGGCTGCGCCTATAGGTTTTTCCCATGATTCCAGGTAGATGATTGGGAATTTCGTGCAGGGTTGATCAAGCTCGTATTGGTAGAATCCCTCAGGACCCCCCTCAATGTCGAGGAAGAAGCAGCATTTATCGGCCCAGATACGGCGGTTAGGCAGTTTTAGCTCGCATACAGCATTGTAGGCAACGCCCACTTTGTTGCCATCCAATACATCGTGGTCAGCTATGAATTCATAGTCCACAGTGAAGTCCTTGACGATTCCGTAAGATCTCAAATCACAAACACGCAGCGGAATGATGAGGTCCCCTGAAATAGCGAACTCGGCGAAGAAACAATTCTCCACAAACCTGTTCCTGCGAAAGTTCGTGGTACGAAATTCCATGCCACAGCCGTCTGGTATCAAAAAGATCAAAAAGCCACTCTCGCCATTCCTCACTCTAGGAAGTCCGGGTATAACCAAGTCATGCCAACCTTTTAGCTTTCCCTTTTGTAAGTGGACTGAAACGGTTATCGTTATTTTGTACGTTGCGAAGTTGGCTTGCGGAGGATTGCTGACAAGGAGGATCCCATCCTTCAAGTCAAGCTCCGGTTCACTTGACACATGTTGGAAGGGTTCGCTTTCAGGATAAGCGACGTCTGCGCTAGAAGGCATCGATGGGCTTTTTGTGTCTTCAATCACCGGAGTTGTAGTCGGCGGGATAATAAGTCTCGTAGGTCTCACTGGCGTTGGCGAGCCAGGATCATCGTCTTCATCATCCTTGGTCGGTGTCCCTCCAGCCCCAAGGAGCAAGTTATCGCTCGCGGTTTTAGGCGCCCCTAGCACTGCTTTAACACCCTTTTCCGTCTTAGCGTGGTTTTTCACCGAGCCATCGTGTGCAACCGTTTCCGTAAGCGAGGTTGGAGTGAGTGGTATGACAGGATTCGAAGGTTTCACTGGGGTTGGCGAACCAAGCTCATGGTCATCTTCTTCGGACTCTGACGGTGTGTCCTCGTCAGTATCTGAAGAAATGAGTAGTTCATCGCTCGCGATTTTGGATTGAGTGTCCAATTCCTCGACGATCAATTGTGCGTCAACGTCGCCTGTGGCCACAGCTTCTGGAACCAACGTATCAGGAGTTGACTTATCGATCGAGTCTGTACTCTCTTCTTTCTCTTGAGAAGCATCTTCAGCCTCTGTCTCCTCCTGGTGAGAATTGTCCACTTCCGAGTGTTGTTGCTGCTCAGGCAGAAGTTCACCCGTGGTTCTGATTTCGGGAATGAGGCTCAATCGATTCGAGTGTCTTCCTGGGTTCCCCTCGATGCTGTCGCTGATATGACGTGTCTGTGATCTTATTTCCCCTGCAAGCACCGCAAGATCGATGCAAACGCTGCTACTACTATTTGTCGACACACCCATGCGGGGCTTTCTTTTCTCGTCGTCCTGCTCATTGTCCGACAGGCACGCATCCGAAGCAGTCCTCTTCCCCAGGCTTTGCGAGACTGTGGACTCTTCATAGGGAAACTCCGGTAGATAGTCTGAGAGAGGTGACAACTGAAATAAGGACAATGCCCCGGAATCCTGGCAATCTTGCTGCTCAGCCTTGCCGTCCTGCTCCCCTTCTGCCGTGTGCTCCCCCGACTCTCCCACGTCTTCCGGGTACAACATCAAACCCAACTCGGACAACCCCATCCCAGAAGCTGAGCCATCAGTAATAGATATATTTGGAGCAGATACTGAAACAGGAGACTCATCAAGGTCATCCAACGGTTCTGTTCCTGGCTCTGGCTCCGGCTCCAGCAACCCCAACCCCAACCCCAACAACTCATCCTCCTCAGGTATAACCGACAAACCCGACGGTCCATTCTCTTCCCAGCATTCATCGTAAACAGAGCCCTGGTTACCGTCATCATCATCAGAAACTGGAGCAGAGAACGCGAACAACGGACTTCGAGGAGGGCTTGTCAACTGTTCATTCGTGTTCTCATCGGAGATACAGCGAACGGACGTCCTGACGAAAGATATATACGACGGTCGGAGGCTTAGGATGGGAAGCTGCGTGTTCGGGGTGCATTTGACCTGTATGGGCGAGTGAAGTGGTTAGTAGATGGCTAACCAGCAACGACGAGGAAAAGGAAGGTACTTCGAGCGAGATTTGGAGATCCGCAGGCTCATCAACTTTGCCGTTCCATGTGCTTCGAATCTCTAGGTTGTTGAAGTCAGGTGTTCCTCGATGGAAGAGGTCGTCCGCGTGCTTGGTCTTCAGTCGGTGATTCTCCATCTTTCTGGACTTCTTACTCAATCTGGCATGAGCTCTGGGGATATAATTAAAAGACTTGTACATGAGAGAACAAAGACGGCGATGGAATGGAAGGAGAGAAGTCGTAAGGTCGAAGAGTGTTGATGAACAGAACAAACCAAGGATGGGTAGTGAATGACAACAGGAAGGAGCACCGGGCAGCCGCCTTATAGGGCATGTACGTAGTCGATTTCATTTGGGCTCATCAAGACTTTTTGATTTCTTTTTTATTAGTCTAATCGATACAATCATGAAGAAACAGTCGCAGCAATTCATCAAATCAAATCCTCTGCAAACAGACAGGTTTCATGCCATTCCTCTCACCAGCGCCATGTCACTGTCTAGAAAGAAGCCAAATAATATATACAACAACGGCAGAAAAAGAACCCCCCCTCCTCCCCCCCCCCCCCCCCAAAAAAAAAAAACGAAACAATCCACCGAAACTTATCATGTTTTCTCAGAATTTCCCCAGGCGCCTAGTATAACCTCCCAGAACCACCCGATTTTATTCCCATAAACGACAAGCAATAGTAGTAAGAATAACCACAAAACACCCGTCCCGACAGTCTATCCAGAAACACAGGGATATAAAGATAATCACTTCATAATACATCATAATCTCCAGAGAGTAAAATAAAAAAGGTGTAAGTCAGAAAAAGGGGATGTAACGAGTGAAGAGAACGGAAAAAGTTTTTTTTTTTTTTTTTTTTTTTTTTTTTTAAAAAAAAAAAAAAAAGAAGCATAGCAAAAAGAACGATCCCTATGCCACTGGCCGCATTCTCATCTGGGCGTCCCATTGGATGAACCAGGAGGTTCAAAGCCTGTCGCACCCGGCGCAGCACTATACCGTTCTTCATTTGTAGCAATAGGCTGTTGTGAGGGAAGAATAGGGGTGGTTCCATGGGACGGTTGCTCGAAATACCCTCGTGTGGTCCCACCGTTCGTGGTTTGAGGAAGGCGGCTCAATGGAGGTAAGGTGTTTGGCTGATACTGTGGTCGAGCGTAACTCTGAGGCATTATTGCTGCTGTGGGATCTGCGGTCTGATCAAGGGTTAGCTGTCTTCGATCTCTAAGAGCTCATTAGATATTTGTAGTAAGTCCATACAGGTGTGCCTGGCTGCATTCCCAAAGATTGCATAGTAGCTTGTTGGCTAGACCGGTCCGGCAACGTGGGAACTTGTGCAGACGGGAGACCATATGCGTCGGTACAAGCAGGGTAAGAAGGTTGCACATATCTGGAGCCCGGTCTCACTCCCAGCATAGATTCTTCTGGAGAGCCGTATGGTGACGGAGTTATAGCAGCAGGCCCCCCTTGACGAAAATCTGTTACCCCTGGGTTGTAGCCCTGTAAAATCGGCGTTTGATATGCTCCCGGCTGATTCGGGTACATGGTTGCAGTCTGCGGATACGTGCCGTAGTCAATCGACGAAGTACGCTGACGCTTGGCCGGTCCCGGCTGCATGTACGAGTAATCTCGACTTGGATAACCGGCAAAAGCAGTCCCTGGTATCGACATCGACGAGCGATCAGGCGAGCGAGGAGGGAGAGGCTGGGGATACTCCTCAGGTCGTGGAACTGGCCGTTTCCTGGTTACGCAATCAGCGCTGGCTTTTCTTACACATCGTCCTTCCCGGCTTTCACTTACATGAGCGCTCGGGGTTCTTTGCGTATTCTTAACTTCACACCCTGGTCCGCGAAAGACCTAGACAAGAATGTCGACTCTCCCATACCCGGGAAGCTCTTGGGTGGTGATACTGTCAATCGTCAGTACCTTGGGACTGCTTTGTTCCCAGGATCATTATTATCTTACCAGTAAAACGGTCAGAAACGATGTACTTCAAGCAGGCCACGTTTTCCCTGGTGCAAATCCATGTCAGCACTTGTCTTCCCTTACTTCTACTTCAACTAGGACTTCACACTCACTTCCGCATTTCGAACAAAGTGAATTTGAGACGGAAATCTCCCTCGAGCTTGACAGACAAGTCCCCAAACACGAAAAATCCTCCATCTAGAGCAGCAACCAAGTCAGCTTTCCAGACCCACCGGCAAAAACAGGTCACGCGAGCTCTTACCATTATTGTCCACGTCCTTTAAGCGATGAAGAGAGGAGACCAAGGTTCCTGCTAATGCAGTCGACGGCGGAACTGGGACTGCTTGATCTTCCGTTGCATCCCACAAGCTGCAGCACATGAAATAATAGGGACTTTGCAGGTAGTGCCTAGCCCTCCTAGTCAGTATGAACAAGGCCCTATGAACAAACGCGACAAGATTGGAGATCACATACTGTGCAAGGTAAGTGCCCTCCTCTCTCACGCGAAGTTGGACAATCGGTGGAGGATCGACGGGCTTCCGCTCTGCAGAGCTTGTGTCAATATTTTGCCCTAGGAAGAAAGAGAAGTGAAAGCGACGCACCTTTCTCTTTCCCACCAGCCACGCGCGCCCGTTCGGGCTGCTGGCGAATGGTCAATTCAAAGTCAGAGCTAGTATTGTTCAACATGGTTAGTGCGAAGCCCTGTATAAACTTCGTAAGAGTTGATGCCATTCCGATTGGGAAGAGCGAGGAATATAACTAACCTTTGGGATTCACGAGTAAGAGTGGCGTCCGAAAAGGCCGGCGCACTCATCAAGTCGAACTTTTGTCGCACACAAAAGAACAAGAGTAAGAAGGCAACCTAAAAGACTGGGGATGGGCAGACAAGGAGCCAAAGGGACCGAGGCCAGGATATCCGCAGAAAGACGAAGCGCCACGAACCACGTATGGAAGAGACAGGGTACAGAAAAGACTTGAACCTGTGGCTTTCCAGATGCGAAAATGAGGCTGATGAAACAGAAAGGGGCCTGAACCTTGAATAGGATGCTTGTGGTTCGACAAGAAGCACCTTAAAATAGTGAAGAAAAAATGGATATACGGTAGTGGAGATCAGAGTAAAGGAAGTTGATGAATGAGGAATGGGAGTCAGAGCTGGTTAAAGATGAGCAGAGCAGTATGATTAGTAGTCGGAGCTCAGCCAGAAACTCTCAACCATGGGTGGAGTATGAGTGGGAATCAATCAGCGTCTGTCAGGACTGTGGACTCACGCCTGTCTGACCGAACTGACTCCGTCTGCTCCGGGGCTTGGACCAGTGATTGAACCAACAATGACGATAAATGACGCTGATGACGATACTGCAGTACCTGATAGTCGCAGTGGTAGTAGTAGTAGTAGTAGAAGAAGTAAGTAACAGTAACGGTATAGTTAAAGTCGTAGTCGTAGTGCAGTCGTAACTGAAAACGGAGCAGTAGTAGTGGTGGTGGTGGTGATGGTGGTGGAAAAAAGAACCTGGTGTCGTCAGAATGCAAGCGGCAAGAAGTACCAACACCTGCCGGTCACGGTTCCAGACTAACCTTAAGCCAGAAAGGTGGACGGAATGAGAGAAAGAGGAAGGAAGAAATGAGTGTATGTAAAAGAATCGAGTCCCGACCGTAGCCTTTTTTTCTTTTTCTTTTTCTTTTCTTTTTTTTTTTATTACCTCGAATGGTAGTGGTGCTTTAATGCCACAGTTGCAACGGATCTCGTTTAGATGCTCCGAGATGGAGTAAAAAAAAAAAAAAAAAAAGAGACTGAGGCAAATAAAATAAAAGCAAAAATAAAAAATAAATATTTAAAAAAGAAAAAGGAAAGACGAATCACAATAAGGCAAAGCTTCTTTTTCGAGGCAAATGTTAAAAAAAGAAAGAGGAAGTGAACAATAGCAGCTGAAAGATGGATCCTCTCCAAAGATCGCCTCCGAACTAATCCTTCTGACGCATACAGGGCACAAAAAAAGGGTTTAGTAGTGGGCAAGAAGATGAAAAAAAAAATAGAAAATAGAAAAAATTCTACTGGAAATCACCGCAATAGCAAATAACCAGCAGCTGAGCCCAGATAAATCAAAAGGTGGAGCTATTCCAGAAAAGACCAGGGAAGGGAAAAAAAAAAAAAAAAAAAAAAAAGAGTGCGTCGGCCACTTTTCGGCCGTCAGATGAGAAGTCAGGCTAAAGCGTGTATATCAGTCTAGACGATCCGACAGGAACCGCAGCGACATTGAAGCTGATATGCACACATTGGCGGGTGTTAAGACAACAATCGGTATATCAGAGAACTGAGATTCAATTCGATCACCTGCGCAAGGCACAAAAGTCTACTCCGGACCTTACCTCGTCGTCTAGGTCGGATCGACTGGCGATTGGCGATTGGCGATTGGCGATTGATTTGATCAGAAGCTAAACATGGAAATCCACCGCGTTTGCGGCAGAGCAGCACACACTTCCCCGAGCCAACCCAAAATCCGCAAGCGCAACGGTTTGGCTTCGTGCACGCGGAAATGGAGCCGGCTATGCAAGTGATCTGACCCGTTTCAATTAGACTAGACGCCGTGCAGGGTCTCCTCTTTTTTTTTTTTTTTTTCTTTTTTCTTTTTTCTTTTTCGCTTTCGGAAGGTCGGAGGTTAGATCGGGTCACAGACGCCAGGGCTTGCTTGGCCGGTGCGCGCGTTTAAGCATTCCAGTATCAATGGGAAAATGGCTCGATCCCTGAGGCCATATGCGTCAGACGCCCCAATGTTGCGTTGTGTACACCGTACGCACTTAACCCGTAGAAATATCGGGTGTCGCCGTCGTCCTTTGGCGTAGCAAACACCGCATTCGTGGAAATGTACACGCACTTCGATTTCGGACCCGTTCCTTCAATTTTTTTTTTTTTTTTTTTTTTTTTTTTCCTTCTTCTCTTGTCGTCCAAATTCTTCTCGAATTATTTGCAATTAGTGCGGTCACTATGATAAAGCGATCAGCGGGTTTTCCAATAAATAATAACATAATAATAAAGCTGAAAACATCATCATTTCACACGCCTGTACTCTTTTCCGCTAATGTCATATCGAATGTCATTTCCTGACGTTCCGTGTATCGGAAAGGGAGGGTTCCAAGGAAAGGTTCAGACGTCAAAATGAAGGAGGATCCTCGACCAAATAATTGGACGCTGGATGTTTTTTCCATGGAAGAACGTTGAATGAGATAAAAATTAAGAATAAAAGGATTACCTCTGTTGTGAAGTCGTCAGAATTTGAAAAAAAGTCGTCAATCTCGTTGGCTTTCAATGTTGTGAGTTGTTCTTTCCCAGGTCGTCCGCCAGTTAGATCACCCGATCTATTAGCGCGTTCGAAGCGATACATTTTTGTCGGGGTCAGAAGATGAGACAATATATTGCTCTGCTCTGGGTACAATTCAAGTACAAAGTAGAGCAAAAAGCAGTGACAAACCGTGTCACTTCAGACAGAAGAAAACATAGAAAGTTCAGCTCGGGGCGGGAGCGGCTCTTTTTCAACGATGGGTTTAATAAGAAAAAGAAAAGAAAGAAAGTCCCTAATGCGGCCGATCCAGTTCGATCACATCGCCTGTATCTGACATGCAGGCCGTGGAGACCATGCAGCTGGGAGGAGCGTTCCGAGATATTGGCCTCGGTGGGTGCGATGCAGTCTTCCAGTACTGTGACCGAACCTTGTGTCCATGATGCTGCAGGAAGCAATGTGTAAAGTCACTGACCGTGATTGTGCGAAAATAGGGGAAAAGGAAGAAGATGACACAAGTGGATGCACGACAAGTGGCTTATATCTTTTCACTGGGTCTTGGGTGAAAGTTCTTCAAGCAATAGTATCCAGTATGGGGTACTTTTGGAGATGGAAGAATTCCATTGGGCTACGTTTCCTCCTATGCATCCGTCCCATTGAGGCAAGTGACCCTAGTGCTTTTAGTTGCGCGTGAATCCGTGGAGTTGTGGCTGAGGAAGTGGGCCATTTATTCCTGGTCATCCTCCAGAAGCGCCAAAGTGCATACATCACAAATGTACGGGATCCTGGAACTTAATAGGGTGGCATCTGCACCTAACCGATTTGCTACCATGTTACCTGCATCAGGAGCACGCAATCAGAATTTCGTCTGCCTTGCTTTCTCTCCGTGACGGCAGTCCGCATCGCTGAATACTTGCCGTAATGACGATAAATCAACGGAACATCATCACGGTACGGAGACGGACAAGGACAGGAGACAGAGGGAAAGAAGTATCCAACGGGGTATTTTTGCAACGGGAATTTGAGTTCACGATGCGAGTACGGAGTACAATGGTTGTCCTTAGCGTCGGCTTGTCACGCAAGGGTGGTTGAGGCAGAGGCCCAAAACTTGTCAAGATCCGGGGACGGTCCATCACATCAGCGGGAGGGTTTGGTAATGAATCCTTACAGCTTGGTCACGATAGCGCTGACTCCGGCATGGCGTCTCTGATTGATTGACCTCGGTCGGTGCAAGCAGTTCAGGTCGGTTTTAGGCATTACTCGGGAGTAATGAACGGTGATGGAGGGTGTGTAATAAATAAATATATATATATATATAAAAAAAAAAAAAAAAAAAAAAAAAAATTAGAAAAGGAGAGAGGAGAAAGAGAGGCCAATTAACACCAACGTTCCCATTCTATGGAGAACGGAGTGCAAGACTCTATCTTCCCGGCTATGGCTGAACTGCATTTTCAAAGCCAATGATGCCACAGGTTGATGGCGTAGGGGATATTCAGTGGTGCACAATCCGAAGCATTACTCTGTGCATCGTGCATTGATTTCCGGGAAGAGACCCGGCCGGGTCCGATATCGACACCTTCGCGGGAGACTCTTCAGCTGGGTCCTTTTGCAGCAAACGAAGTGGGAAAATGAAGAGAAAAGGAGAAAGCATAAACGACGTTCTTTTTCTTTTTTCCTTTTTCTTCTTATTCCTTACAGTCCCATCGTCCTACTGTACTCCGTACTTTGTGCAGAGTGGGTGTTCATCGGACTTTTATCGGTCCTCATTTCCCATAGCATGCATCCTTGCGTCGAAGATAAATAAAGAAAACAATCGACTTGACAGCGGCTCCTTCCCGTCACTGAACCAAAGATCGCAACACGCCCCGGTTTATGCTTATTTTTGCCCCTAGGATATAGGTTCCGCATTTGGTGGCTTTCGGTTCCATGGTCAATTCAACACTCCGAGTCAGTACCTTTGGTTATGGCGCCGATCGAATCTCGACCCGCAGGAACCTACAGTCCATGCTCATTGTGTTATGTACCTGTAGTGCTACGGTGCTTGCTGCGTGACTTATTTGATTAACGCACAGGACTTTACGCGGAACACGCCCTCGCACAACAGAACAGAGCATCGCTGCGTATTCGGAGAACTCGGACGACGCGGAACCAGGATAAATAAATTTTCAACGACATGACCGACGATCAAGCCTCGACCACGTCCAACGATCTCAGATGGCCCAAGCGTCGGGGATTGCCCTTTGTGTATTCTTACTCTGCACTCCGTGCGCAAGTACAGTACGTACGAAGCTCATCGAACAACAATCCAATAAGAACAAGTCATTTAGGCCAGATTCCAGGATATCAATATCTACAAGCACCCGTGCTTCGTAAATGTCCCCAGCACCACGCTATCCAAGTAAGGAAAAAGGGGCAAAAGTCGATGTATCATATCTCGTATAACAATCTTCTGACTCTTCCCGAAGGGGGATATTCCAGCAGCCTGATAATGCGCAGATTGCAGTTATAAAAACTATGCGCAGCGACTCGATAGCCAAGAAAATAGAACGGTGATGGCTTGCCGGACCGTTCAAATCCCGAAATTCACCGCCAGATGAACCGGGCGAATATGTGTAGACGGTAATTGAGTTCATTGTTCACTTTTTGCTGTATGTTCATGTACGGAGTACGGAGTACCGGGATAGTTATTCGTAGTGTAAGACTCTCTGAATGAATGATGTGCGGTCAAGATCTACGGGTAAGTAATTATACAGAAAAAGGAAGAACGAGACGGAGAGGAGGAAAAAAAAAAAAGAAGAAAAAGAAATTGGACGAGCGGCGGATCGAACGCCGGGCTTTTCGCATATTGGCAGTTGCAAAGCGAACACTCTACCACTGAGTTACACGCCCATTCATGACTAATATTACTCTACTTTGAATTATATGCCAATTTAAGGCGTACACAATGCGACTATACGTACGAAAGGGCATTCCAAGCGCCTGGATGCTTGTACACTCTGTTTAAAAACACTAAGAATACGTAGATACATTATTATATAGATTAAAGGGCAAAAAAAAAAAAAGTGAGGTCGAAGCCCGGACTCTGTCTATCTTCGCAACAGCAGTCAGCCTCTACCAACTGACCGTTTTCTAAGTATGCAAATCTGATTTGTAGTGTGATTTCAAAAAGAAATAAAAAGGGTAATAATGGTACAAGAAAAGTAGAATAAAGCTTTCATGCTCTCAAGAGTAATACAGTCATGAAGGTGGTGCCGTCAAAAAAAAAAAAAAAAAAAAAAAAAA